TCCTTTTTTTTTTTTTGTGATCTCAGAGTTTGGTGGAGAAGGAATTATTTCAGTAAAAAGTGACATATATAGTTTGGGTATTCTATTAATTGAAGTTTTCACGAGAAGGAAGCCTACCGAAGAATTCTTTGATGGGGAATGGACATGAAGCAATGGGTTACCACGTTACTGCCTACAAGAGTAACTGAGCTTGCTGATGCAAATTTGATGGCTAACGGTACGACAATAGACTTCATGGCAAAAGTTGATTGCATATCATCAATTCTAAAGCTAGCATTAGCATGTTGTGCACATAAACCAGAAGATAGAATGAATGTCAGCGATGCGCTTTTCCATTTAAAGAAGATTAAGTCACAAATTTTGAAGTAAGAAAGCTTGGGAGAGTAGATCAATAGAGTTGGTCAACACATCTAGTTAGTGCTGAAGGTGCAATAATATCAATGTAGTAAATTGGTAATGATGTTTTTTTTTTTTTTTTTGTGATAATATGCATGGATGCTTGTGATGTTGGAAGACGATTCTGAAGTTGTGCGGGAGAGTACAAGGGGCTTTACTAGCTTCTTCTGCTTTGCCGAATTTGTTTGATAATAATATGTCAATTCAATGTGAATGGAGAGGTTTAGAGGATAATGAATGATCAATTTGCACATGTAATTCCTCATATATTATGAAAATGAGATTAATAAGAGTTATGGATATATAGAATACCTAATTTTCTGGTACCACATTTCATGGCTGATTGTACAAACAATTTAAGTATTTGGTAAAAAAGATCCAGGTATTTTGTGAAAAATCCAATAATTTTAAATTTTTGGTGGAGGTTGCTCTAATGTTGACCATTTGACATCAATGACATATTTAAAATTTATAATCAACTTCTTTTTCAAGTAAGTTGCATTTAGAAATTAGAAATCCATATCAGATAAACTATTATTTATAAAAAAAATATTGTATATTATCAAAGTATTTATTGATTATAAAAGGTAGAGGATCTGAGAGCTGCAAAACCATGACCAATGGTTGAGAATGGAGGGGCAACAAACCTAAAGGCCATGGATGAGTAGGGATGGCAACCAAACCCGAACCCACGGGTACCCACCCGACCCAACCCGGTCAACGCGGGTAAAATCCGTGTTGACGTGTTTTGGGTCGAGTTTGTGTTTAAACCCGTTCACTATTTACCGGGTTGGGTTGGGTTTGGGTTTAGGTAAACCCGACCCGTGGGTACCCGCCCACACATATAATTAATTTTCTAGGTATATTTAATATTTTAAACAATTAATCTTATTTATGTTTGTGGAGACATGTCTAATTTTTTCTTTCTAATTGTGTAGAATGAAGTTTGTGTTATCGAGTGGAGAGTGAAGAAACTTAATTGAAAGGAAGACGCCTTCAATTAATATGTTATTTATGGATAATTTATGATTTACTTCAATTTTCTTGAGTTTTCTAGATTGGTGTTGAACAATTTATATAGTTAATTTGTGATTTGTTTGAATTTTCTAGAACGGTGTTTTAAATATGGATAATTTGTATTGAGAGATTGATATTTGACTTTAATTTTGATAGGAACATGTTATTGTAAATTTTTTACGACAAAAACCCGTGGGTACCCATGAACCCGCGGATACCCAGCGGGTTGGGTTGGGTTTGAGTTTTTCAAACCCAGTGGGTTTTACCCCGGGTTTTTTTCACGGATAAACCCATGGGTTTAGCTTTGGGTTTGGCAAAACCCGACCCAACCCGACCCACTGCCATCCCTATGGATGAGGATGGGTAATTTTATCACGTACATAAATAAGCCTAGTCTTCTTCCTGTGCGGGCTGGTGCATTGTATGTTGTGTGCTCCTCATCTTATGAGTGCGGATTTCCGGGCGGCTTTAAAAGTCATTTTCAAATCTCGAACAAAAATTCAACAGGCATAACATATTAATTTTATATCGAATTTCAAAAAGTTTTGCATAAAATTTCATATTTTGTGCTCTACAAGATGATATTTATTTTGATATTTGTTTGAACAAAAAATTTTCAGATCATCATATCACTGCATATCTTGATATTACTACTAACGGTAGTATGATTGATATTATGATATGACATTGATAAGATTGATATTATCTATGGTATAGTAGTAATATTAGGGGTGGTTGTGGCTATTTGGACCGGGACCGGATTAAAAACCGGAAACCGGACCATATAACCCGGACCGGGACCGAATAGTAAACAATCCAATCCAATCTTTGGGCTTAGATTTGAGGTAAAAAACCGGATAAAGACCGGATAAGAGAGCTCAACACCCAAAACTTAAGGGTAATTTGCATAAACGGTCACAAACCTTTGCACTTAGTACAAAACTTAACCAACTCCTCACCCTTTAAGGCCTTAGACCACTCAAATCCCACAATATCAATGTAAAATCAAGATCGAATTGGGACCGGACCGGATTAAAACCGGACCGGATCAAGACCGGACTGTATCCAATCCAATCTTCGGTCCTTATATTTTCAAAAAGACCGGACTGGACCTTATCAATTTGGGCCAATTTAACCGGACCGGACCGTATTGCCACCCCTAAGTAATATCATGATTGATATCATTGTATCATAATGAGTAAAGACTGGTATAGTGTAGGTGATCTGTCCGTTAGATGTACTTCGAAGAGCTCCGACCAATATCAATGGTCATTTATAATTTTATATTGAATTGAACTTTGGGTTTGGGTTTAGAAAATTAGGGCCTGGAGTTTATCCATTGGAGGTTAAGTTATAGTATCATTTCTCAAATTTGGTTTAATTCACGGTCTACATAGAGATATTTCAGTACGAGTACCTGGAGTATAGTATACTCCAGAAGTACCCATTCTGACCCTATCACAATGATAATATTAAGATTATAGTGATAGTATCATGATTTGACACTGATATGATTAATGTGACACACTGACACTTATATGATTGATATGACAGTGATAATACTAAAACCGACAAGTATTTTCATGTATATCATAATCAATGCATTCTTTCAATACAATTTTTTTTTTTAATTTTGGGTTAAAATGAACGCTATAGGATTCGATCAAGAAAAATATGGGATTAAAAAAGTAGTTGTTGAGTGGCAGCGGTCTCCCCTCTCTCCTCCCATTGTATGCCCTCTATCCTCAGCTTTTTCGCGTCAGACCGTCAAGAAAAAAAATGGGAAGGGCGCGCGAAATTACCTCTCCGTCCCCCTAAAGGTTTTTTCTGTTGGGAAATTTGAGCCACTAGATTTCGTTAAATGAGCGGATGGAGATGTGGTTTTGAGGATAGGGTTTTTTAATATTTTACTCTCTCGTTTTGAGTGATCACACAAATAATATAAATGGTTAGCCTTTCACTTCCTAAATGGAGAAGGATCTGCTCGTACACACTCCTATCATGTTTGCAAGAAGGAAGCTTGAGATCTCGTGGCAGTCGCCACCTCCCAAGTGGATTACTCTCATTTCAGACTACTAAGTTATTCATTCTACAGGTCTGAAAGCTGTAGGTGGCCTGATTAGAGATCCCTATGAATTTGCTTAGAAGAGTTTGCTTGTAACCTACGCGTTTGCTTCATTACCCGAGCATAATTGGGAGGTGCTGTTGAAGGATTACAGGTGGCGTGGAACCTTGGTTACTAGCGAGTTCGAGTCGAGCTAGACTCTAGATGTGCGCTTTAGCTATTGATGGATATAGAACCTGCATCAACCACCAGCAAGCGACAATTGTATCCCGCTTCTAGGAGCACTTGGACCAAAATTAGGAGGTGATTGTCTTCCATATAGACCGCGAGGAAAATAAATACGTGGACTATTTAGCCAGTCTTGACCACTATATACCTTTGGGTGCTTCTAGTGTTCCTATTTCGGATTCTACCCTGAACCATTTCCCATTGCATGACTCTCAGTGGCTCTCTCAACTCCATTTGGGTTTGAATGAAAGCTAAAATACTATGCATCCGTTTATCAAAAAAATATATCAAAATAAAAGGTTACATAACTTCTTCACGCCAAACAACAAAGGAAAGAATGAGCTAATTTAGAATATACGTGGCGAGTTCTACGGTACCTGGGTGAAATCCAGGGTACCGCATACCTTGAGTAAAAAAAAGTTATCCAAAACTTGAATTAACTGATCTTTCGGACATGATACTATACTATAACTCTTACAGATCAACATCTAGATCGTAATTATCTAAATCTGATACCCCAAGATCAATTTAATTAGAAACGATAATCGAACGTTATGATTAGTCCAAGTATAGGCAAAAAAATCAATGCATCATTTTAGGGTTTATAGTTTATGATTTAGATAATTAGGACCTAGGGTTCACTCATTAAGGTTTAGGGTATAGTATCATGCCCAAAAATCCTGCTAATTCGAGGTTTAGATAGCTTTTTCATACTCAAGGTATGCGGTACACCGGATTTCACCCGAGGTACAGTAGAAAGCACCATAAACCTTAATGAGTGAACCCTAGGTCCTAATTATCTAAATCATAAACTATACCCTAAAATGGTGCATTGATTTTTTTGCCTATATTTGGACGAATCATAACGTTCGATTATTGTTTCTAATTAAATTGATCTTCGGGTATAAGATTTAGATAATTAAGACCTAGATGTTGATCTTTAAGAGTTAGAGTATAGTATCGTGTCCGAAAGATTAGTCAATTCAAGTTCTGGATAGCGTTTTCTTACTCAAGGTATTCGGTACCCCAGATTTCACCCAGGGTACCATAGAACTCGCCATATATATATATATATATATATATAAGAATAGAATATTTCAATAGAAGCGGTGCCGTTCTAGGAGGAATAACGTGGCTGGCCGGCGATATCAATCAGGGATAATTCCAAAGCCAATTCAAGCCAAGGGGAAGGGAGGGGAAGGGAACTGCTTTCGTAAATCAAACGCTACGTCCCGACTCCCGACTCCCAACCGACGTTTTATTATAAAATAAAAATAAAATAAAACCGAAGCTCAGTGCACCAAATTCCATAAATAAATAATAAAAAATCAGGAAATTGATACCGGAATTGGAAAATGGAAAACAACGCGAGCAAGAAAAAATATCAGAATATTGCTTAATAGCGAGAGGTCGAGGTGAGAAAGAGATCGCTGACCCGAGCCAGCCACCGCCGATTTTACGTTTCCCTTCCTGCCTCGATCCTCATGGATCCTTCTCTCTGATACCCGATCATCCTGCCAGCTTCATATCCCGTTTGTTTCTCCCTGAATTCCAGCCAAACAAACAGCTGTTTTCGGCGGAAGAAAGGACAACGAATCGAAGCTAATCGGCCGGCCTCCTGTCATAATTGGTGAGTTGTTCCCTTCGGCTGCTGACTGATTGTATTCAATTTCATAGTTTTGCTTTGATTTCAAGTATATGCGTTTAGAGTACGCGCATTAGGGAAGGATCCCCGCTGTTTGTTTGAAATTGGTCAAGCTGTAATGACTTCTGAATTCGTGGGTCTTTGGTGGATTGACGAGAGAGTGTCTTTAGCTGCGGATCTAGGGTTCCTTTTTTGCGTAGTCATTGTTGCTGGCCTTGGCCTGCAAATTGGTGGTCTGTGTTGGTTTTTTGAAGCTTGTGGATGGGTAGTTTGAACGTAACGCTGTATGCTATGTTTGATGATTGGCGTGACAGAATGCAGGATTTTATTTACTGGGTAGTGCTTAATTTCAATGGAAACTGAAAGGGAGGAGGTAATTCTTTGTCACTGACAGCTTGCTGTGTTTGTAGTTGGTTAGGATGACGACTCCTTCGAGGAAGAGATTGATGAGGGACTTCAAGAGGCTGCAACAGGACCCTCCTGCTGGCATTAGCGGTGCTCCCCAAGATAATAATATACTGCTCTGGAATGCTGTCATATTTGGGTAAGCTAAGAGAATTAGAGAACGCTTCACTTGGTTCTATGCTTGTCTCTCTCGTTTCAAGTTGAGAAAGGGAGTCCATTTGCAGGGGAGATTGGGGTGTTTGGTTTCTTTCTTGTGACCTTGCTTTATTAGCTAGTTTTTTATTATATTTTCAAGGCTCTTACTCTGTTTATCTTCTTTACTGCCAGGCCTGATGACACTCCATGGGATGGAGGTAAAGTTTCAACTTTTCTTGCTTTTTCAAATAAATTCGCGTGTGCTAGTTAGGTGGTTGCTACTCCATTACTTCATAATATGCATTCTCTAAATATCTCCAGTTCTGCTGTGTATCTGCAATGATTTGCTGTTGATTCGTGTCCTTCGGTAATTTGCTCCCTGTTGGTTATTCACAGTTTCTGTATGTGTTCATTTCCTCGTGAACATGTTTTTTCTATAACCTTCAGGCACGTTTAAGTTGACACTTCAGTTCACTGAGGATTATCCCAACAAGCCGCCAACAGTGCGTTTTGTCTCCAGAATGTTCCATCCAAATAGTAAGAGATTTTGTCTCGGTTTTCGCTGTAACTTTTATACATATTTATTACGCCTAGTGTCGTCAAGGATTAGATGATTATGGTTTCTGATTCTCTGTTACCCCTTCTGCCTCAGTCTATGCAGATGGGAGCATTTGCTTGGACATCCTACAAAATCAATGGAGTCCTATTTATGATGTCGCTGCAATACTCACATCAATCCAGGTGATTACCTTAAGATGTAGTAGCTACACAAAATCTTTCAATTATAATTCTTAGTTGGTCTCTGAGTTATATGTGAGTGTAGTGCAAATGGCATCTCAATCTCGTCTTACAACTTTCTTTATTGCTGACAGTGCTCAATTTGTTGTGGGCTGTTTTGAAATTTGGAGAATTAAAACGTTTGTCCATAGGTGGTTGTCTTTGCTATGTTAAGGATGAGTTGAATTAATCATCAATTCCATGTGCAAAATGTTCTGTTTGCTCAGTAGATTGCTCAATTGGTTTGTCTATCTCCCTACTTCATTGGAGCAGCTCCATCTCAAGTTTGACTCATTCTGACGCCTGCCCATCACTAGGATGGTGCTCCTTACTCAAATCAATCATGATTGCTCCATCGAAGCTTCACTTTTTCGTGCTAAAATTCGTTTTTATTTATTTACGCATGATAATTCTTCCTGGCTACTATTTGGCTTTCCACAGTGCGACTTTTGACAAGCATTCTTGTCTTGCTTGCATTGCAGTCTTTGCTTTGTGATCCGAACCCAAACTCTCCAGCGAATTCGGAAGCTGCAAGGATGTTCAGTGAGAACAAGCGTGAATACAATCGAAGAGTGCGTGAGATTGTTGAGCAGAGTTGGACTGCTGATTAGGGTTTGCTCCGTGGCTTGTAACTCCAAAATGGATTAAGTGTCCAAGTTCAAATTACATTGAAAAACTGACATAAGGTTGTGGTTGTTTCTGTTGCTCCTTGGATGATTTACTTGCTTGGTTTCCGAGAATGAACATTTGGCATGTTTGTTGTATCGAATTATCTGTGTTCTCATTTTTTGTATACATGTAGAGTAAGTTTACTGTTGAGCCTATTCTGAGTGTGGATTGTCATAAATGGCTCTTGACATGCTCCCCTCTGCTCTTAATCTTGCCCTTAGCTGCGTGGCGAAATGCCTTGTGCTTTAGGGGAAGGTTGGGACGCAAAACTTTTCATGGGGGTAAAAGATTTCAGGTCGGCGACACTTAAAGTGCATTCTGGCTTTCTATGTTCCATGAACTAGTCAATGTGGCGATTCAAGGGAGTAGGACTGTTGGAGAAGCGTGGAGATCACGACGATAACTATCATGTACATGATCACGAAAGGGTTGACAAGAAAAAAAAAAAAAAAAAGAGCTATTGCCACTACATCTGAGAAGTATTAAGGTTTCCACTGCTGTTCCATCCATCCTGAACTTGGCTCGAGTACTGCAAATTCCACAGCACGTCTTCTATTGAAGGCCGGCTATTGGGCTCCTTGGAGAGACAGTTGATGGTGATCTCTGCTGCAGTTCGCAACGATTCGTACGCGTAGGTGCCCTTTGTGGTGGAGTCTGCCATATCCCTCAGCTTGGATTGACCCTCTGCCAACCCTTTCTCTAGTTGCGCCTTGAGTTCTTCCACTTCCTCGGAGGATTTGATACGTTTGCCTGTGATAAGTTGGAGTACAATCATTCCCAGCTGGTACACATCTTCTTTGTCCGAGTTCTCGGTGCTGCATTCATGGTTGATATCTCAATTAGACGTGCATATAATGGAGACATCAGGAGAAGCGAAACAAACACTATTACATGAAAAATTGTACCTGTTCAGATTTGGAAGGTCTTGCCCTCTCAAGGGACTCTCTGTACCAACCTGCAAAGTTGAGAAGTCAGACAGAGAAAACCAAAACATGGATTCAAACTAATTTCAACCCTCAAAGATGCCATGGAAACCACCTTCGACGGCAGAGGAAGCGTATAGTTGCTGAGTTTCGCAGTGAGGCTTTCGTCCAACAGCACATTCTCCATCTTCACATCGTTCCCAAAGATCCCAGGCGCCACTCCAGTGTGCAGGAAGTGGATTCCCCTGGCAACTCCCATCGTGATAGCCATCCTCTGCGGCCATTTAAGCACCTCTTTCTTTCTCCTATCTGTATGTTGTTCCGTTTCCCCATTCGTTAGATCTCAAAGAACTACTGTCGCTATCTATATCTATAGCTTTCAGCCAGTTCAGTTAGCTACCTGTGAGATAATCGTGGAGCGACCCATTCGTAATGTGCTCGAAAATTACGAAAAGAGTGGCTACGGAGGTGGGATGATCCTGGAAAGTGACGATGCAGTGCCCCAAAACGCTGACCAAATGCAGATGCCTTAGCTTTGACAGCACCTCTATGTGCTGCATCAGGTTTTGAGGCAGATTCTTGTGCTTCAACTTCACACTCTTCACCAGAACCTCCGATCCATCTACAAGGCACCCTTTGTAGAGCTGCAGAAATAAAAATATCAAATTTCTTACTAACTTTTCATTATTCAGCAAACAAGTGAACCCAATATTACGTAATCGGTCAAAAATTAATGGCTATTATATTAGCCTCTCACCTGTCCCTGAGTACTCTCTCCAATGAAATTCAGCGGGTCGAAGTTATTGGTGGCGTCCTCAATCTCCTCCAACGAGAAAATATGATACGGCGGCAGTCCAATTGCCGCTGATCTCATCGTCTTAGGCACCCTCCCTAGAGAAATGAACAACTATCTCCATGAATGCCCAAAAAGTGAAATCAGGTTGCAGAAAAAAGGTCCAAAAAGAGAAACTTACTGGACTCGAATGTATGAACGGAGCTTCGGACCGACATTTTGTCAGCCAAGGACGGCGCAAACCTGTGCTCCGGTACCAGTTCCTTAGCATCAGATCTTCTAACCATGACGAAAATCACTAACCCAATTAAAAAACTCAGCCCAACGGCGCCTCCAATGATCCCAAGTATGAGCCCAAGCCTAATCGAAGAAGAAGAGGAGCCCTGTTTTTTCCCCTTGTTCGTCGGAGGCTTAACAGCCAATGCTTCCTTGTGACAGAAAGAGTACGGATGCTGCTTAGGCTTCCCGCCGGACAAGCAGTTCCATGAAGCAATCGCCGACGCCGAAATGCAAGACGGCAAGTTCCCCACCAGAAGGTTGCTTGAGAGGTCGACGAACCGAAGCTGAGACCCGCACGACGTGTTGACTGAGAGAGCTCCATTCAAATTGTTGTCACTCAAATCGACGGATTGAATCGAAGGCAGAGAGAACAGAGCAGGCGGGATAGGACCCATCAGCTTGTTTCGCGACAGGTTCAGTCTCTGAAGATGAATCAGAGCCTTGAGTATTGTTGCAGAAGGAAATTCGGATCTCAGATTGTTTCCCCCCAAGTTCAGCTCCTGGAGCGAGACCAACATTTTGATGTCACCGGGGACTGTTCCATTGATCAGATTGTCGGCGAGGACGAGGCTCGTCAGGGTTTTGAGCGATCCGATTGATGGCGGGATTTCGCCGGTGATGAAATTGGAGCTCAGATTAAAGACCTGGAGTGAAGCAAATCTGTTGATTTTGGACGGTAAGTGACCCCACAAGCCTAAGGATACGAGGGACAGGGTTTTCAGATTGGGCAGCTTGGTGAGGTCGGTGAAGAGAGAATCGAGTGAGAACTTGCCGGAGAGGGCGAAGAAGGTTTTGTTTTTGGGGATTGGGTTCGGAAGGCGAGACGGGGAGGTTTTGTTGCCGCGGATTGTGAGGTCGGTGAGGTGGCCGTCGGAGGAGCAGAGGACGGTGAGGGCAGGGGAGGCAGGGAGGTAGCAGAAGTTGGTCCAGTTGTTCCATGATTGGAGAGGCTCGGGGTATTCGAGCAGCTTCTGGATTCGGTAGAGGACCCTGGTCTCGCTTGGAGGTAGCTGCTGCGCTGTTGAAGAGAGGAGAATGGATTGGAGGAGGAGAAGGAGAAGGAAGAAAGGGGTGATTGCATTTGCCCTGCAACCGAAAGTCTCCATTTTTTTTTTTTTTTGATGGGTTGTTTGTACTTGGCAACGCCAACGGGAGAGTTAGTTATTCAGAAACTGGGTTTTCTGTCTGTCTTCATGGGTTTCGCTTACTTTCTCGGGAAAGTGACAGAAAGGTGAAAAAGGGGAGAGCTTTTTGGGTGGAGATCTCGGGAGTGTATTATAGAAAGAAAGGGGAGTGGAGTGGATCCTAGGGTACGCGAGGAAGGATATTAAAATTATAGGGAGGAGTGACGGCCCTCAAATTCTGCAGATCGCTCTGACTTTGATGAGGAAGGAAGGAGAATAGATAGAGAGTGAAAAGTCAAAGTCTGGATCGGTTGCAGCAGCGAGCCTGGCACTGAATGAAAAATTCCTGGGCCTTCTCGCTTGTGCAGGAAGGCGTCGGTTGCTGCCGGACTGCGTCGTTTTAGCTGTCGTTGTGCTACTGGAGATCTGTTCTGGGAGCGGGCCAGAGACTGAGACAGAGGGTGTGGAGTGGAGTCTGTTTTTGGCATTCTTCAGGCCAAGTGGGGGCAGGTGGGCGGCCGGCCGGCGGCGGCTTGCGGCTTGGAATGGAATCTGCGGCGGGGTTGGAATGTGGGCGGGAATTAAATTATCGATCGATCGATCGATCGATCGATTTGGAGATATGGTGGGATTAGGGAGGGCGACCCACAGTGATGTAAGCTATATGTCGGCGAGATAATAATGTCCAAGGGATGGAGGTTGGATCGGGTTCTTCCAATCCAAATGGCAAGAAAAATGACAAATCCTAATCTCCTAATCGATTCGGCTGGCTATCGGTGTCGCAAAATCATCAGTTATACAAATTATGTATACCTTGGCTTTTTGTTTGAATTTCCTTTTTTTTTTCCTATAGTTTATTTCGTGTGAAGTTTTGCATAATTCTATAAAAAAATATATTAACAATTCGTAAATAATCATGTAAAAAAACGAAAGGAAGGACAATTATTTATGGGATTCATTTTTCAAATTTATTTTAAGTGTAATGTGGCAAATGATGTGGCATACAATTTGGCATATAAAATTGAAAATTTAATTTTACTTAATGACATGTGATCCACTCTAATCATAATTATAAATAAAAAATTCTATGTCCTGTAATGACAAAAAATATGAATTCGTGTACCGGTATGATCAAAAGTAACGTTTATGTACCATGATGACTAAATCATGAACGTTCAAGTGTCCAAATGGACCATTTTGCCAATCCAATTCCAATTTAATGAATGGAAAATCATTAAAAATGTTTGAAAAACACTTACTGGATTTTATGAACAAAATACTATGCAACGGGTCGTGGTGAGTGCATGGTTATTCACGGGTCATGAACATAACAATATGTAATTCATCCAAACAACAAACACATAATTTTATCATAAAAAAATTCATATAGATATATTGTTATAAAGACTAATAACATCCATAAATTTTCAATATTATTAGGACTATATTGTTAGTATAATTAGACTATATTGTCATAAGATTAATAACATCTATAAATTATTAGAGTTTTTTCCAACTAATGAAAAGACAATAGCTGAAAGAATGACTATCCACAATCCTCCATCCCACTAGAGCACTTATACGATGCTTTAAAGCATAGGTGCTTAAAACTACAATTTGAAGTGGTAAAAAACATTAAATGTCCAAATTGAAGTTGTATCATAAGAAGATTTGTACATTTATATTATGATACAAGTTGTACTATTATATGCATAAGGCACAACTTTGTACTAAATAGAGATTTATACAAAAGAGCATAAGTACAACATGAAGTTGTACCAAAACGTTAAATATACAACTTCAAAATAGTATAAAAGCCAGATTAGTTACCAGCAGAGAAGGGTACAATCGTTATCACAACCTATTCCAGTTTCAGATTCTAATAATCAAATCACTAGCTAGTCTCCTGGACATTATTGCTTCGTCTCCAAGTATGCATCAATCTAGTCCTGTCGTTTTCGTTGTAACAATCACCATTAATGAATGAGTGTGCTATGTATAGGTTAGAATTTAGATCATTACTTCAGATGAAAAATATTTCTCAAAAGTAGTTTAGTGCATGCATAATTCAAAACATAGTAGAATAATAGTGTGTTTACAATATGGACGTACACGTACATTCCTTTGACATAATTAACAGTGATCCCAAAAAATGTTATCATATATGACAGTATGAGAGCTCATGATTCGCAAATATGTGCGAGAGATCAATACTATTCATTCCATAACGCGGCAACATGCATACACATAATAGTGCACTCGTTTTGGTTTCGTTTGTTTCGAGATAAAAAAACATATATATACTTAATTATATTGAAATTGAGGTTTCTCTAGTAAGAAGTGATGTTACTTTGGTTTGGAAAATGTCGTTGTCGAGGTAGTTAATAGAAGTGAAGTACTAAGAAGGTTTTAAGTGATAAAGCATGTACACTACTAATATTATGAGTACATTGAAAGTGAAAAGAGAGAAGCAGGGAGTAAATTAAAGGGGAAGGGAATTTGAGCAGAAGTGAAGAGGGACATGGAGAATGGGGTTGTCTGGGCTACATCTGAGTCGGCATTCTTTAATGTCGTGATGCGGCAGTTCTACCTAATCCTCAAACAGCGGCGGATCCAGAACACAGAAGTGCACTGGGCCACATTTTATTAGAAAATTAAAATAGTAAAAAATATAATGATTATAATTTTTTTACAATGTAAATTGTACACGACGGTATTTTAATTTAGCGAATGCATTAATAATGGAGTCCACATCCATACCAATAGTATACACTGTTTCAAATAAAATACTTGAGCAATCGACTAGAAATCCATCGCTCATTTTGTTGCGCAAATCAATTTTCACATGTTTCGTTGTTGAAAAGGTTCTATTCGTATTAGCTATTGAAACGAGCAGCATCAACACTAGACAAATCAATCTACTAATCAATTTGCATTGTGTTTCCATCTCTATATCCACCAGCTGCTCTAGTAAATTTTCCAAGGTAACAAACCTCATATATGTTTTATTCTTTTACGTTTTAAACTTTTTGAATTTTTAGGTTTCATTGTTTTTTTAGACAAATAACCTTTGGGGTTAGAATTTATAAGCTAAATTTAGAGTAGTGATTTTGAATATGTTCATCTGAATTATTTTTCTAATTATACCCAATCTTATTTTAAATTAATAACGATACGAATATCTAAAATCGAAAAATTCATAAGGCCTATACTAACTATGGATCCAGAGAAAGGCTGGGCCGGGGCCCGGGGTGGCCACCCCCTGGATCCGCCGCTGTCCTCAAATTACCTAGCTGCTAGCTTGCTGTGCTGCCTCTTCATTAATACTCATGAGCCCAATTAACGTGTATGTAGAATTATGGTAATTCAAAACCAAAAGTTTATTCGTCTATGATACTCTTTTTTATTTTATTTTTTTGCATAAAAAGGAGGCTAACGCCAAGAAAGAGCAAAGTTACAGGAGGAGATTAGATGAGGGAAGAAGAGTTCGCTACTACATGGCGCTCAAACGTGACACCTCTAGCATCATCCTGCAGCACATGAATCAAACCTGATGGAGGGTCAGCCAACTCATACTTACCGTAGGGATAGACGAGACTGTGCTTCGAGAGCCAGTCCGCGGTTCTATTCCCTTCCCTGTACGTATGAGACAGGCTAACCAACCAATCCTGACCAATCTTTCTCCGAATGAGATTCAGAAGCGTGGCATAAGGATGGATGGGATCATGTCTCTCCTGAATCAGCTGAATAGCCAGCTGGGAATCTGTGGCAACCTTTACTACTCGAAAGCCGAGGTTCCAAACCAAATCCAGTCCATAACAAATGGCCCATAATTCCGCTAAAACAGTCGTTGCAGATCCGAGGCTAGCAACGACGCCTCCCAGCCAATTGCCCATCGAGTCCCGAACTATCCCCCCGGCTCCGGCTGGGCCCGGGTTACCATTCGACGCTCCATCAGTATTAAGCAGGACCCAGCCCTCCAATAGCGGTGTCCAACCAACCGCTGCCGCGACTCGCTCCACCGGATTCCTCTTGTGATTTAGAAACAGCTCCGGGGCATGCCAAGAGTCACTCCAAAGTTTGGCCTTAGTAACGATCGAATGCGCCAGCGAAGAAGATGAAAGAGCTGCACTCATCCCTTTAAAGGATGCCGTGGTGCGATTCTTCCATAGCAACCAAGAGGCCATGCTAAAGAAACCCGACCACTCGATTCCCGTACTACTGGCCTCCTTACTCATGATATTCTTACGAAACCAGCCTTCATGACTGTCACTGAAGAACTCGTGCTGCTTCTGCTGGGGGACATGGAGGCACCAAAAATACGCCGCAGGGGCGCAATCTCGAAGAATATGAAGCACTGTCTCCGGCTGCTCCGTACACCTTTGACAGCATGGCGACTCTGCTACCTTCCTCTGGAAACGCAGCACGTTCGTGGCTATCTTGCCTTGGATCGCCAGCCAAATGAAACACCTGACACGCTCAGGCACTGGCAGTCGCCAAATCTCCTTCCAGACACCGTCAGTTTCCTGCTGGTCTTGCTTCGTGAGGAGAGCATAAGCTGATTTAGTGGAGAAACGACCATCTGCTGCTGGGCCCCAGAAAAGAGAATCCTCCTCTTGAGATATAGTGTCTACCGCCGTGCTCGTAATCTTGCTGATAACTTCGGGTGGAAGGCGCCCCGAGAGAAGCTCAACACGCCAGCTGCCGTCCGCTTCAACAAAATCGGCAACCACTGCCTCACTTGCATTTTCCGGTACATCTCCAATCACCAACTCCTTCAAGGGCACCTGCAAAACCCACGGGTCAGACCAAAATTTAGTTCTTCTCCCATTCCTAATATTCCACGCGCAGCCTTGCTTAAGAAGGTCAGCAGCTTTAGAGAAGCTACTCCAGGTGAAGGAACTTCCCTGAACTTTTCGCAGAATATCAAGATCGGCTCTCTGACCCCCATACTTCGAGAGGAGGAGCTGCCGCCAGATGCTCTCCTTATCCCTGAGAAGCCGCCACCCTCCCTTGGCAAGCATGGCCAGATTAGCCTGCCGGGTCGGTCGAATTCCCACTCCCCCTTGCGCCTTGGGCTTCGTCAATCTTTCCCAAGCCACCAGATGAAACTTGGAGTGATTATCCTCGTCTCCCCAAATAAAATCTCTACTGATTTTATCAATGCTCCTGCAAACACCACTCGGGATTAATTCTGTATGCATAGTATAGACGGGTAAAGAAGCAGCTACCGATCTGGCCACAGTAAGACGAGCGGCAAAGGACAGCCGTTTTGCCTTCCACGGCGCCATCTTCTTCTGAATGCGCAAGATGAGAGACCGGTATCTTCCCTTCGTGACCTGAGCTGTCGAATATTGGTTGTATTATTGGCTTTTAAGTACAAACTAGGTAATGTGGTTTTGGATATTGTTTTCCCGACGAGAAAATCTAGATGAACACAATTTGATTTGCACCTTTGACTTCCAAACAAACGATTAACAAACACGGTCCACACCTCTTTGAACAAAGTTCAAACAAGGGTGTTCGATGTTCTTGATGATCTACGAGGCAAACTAAATTACATTAACTCTACTCCTATGGAGGTTCAGTGAGAGCTCCGAAACTACGACTATGGCTATGACTACATTTGCAGAGGAAAAGGTAAAGATAAAAGGATAAAATTTGACATTGTGTTGTCTGGTGTGATTTTAGCGAACCTTTTCTCTGTCATCTTCACCTCCTATTTATAGCCACCAGAAGTAACTTCCCCAAGAAACTGCTGTGCTGACGTGGAGTGATGGTTACCCACTCAACTGCTATGACGGTTACCCTGGTGTTGGATGTGGGATCCTCTTCAGTCTTGACTTCCTCCTCTTGAGACCTCAACCTCTACTCTTGGCATCTCCTTCGTAGTTTTGCTTATCCATAGAGTAAAAATGGCTAAGGCATAAAGAAATACCACTTACCACATATGGGTGGGTATTTGAATAACATGAGTTAAAAATGGCAAAAAAGTACTTCACCATTAGTAGAGTAAAGAGACCACATGTTCACATGACCGCCTTGCTTTGGCCATACCATGGGGGTGTACATTGGTGACCCCCTCACCATACCATTGGGCATCCTCAATGGGGGTCATATGAATCACCCCGCCACTATATCATCCTCATAGGAGCCGACGTTGGTGACCCCCCACCCCCTGATCATACCATGGGGGTGGTACGTTGGTGGTCCCTCTCACCATACCATTGGGGGCATCCCCCATGGGGTCATATGGATCACCCCAACACTATATCATCCTCATGAGAGCCGGCGTTGGTGACCCCCCACCCCCTGATCATACCATGGGGGTGGTACGTTGGTGGTCCCTCTCACCATACCATTGGGGGCATCCCCCATGGGGTCATATGGATCACCCCACCACTATATCATCCTCATGGGAGCTGGTAGTATGGTGGCCACCCCCCTTAGTACCTCCTGGGGGTGGTATGATGATGGCCACCCCCCTTGGTACCTCCTGGGGGTGGTGGTATGATGTCCATCCCCCTTGCCACGTCTTGGGGGGTGGTATGATGGTGGCCACCCCCTTGGTACCTCCTGGGGGTGGCTACCATACTCATTGCCTTAGCCAAATTCGGCCATCACCCCCTCACCACGTCCTGGGGGTGGTATGATGGTGGCCACCCCCCTTGGCATGTCCTGGGGGTGGCTCCCATACTTCTTGCCTTAGCCAAATTCGGCAATCACCCCCATCACCATGTCATGGGGTGGCGGTATGATGTCCACCCCTTTGCCACGTCCTGGGGGTGGTGGTATGATGCCTACCCCCCCCCCCCCCCTCTGCGTGTCATGGGGGTGGCTCCCATACTTAGTCAAATTTGGATATGCATGGCGCGCGTGGTGGTACGGAGTAATGGGCCCAAAAACCCAATCCTCATGGCCCACTCAACCGATTTAAGCTGATATGATTAAGTTGGCCTTATAAGCCATTTAATTCCTTGTTTTTAACCGATATTGTACAAGGTTAATTTTTGGTGTAAACAGATAAATTCGATAAAATTGAAATGATACACATTATAAATTACATAATTGCTTTAGTTATTGCGGTGGATAGGGGTGAAAATCTGATTGAGCTATATCGAATTGTATTAGACTATATTGATTTTTTTAACTGAAACTTTATTTCAATTTTTGTTGTTGTACTTTTTTGTTTCGATTTTATAAATTTTACTAAAAATCATATATCATTTTGTATTTGTAATTGACTTTGGAATTTCTTAAATAATTAACTTCCATTTAGTTTTTTTATGGCTCCAGATACTTACCAGTAACTAAATCTGGACCCTTCCTTTTAACTGGGTCTAGAAAATCTAGTTCTAAAGGTGGAGAATTACACGCATTTTCCCCCCTTGATTTCCCCCCCTTCGTTTTGCACAGATAGAACGGAACGAGTTCGTTATTCTCTACAAAATGATATCCACTTTCAATATCTTTTGAAATTTTACGAACCGTTTACCATATGGTATCTTCTTTGTTTTTAAGTCATTTATGAATTTTTTTGCACAAAAGGAACGAGTTCATCATGATCTATTAGATCTACAAATTTCTGGGTGAACAAAATAAAGGACCACATAATACATTACCACCCTAGTACGGGGTGGTATCTTGTGGTACACAATGTTGAAAGTCGTAAATGACACTTCTACTATCATGTATTCAACCATCCTACAGTCTTTGTATGTTCATACCACTATGATACGCTTTATACCATATGGTATGCTCTTATTTCAATACCAGTCAATACCATATGGTATAGACTGGTAAAAAATGGCTCAATTATTTTTTTCCAAAAATATATAAAAATGAATATCATTTTGAAGAGCACAATTAATCTGATATAACTGTGCAAAAACATTTAAATTCTGAATTAAAATGAGTGATAAATCACCCGTTAAAGATTAAGGGGAACAAATTAAAGGCTTTACATGAAAGAGAATGGACGCTGATGTGCCGGATGGTGATTGGCTTATTCATGATTAATGTCCTATGGATTACTAATGGGATCCGCTCCCATTTTTTATGCATGGTCGGTAATTAAAATATATTAGGATAAATAGGTTTATATGTAGAAAAGGAAAATCAATGCAAACGTTAATAAAAATGGAAAGCCACTAAAATATTTTAGCCATATATTCTTATAATCCAAGTGTACCATAATTATCCAAAATTTTATTCAAAACTATTGACCGTCTCAAATGTGTGTAATTTTCATTCTAATATCAATGCAAGATCATAAACACTAAAAAATTAGAATGATTCTATCAACCGAGGGTTTAGGGATGGTTACTTTTCAAGAAGATTAGGTTAGCTGAAAGTGCAAAGCACTTGACTAGCATGCATACAAGTATAGGATCATGACATGAAAACAAAATAATAATCGTAGTTTCTGCTTTCAGAATCAAATCAATCCATCGAGGTGGTGGCGTACATGACCCTTGTAAGTAACGATGTAACATAGTGTAAGTTGTCATGGTCTATTCCTTCTCCCGTACGATGAATTTGTTCGCAAAGTGTGTTATCTGTAAGATACTTGACAAATTAGTTGGAGAACGATTTCTTTTTCAGTTGATTCATTAAAGAATATATTATATTATATTCTTGAAACAGATCTCAATTCGAAGGCAATCTTGAAGTGAATATGCTCTTCAGTATTCTTCATCCTCATCGGACCAAGGAATAGTAATGGTCTAATGGATGAAGCATACACTAAGAATTGATTTGATATAGTTGGTTTTCAATTTTCAATAATTCCCGAACTTACCTCCACCTAATTGTCGTTCAAAACTTGCCCTATTTATACACTAGCTAGTAATCGAATAATAAACCCATAATATTGCCCCACTTCTCTATTGTCCACATCTGTTTGTTGACTTGTTGTTCGTCTCACTGCCCAGCATTATCATACGGCAAAAGGGTTGTCGTAATTTTTCAGCGATTGGTTTTGGAGTTTTACGCTCAAATCATGTATGGGATCAATCCATGCCAGCTAGCTATCACTGTAGTAGTAGACTACTGAGTAATCGCTTTGTATATTATTGTTTCAGGGAAATGATATATATAAAGTGTAAGCAAAGAAAGAATGTGATTCAGTGAAAACTGCACATGGATTTGCATTGGAATGGAGACCAGCCCCCTCTTTTTCTGGATTTGTTTAACAATGCATATCGAGCCATTGACCGACCAAGCGAGGATCCAAAGGCATTTGTGGAATGTTAATTAGGATTAAAAAAACCTCCACTGGTAATTAACTCCTTTTTTTTCTCTTGAGCTGAATACTGAGAACGACTTTGAGAATTGTTTTTTATTTATACATATTTTTTTTTTCTGGGTGAAAGATTTTGAAGGGTGGTGCAGAATTTAGTGCAGTAATGATCTGCCCTAGGTTTAGGTTGTGTTTGCCCTCCTGACATAATGTTTGGCATTTATTACATGCATGTGAGACAGCATCTTTGCCCATGGCCGGGTGGTGGGCTTTGAGCTTCAACAAAACTTAATTGGGAATTTTTGCCTACAGAAAACGAAAGATCCATGTAGGGGAAGAACGCTCCATTAAAGGAGTGGTGGAAAAGGTAAGGAAAGGCATGGTAAGAAGGGGCCAGGTAGGCCTGCCAAACCTAAACAGAAGAAATGAAGATTCTAGCTTGGAACATTAGGGGATTTAATCACCCCGCCAAGCAGAACCAGGTTTTGGAAGTAGTAAAAAAAGAAAACATAGATGTGTTTGGGGTACTAGAAACCAGGGTTAAGGAAGGTAAGTCCAAAGAGATAGTGGACTCGAAATTTAGCAGATGGGAGTTTGCAAACAATTATGAGTATTCAGCATTAGGAAGGTTATGGCTTTTCTGGAAGAGAGAGTTGGATTTTGTTGTGCTAGAGAAGTCAGAGCAGGTTTATTCATGGTGAGGTCAGAGGTGCACAACCTATCAAGATTACCTTTGTGTATGGGTTAAATGATGAGATTGGCAGGCGCTCCCTATTTCAGTCACAAGTACTTACCCCTGATACTTCCCCTTGGGTAGTATTAGGTGATTTTAATGCCATAAGAAGCTCCAATGAAGCTTCCAACCAACCTGTTAGCTCGCAAGGGATGATAGACTTTGATAACTGGATTGTTAGTAGGGAGTTAGAGGAGAGTGCCTTTGAAGGGCCTTGGTTCTCCTGGAAAAATAAGCAGGAGGGGAACCCTATTGTGAGGAGGATTGACAGGGTCCTCATGAACACTAGCTGGTTAGTTCATTTCCACAGCTTTGCAGTAACTCTTCTCCCGCCAAGGCTGTCAGACCATTGTGGTTTACTGGTAAATACTGATAGTCAGGCCACATCTCTTCCCAAACCATTTAAATACTTCAACTGTTGGGAAACACACCCTCAGTACAATCAGATAATCAGGGAAGCTTGGGGCAGAAGTTTTAAGGGTACTGCCATGTTCATAGTTTGTCAGAAACTGAGGGAGGTAAAGAGGCAATTGAGGAAGTTAAACAGGTCTGCCTATTCAGAAATCTCAGAGAGGGTTAGGCTTATTCGTTGTGAACTGGAGGACTTGCAGATTGAGGCACTGCAGCAGCCTTCCCCAGAGTCTTTTCAAGGAGTTAATGAGTGTCAACTGAGGCTTAATGAGCTCCTTAAAGAGGAAGAGACTATCTACAGGCAAAAATCACGTCTACTTTGGGTAAAAACAGGTGATATGAACACTTCATATTTTCATAACTATGTCAAAGCTCGCCAAGCCAGATCCACTATCAAACAAATCATCTCAGAAGAAGGTACTACACTCACTGATACCAGGGAGATGAGTGAGGAAGCTGTCAGATTTTACCAAAAGCTCTTAGGGACCAAAAATGCTGATGTACAGAGAGTGAGCAGTGCATTACTATCTCAACTTCTAGCCCACTCTCTCACCCCTGCACAGGCTGCTCCTCTCTGCTCTCAAGTTTCTCGAGAGGAAGTCAGAGCAGCTCTTTTCTCTATGAATGGAGATAAATCTCCAGGTCCTGATGGCTTCACAGCCGGGTTTTTTCAACACAACTGGGGGATATTGGGTAAGGACCTCACAGATGCTGTTCTGGATTTCTTCAGGACAGGGAAACTCCTTGCTGAGGTAAACTCCACTTATCTGGCACTTATCCCTAAAGTTCAGAATGCAGATTGTATGAAACAATTCAGGCCTATATCTTGTTGCAACATTTTATACAAATGCATTGCTAAGGTCCTTGCTAACAGATTGCGAGAAGTGCTCCCTATAGTAATTAGCCAGAACCAATCTGCTTTTATTAAGGGAAGATTAATAAGTGACAATGTACTTCTGGCTCACGAAATGGTTAGGTTGTACAATAGAAAGGCCATTTCCCCTAGATGTGCATTAAAGGTAGATGTGATGAAGGCCTTTGATAGTGTAGATTGGGGTTACTTAAGAACAGTAATGCAGGCAATGAAGATAGCAGATCAGTTTATTAAATGGATTGATATATGCCTGCAAAGTACAAAGTTGAGTGTGTGTTTCAATGGTGGTCTTTGTGGGAATTTTGCTGCTCAGAAAGGGTTGAGGCAGGGGGATCCCCTGTCCCCCTACATGTTTGTCATTGCAATGGAGGTCCTATCTTGCATGTTCAACAGGGCCTATGCTATCAAAACTCTCCCTCCCCACCCTCAAACTCATAGAATTAGTCTTTCCCATCTTTGTTTTGCTGATGACCTACTGGTCTTCACAAAGGGAACACCAGAGGCTGTTGGGCAAGCAAAAGCCATTTTAGATACCTTCTACACTGTATCTGGACTGAAGTGTAACCCTGCCAAAAGTGAGGTATTCTGTGGGGGGGTGAGCCCTAGTGTCCAGACTCTGATTTCTTCCAGAACTGGGTTTGCCATTGGGCATCTTCCTGTGAGATATCTAGGGATCCCTCTCATTGCAGGGAAGCTGAATAAGGTGGATTGTCAGGCTCTAGTTGATAAGATAACCACTAGAATAAGGGGCTGGAAGGTAAGAACTTTGTCATATGCTGGAAAATTACAGCTCATATCTGCTGTTATATCTAGCATCACCCAATACTGGATGGGGATTATCCAGCTTCCAGCCAAAGTGATCAAAATGGTAGAAATGGCCTGCTCTGACTTCCTGTGGAGTTCTGAGGAGGAGGGAAAAAGAGCAAAAGTTATCTGGTCAATGGTGGCCAGACCAAAAAAAGAGGGGGGTTTAGGTTTTAAAGATCTCAGGAGTTGGAATATGGCATGTTTGGTCAGACATCTATGGGCCATCTCTTCAAATTCCTCTTCTCTATGGGCTAACTGGGTCAGGCACTATCAAACTTCTTATACTTCAATCTGGGAAATCCCTGATACTATCCCCTGCTCGTGGGCTTGGAGGAAGGTTCTGAAGATCAGAACTAGAGTGGCACAGCATCTCATTGTCAGGTCTGGAAGAGTCTTCTGGAAGGATCATGAAATGGTTAAATTTTCAGTAAAGAAGGTTTGGGAGACACTTCGTGTGCAACATGATCTTGTTCCATGGTATGCTTTAATCTGGAAGTCACTGGGGGCTCCTAGGGACAAACTGATAGTCTGGCTGATTGCTTTGAACAGAATATCTACATTAGATAAAGTTGCGAGGTGGAATAGCTTAGTGACCAACATTTGCCCATTATGCACCAACATGGCAGAATCAAGGGATCATCTTTTCTTTGAGTGTTCCTACTCTCAAACTGTTTTGAAGGCTGTGCTTGCAGGGCAAAATCTGGTTAGGGTAAGCTGGGAGGAATCTTTGGAAGCTGCTGTGTCTCTCTTTCGGATGCAGGGTCCCTCATCTGATCGTGGTAAGCTTATCTGGGTGATGGTAGTGGCTGAACTCTGGCGTGAAAGGTGTAGAAGGGCTATGGCTGGGGAGGTGCTGTCAGAAAACCAGCTCCTGGTGAAGTTGCAGAGATCGCTGCGTCTGCTCAGGGGAGGGTTTCCTCAAATTGAAATTGTAGTCCCAGAGGATTTTGTAAATAGCATAGTATAGCAGTTTGTAGTTTGATAGTCTGATTGTTTTGTTTGGTTGTTTGTCCATTCTGTAAGAACTGGTCTTCTCTGTAAATGGTTCTTGGGTTCCAGTTAGAGGGGTTCACTATGAACTCCCTCTTTCTTGATGAATAAAAGAAGCTTATTCATCAAAAAAAAAAAAAAAGTAGGAAGAACATTACTCCATACAATAACCAAGTGTTTGTTGCTAGTCTTTAGCTAATTGTGACTGTGAGCATTTCTCCTAGATGTGATAATAATTAAGTTGTTAGATAATGGACACCTATGTGTGTTTTCACTCCTCTATATGGGATTTTCAGACTCGTACACACGATTTGCAGTCTGGAACTAGAAAGAGAAGAAGAGTGAGGAATACTAACTTCCAAACTAACCGAGTGAACTAACTACTCTATATAGTACCTATTCTATTATACTATTACTGATTCTTGAAGTGTTAAACAAGGTCTAATCTACTATAGTATAACGCCATTGTCCTCTAGCTGACTCTAGCATTGGTGTCTGTGGCACTTGTTTCTTGTCTGGATTGAGGTAATTATTTTCAAAAACCAGTTGATCTTAATAACTCGAGTTGTTCGAGAGAGAATGAGCACTAGAAATTGCGTACGTCAAGACATGTGGACGAGTGTATGCCAAGCATTCCAATGTAACCAATTGGAGGGCATGGCAGACGGGGGCAGAAGTCGCGCCAAGACGCGCGAACATGTGTGCCGCTTTTGATAACAAGAAGGAGAATGTTAGGGGTGTATGGGGGACACGTAAAATGTCTTTTTCAAATTTTAATGAACCTTAATCATAAAGGCATATGGTGTGTGGACATGTTACATGCCTCTTTTGATAAAGAAGACCAGAATTCGTAGCGAGAAAAGATCTAATAAACTAAGAGGGAAAGGATAGAGAGAAGAAAGAAAACATGCGCCTTGTGCGCCGTAAAGAGTGGTTAGTAGGATTGAGTATATTTGTACAAAGAGGAAAATGCTTAGGGCGCATGAGGGATAGGTTAGCTACCTTTGATAAAGTTGCACCAACTTTTACCAAGAAGGCATATGTTGTGTGGACGTGTAACGTGCTGTTGGTTAACAAATGATGGACTCGTAAGGCTGTACGTGGACACACGAAAACTAGGTGAAAGAATTCTTGCATCTGGAAGTTAGGCGCTCATAAGAAAAACATTGAGCGCCTAACTGGGGAAAATTGTTGGGGGTGATTAGAAATAGACCAGCCAAGCCCACTTAACATTGATGGAAAAGCAAGCCCAAATGAAGCAAAGCCCATCATAACCCATCTTGGCCAGTACAAGAGAGGAAACACTACCTCGGAGGCTAATGAAGACAAGATTAGCATCCGTCCAAATTGCCCTACATATGGAATCCACCAATAGCTAAACCAATAAACCATAAGCACGCGACTCCATGGAGAAAACACACCTCGGTGTAAAATTCTTATAAAAAACGTCTAACCCTAAAATTCATGTTTGCAACCTTTTATATATCCCAGAGAAATAAAATAACCAAAAACCCGAAAAGAAACAAAAACCTAATCCGAAAAGGAAGGTCGAACTCAGACAGGCCCGAAACCCGGTCAAAATACCCACTCTGGTATTTTCTCCTTTTGTCCAGGGGTGCTCCTGTCTTTGTTCCCCGGTAGGAGAATTCACCAGTGTCGGCCGGGTATTCGCTTCTACGTACGGGGATCACATCAGTCCCTTCCCGTTGAAGAAGCTTTGCTCTCAAAGCTTTCCAGCCTAGCTTCCAAACAAAATTCTCTACATCATCATAAAAAAAGAAAAGACAATCTCCAAAATTCCATGGAATCAAGAGCTCAACTATCTCGGCAAACACGGGCTCCAGTCCATGAACTTTGAAATGCCGGTCGTCATTCAATCTGCAGAATTGAATGTCGACGTCAGTATAATTAGTTTTCGCAGATTGAACAAGATCAGTTCTCCTCCATCCGGGATTGATATAGTAGGTTGGTATTGATCATCTCTCATTCCATGGGGTAGTGGCATCCTCATTCAATCCTTCTGCTTTGGACTTGGCGCACAAAAGCTCCAAAATCTGGCTCTACGTCTTGATCTTCACTAGTAGCAATAAAGTCTTCACTGACCAAGCTTGTATTCTCTAGCCTTAGTTGCTTTAAAACCCTCACATATCGATAGCGCCAAACACATTGAATCATCCTCCATCTCAACATCGTCTTCCTTTGGCTGATAAACGTCTGCACTTTAGTGCATCGGAGAACTCGAACTCGATCTCTGCTCCGCCATGGTTTGAAGCAAGGCTCCCACCTAAGCCATCTGTGTTGCAAGCTGTTTCATGGCTTCTTCTACATACTCTCGCTGTAATCATTGCACGGTCTTCCAATCATCAGCAGCTTCCTCCCGGGATAAAGGTTTCGAAATGAATACCTTCTTTTGATGCATCAATCAGAAGCTTCTGGACCTTCTGCAGACCAGATGAACTCCATAGTCTTGGAATCAGATTTATCCCAACACAATATGATCTGTAAGCTTGGACACCACGTCGCACAAGACCTCGTCTTCATATCTGCCAATAAAAAACTTAACAAAAACCTGTCCAACAGTGATGCTTGAAATCTTCTCACCAGGAAACTATAGCATGTATGGAGAGGAATGTAGACGCATTGGCAATCCCAATTTCATCATTGTTCTTGAGGTGATCAAATTTGATTTGATCCCTCCATCTATAAGCACATAATACACCTTCGCTTGAGCCAAACAACGAGGATATAACAGATTACCTTGCTCTGATTTGAAGGTGAACTCTTCAAAATCACCACTAGCTTGAATGGGGCTCTGATACAAACTGATAAGATTCCAAACTCATGAAAATGTGTTCTGGATAGGATACCTATTTTCATGTCCAACTAGAGTATTTCAATATGCCTTTAGTGTGCATAAAGTGTTACAATTTGAGCATGAATGTAATACTATAAAGGAGGATGAGAGGAGTCTACCAGACTTCGATAGCATAATCAATTGTGGATGTAATAGCCAAGACGATAACGAAAAGGAGAACGAACACGATCAGACAGATGAATTGAGACATGAATGCGGTCAGATAGTGGGGGTGATTGTCGAAAGTTCAGTAGAAAGGGCTAAGTTGGGTTTGAACCAGACAGTTCAAACTTGGTCTCTTCTCTGGCAGTTGGTAACAACTGGTCTTCAATTGTGGCTTCAGAACACACTCTACCAACTGAAAAAGAGTTCCAGCAAGTAGTTCTAGAGCTAGCCTTGTGAAAGGGTAGTTGGTTACTAATTCTTTTGAGATATTGTCTTCTCTGGACCCGTTTGAGGTGGGCTCTTTAGTGGTATCTCCTCTCAAGGATCCTCTACAATTGCCGGAGATGCAAAAATACCATGGCCCTAGTTGAGAAAAGGGAAAAAGGTAGGTTGGCCTTCAAAGGTCAAACATCCATCCAAGTAAAATGATTGTTCTGTCATGAAACATGCGGGGATATAATAACTCCTCTAAATATGGGTATATAGTATACAGTAGATATAAGGTGGATATTGTAGGCATATTGGAAACAAGAGTCAAGAAGGAAAATGCAAAAAAATAATAATAGAAAAGAGCTTTTCAGAGAGGATCTATGTAGTTGGAATAAGGCTTGTTTGCTAAGACATAAATGGGTTATCCTAGCTTATTAAAAACACTCTAGACAGCCTGGATAAAGGAATATAGGTTGAAAATTTTGAATATAAGGGGAGTATAGACTACAGGTTCAAGGGTCTGGTCCAAGATCCTCAAACTCAAAGGGTTAGCAGCAAGAAAGTTGTGTGCTACAAGTAGTAGCATTGTTTGGGAATGCAAGCTGATAACTAAGTTTAAGGTAAAAACTGTATGGGACAACATTAGACCTCGAGGGAGCAAGCTTGAATGGTCCAGTCTAATCTGTAAAGGGTTGCAGATCTTCAGAAATTTGGTTACTTTTTGGTTGATTATTTTGGATAGAATCTTCACCCTTGGCAAGATCAAGAGGTAGTCTCCAGAAATTAATGAAGTTTGTTTATTGTGCCTGAAAGCTCCAGAATCCAGGGAGCATCTCTTCTTCTGTTGCTCTTTCACTAAGAAGGTAATATGGGTTGTTTTCTAACCAGGGTGAGATTATAATCCAAGAGGGTCATGGTAAGAAGGTGTTATGCTCACAGGAATCAGGCAATAGAAGAATTATTGAAGAAGATGCAGGGTGTAACTGAAGCCAAAATAGAGGGCTGCCCCAAGGTAGTTGCAACAACCAGGGTTTCTCCTCTTTGATTTCGCCTTTAGTGTAGTGTTTCTTGATTTCTGGTAGTAGAGTCGTCTTAGTTGTTGTTTTCCCGTTTCTGTCTGTGTTTTTTTTTTTGTACCATCTTACATTGTACTGATTGATTTTGATCATATTTGCTGAAATAAAAAGCTTATTATTCATTCAAAAAGGTGGAATTTGCGAACGATCCATTAATCCACCAATTCAATTGGGTTGATATCAATTGAATTGAATTTAAATGAATTGGATTAGTTGAATATTTAAGTGGATGGATTGAATTGGATTGGATTATAAATTGACACCTCTAATTACATACCTTAGTCATGGCATGGCAACAACAACAAAAAATGTTCACTTTCCAACTAAGTGCATAAAATTGGAGATATGGAGAAGCATAGAATACAAGGAGATGTACTGTTACTTTTGGAATGAAGGACATTCTAAACTCCTCTAGATCTCAGCTTAGAAGAGACAGCTAATTGGATTTGGATAAAGGACCATGAATACAATCATAAGTGAAAGGAGTACGAAGGCGATGCCCCATCCTTGCTTAGCAACCTTGTCTTTTGTCGCGTTCATTTGCCGGAGCTCCGTTTCAAGCACTTGATACCTCGCATCTGTGGCTTCAAGATCCTTGAGCAGGTCCAGAACCAGCTTCTTGATCGACCCGGCTTGGGTGATACTGCCTCTACTACTGAGTAAGGCCTCCACCACCTCGGGCTTCAGATCGGTACCTGCATGCTTTCCCAATACGATTCATATAGTTTTAGAATAATTTCACAATATTAAATCGTAAGATTACGTATGTAATTTCATTTTATGACATACCCTTAAATAAAATCCTAATTAAGTAACTAACCTACCTGCATGCTTTCCCAATACCTCATCAGCCAACCGCTCGATTTCTCCCTGCAAGCATTTCTTGGCATTCTCCATGCTCTCTAATTTCTTCAGCCATACATCCTCCACGAAGTCAGAGTTGGGAGCGTTTGTCATCTGAAAATTACCGGAGATGGTCAGATTTTGGTGGCCGCGGACGATTGAGGAGGTCGAGCGACGACCGCAGGCTGGTGAATTTTGGCAATTGATCAAGAAGTTGGAGAAATTAAATTAAATTCCTTTCTTTCTGTTCGTGGTTGAAGAATTAATGGAATGGATTCATCGGTTGTTTGATCGGAATAGAAGAGATACGGAAGAGGAAGAGAGATCGGTACGGTATGCGAAGAAAGAAACTTTGGTAGCTAGGGTTTGCACTTTGCAATAATAATCTCTGGGGAATGGAAATGGGGTTTCATTAAGGAGATTTTTTTTTTTTTGCCTTAGATAGATAGTTAATAGATAGGGAATTACAATCAGTGTGAAAATTAAAGGCGGTAATCAGCCAAGTGCCGATTCACCGATGCAAGAGCCTGTTTCACCACGCAATGGGCAGCCCTGTTAGTTCTACGAGGAGAAAAAACAAAACGAATCTCTGAGAAGGCGGACTTCATTCGTAGGACTTCCTCAAGGATCGCACCGCCTCGGTCATGTTGAACGTCATTCCCCATAGCTCGTCGAATCACCAGTTGCGAATCACCACAAAAACAGACACAAAACACACCACGAGTTAAACACCAATCCATCGCATCTCGTAATGCCAACAATTCCATCAGAAATGCATCCGATATACCTTCATAGTACTTGCCGTAGGCACAGGCTAGTGAACCCGAGGGCGAGAACCCAACAAAGCCAATACTCCCCCCTTCATCTTGCCTAGTAGCACCATCGAACCGAACTAGCAGCCCGCCGGGAGGGCAAGTCGGAGGGAGGGGCTGCTGAGGAGCCCGAACAGCTCGATGGGATGCGTTACCGCCCCCCGACGTGGCCGCAACCCACTCGTCTCTTTGAAGAGTGAACTGTCTGTGAAGCGGTCCTGGTAAATATTGGATATGATCGTGGCATGTCCAACACCGACCCTTCCAAATTCGCCAAGTGAGGAAAACCAATTCAGCTAGCTCCACCTTGGCCAGCTGCAAACCAAAGAAAAGATGAGCCCAAGCCAAATCAGTAGACAGGTTTGCAATTACCACCCGAATGTGTTCTTTCCCAGCTAGTCTCCAAACTTCCCGAGCCACTCTGCAATCAAATAAACAGTGAGAAATGGATTCATTAGCAGCCGAGCACACAGGACAAAGGCTAGATGCACTCAAGGACTTATTCTGCAGAATCTCCAGGCACGGCAGAAAACCCCTCACAACCCTCCAAAGGAAGAACCTCAGTTTAGGAGGAATAGGCAGACTCCATAGAGCCTTCCAGAACTTGGTGTCTAGGTGAGAGGGGAGCGTGTCAAACACCTCTGAACGTTCATCCGAGAGGATGTGGTAACCTGTCTTCACAGTATAAATTCCTGAGTCAGAGTAATGCCATATTAATTTATCCGGCTGGGGAGAAGCTGGAAGCGGGATAGACATAATCCATTTTACACTATCACTGGAAAAGTAAGAGCGAATAAGGTCAGAATTCCAAGAACGAGTGATAGGATGAATAAGGGAAGCAACAAATGGGTTAGCAAGGGTCACACCAGGAAGAAGAGTAGGGAAAGAAGGAGGGGTAGTAGGCAGCCACGGATCCCCGACAATACGAATCGCAGTACCACACCCAACCTGCCATCTTAATCCTTTTTGGAGAAGTCGACGACCCTCCACAACACCTTGCCAAGCCCAAGAAGGCCTGGTCCCCGTCGGAGCCGAGAGGAAATCGCAGCGAGGGTGGTATCTAGCCTTGTACAATCGAGCAAGAGTGGAGTTGGGCGATTGAAGGATCTTCCACGCCTGTTTAGCAAGCATTGCAACATTGAAAAGGTCAAAATCACGAAATCCAAGACCACCACGAAACTTACTCACGCATAGAGCAGGCCAGGATATCCAATGCATCCCTTTCTCCTTATCCTGTCCGGCCCACCAGAACTTCGAGAGCTGACCATTCATTCTCCGGCAGGATGTGGATGGGAGTCTGAACGAAAGCATTGCATAGACTGGGGTTGCTGATCCAACTGCTTTGATGACTACCTCTTTAGCGGCCAATGAGAGCGCCTTTGATTTCCAGTTGTGGATACGACGAGTTAGAGCCTCCTCGACAAACCTGAAAGTCTCTACCTTAGATCTCTGGATGCAGGCAGGTAGACCTAGGTATTTGTCAAGCTCCCCTATTGAGTCCACTCCCAAGCTGGCGGCCAAGTCAAGAGCTTCTTGAGCTGACACATTGGAGCTGAAGCAGACTTTGGACTTCTGCAGGTTGATCTTTTGGCCACTGGCAGCCTCGTACAAGGAAAGAAGTTGCCCAAGTTGCGCGCATTCAGTGGTGGAAGCTCGCAAGAACAGGTACGTATCATCAGCAAATAACAAATGGGAAGTCAAGGGAGGAAGATGATGAATTTTAAGACCATGCAGTTGCTTTACTGAGATAGCATTAGAGATAAGTGTAGAGAAAGCCTCAGTGTAAAGTGCAAATAAAAGGGGTGAGAGCGGATCACCTTGGCGGATGCCGCGTTCCGGGTGGAAGTATCCATGGGTGTTGCCATTGAGAATCACTGAGAAAGACACAGTTGTTACACAAGCTTTAATTAACTTCATCCAGCTGGAATCAAAGCCCAAAGCTTCCATAACTGCAAAGAGGAATCCCCATTCCACTCGATCATAAGCTTTTTCCATATCCAGCTTCAATGCCATCCATTTGTCCTTCCCCTGTGTCTTGGTCTTGAAAAAATGCATAACCTCTTGCGCAATAAGAATGTTGTCAGAAATATCCCGTCCCTTGACAAACCCATTTTGCGACTCACTAACCACGGAGGGGAGAACCTGACTCAACCTTGCCGTCAACACCTTGGAAATTATTTTGTAAAAGACTTGACAGAGCCCTATCGACCTCATCTGCTTCATCAATTCTACATTTGGGACCTTAGGAATCAAGGTGAGTAAAGTATGGTTAAAGTTATGCAGGAGTCTACCTGACCTGAAGAAGGAGGAAGCAGCGACACAAACCGACTTGCCAACGATGTCCCAGTAAGCCTGGAAGAAGGCACCTGTGAAGCCGTCCGATCCCGGAGCTTGTGATGGACCTATACTAAAAGCAGCCTGTTTTATCTCCTCTCTAGAAACCGGAGCTGTGAGAAAGGTATTCTGGTCTATGGTAACTCTTCTGGGAAGGCCAAGGGCAGCCACTAGGAAAAGGAACGGAGTGCCATTAGTCTTAAAGAGGTGCTGGAAAAAGTCAACGGAGACAGTACCTTTAGCCTCTTCCTCAACATGAATCATTTCCCGAGTCATCCCGGAGAAGTTCAATGGTGTTTTGCCTCCGTTGCTGAGTCATAGTACGATGAAAGAAGCCTGTGTTAGCATCACCTTCTTGCAGCCATCCATTCCGGGATTTCTGCTTCCAGTAAATCTCTTCCTGTTGGTAAGCAGCCGCTAGCCGGGATTCCAACCCTTGAATGATAGACCAATCAACTGTTATTTGAGCCCGTTCCATCTCGATGGCTTCTCTGAACTCTCTAATTTGCCTGGCAGAGTTCGTAGTGCCTTGGCTTGCCCAGGAAACTAACTGGTGGCGAGCTGCCTTCAAGAGAGTCCAAAGCTGGAACTGGGGTGTACCAACAACCACTGCTTGCCATTCGCGTATGACTATGTCTTTGGCCTCCATATTGGTGCACCAACGCTTGTCAAACTGGAATCGGGGTTTACCCTTGCCCGAACCTGGAACCAGCTGAAAAAGGAGCATCCTGTGGTCAGAACCAAGGTCGGAGAGGTGAGAAACCTGCACATTCGGCCACGAAGTGAGCAATAGATCAGAACCTAAACCGCGGTCGAGGCGTTCAAGGATGTGGGAAGACAATCCTTGCCGATTCGACCAATTAAAAGGTGGCCCTTTGAAACCCAGATCTAGTAAGCCTACCGATTGAATGAAAGTCTGAAATTGATCCACCATGGTGAATGATGAGGGACGACCACCCTGTTTTTCCGAAGCAAAAAGGATGCAATTGAAATCCCCTAGAACAAGGACAGGAAGATGACACGACGAGACTAAATTGAGAAGCTCATTAAACTGCAAACCACGAGTATTTACATCATAACTTAAATGGACGAAGAAAAGAGCGAGAAGACCCCAAACTACATGCTGGACCTCAACATACAAGAAGAAGTCAGCTTGACCAAGCACACGACACTGGACGTTGGGGGAACAAGCAATTACAAGGCCACCGGCCCTCCCCAAAGGAGACACACATCTAGCTACCACATACCCTAGTCGACTCAATTTCTTATTCACATATTCATCATCATGTTTAGTTTCACTCAGACAAATCAAGGACGGAGAGAATCTGCAGATTGCTCCGAAAAGAGAGGGAATTGTCAGGGGGGAGCCCAGACCCCGACAATTCCAGGCGAGTATACTCATTTGGGAGGATGGGACCAGTCCGGGCTGGTTGCCACCACCACACCTTCATTGATCTGTCTTGCAGAGTCAGGAGAATCCTCCAATCTTGGTTTCTTCGGGTCGGGATCGTCAGCCGAAACCTCCATCAATTCAGTCCTGCCACGCGAGCCAGCCAGGGAGCCAGCGTTGGTTCCTTCTGGAGGGGCGAAAGGGCACAGCATCAAACTGCCCTGGTCTCTGGTTTTACCTAACTCCGGCTGAATAACCGAAGAATCGCCCAGAGGGATTGCCACAGCAGTTGCCTCCGATCGAGTTGCCCTCGGCTGTGGAAGAGGAGAAGGAAGTGGCCTCTGTTGACGCACCCAAGTGAACTGCCTCCGACCCAGCAGATTCCTCTCATTGACCTTGGGCCCAACCTTCTTGGAAACCAGGTTACGGTTGTAGGGGGTGACCGTTCCTGCCAGCTCTTCCCGACGGGAGCATTGTTGGCCGATGTGACCAAGCGTCCCGCACAGGTAGCAGAACTGAGAGAGTTTTTCATATTTCACAATAGGCGAAAATTCACCTCTCCCTGCTTTCTCATGGGTGGCCGGAACGGAGACCGGGAGGGGGAGCCGGGAATCAATCCAGACCCTAGCACGCAAGAAGATCTCCGCCGTCTCGTCAGCGCGATGGACTGTAGCCATTTCTGTTCGCCCCAAGTATTCCCCAAGTAGAGTGCCCATTCGCCTCGAGCAACAGTCTATAGGAACCCCCCAGAACTGGAGAGAAAGGGGAACTCGCCACATTTGATCTGCAACTGCCGGAGAAACGGTTACCCAGGGGGCCAGGTTCACCAGGAACTTGGGAAGAAACCAGGGAGCCAGCCGTAAAACCCGATTCATATCCTCCTCAGTGGGGAAAACCACTTGAAACAGGCCTTCAGATGCTGGAACTAGGGAAATCGGCCCGTGGCAGTTCCACAGCCGCCCCAAAGTGGCCTGAAGATGCCGGATCTGTGGAGCCGGCCCAATGATTCTCCCAAGCAGCGAGAGTTCATTGCGTTCTGCGCCCGGAGCGACATCAGCGTCTCCAAACACCACCACATTATTAACCGCCATAGCCAAAGTGTGAGAGAGGCGCAGATCCACTATCTGGGAATTCCGAGAGGAAAGAGAGGGAGAAGAGCGGAAAGATTGTGACTGTGATCCCTTCCAGGTGAGGGGCTTTAAAAGCCCCATGGGGAGAGACCCGTTCCCGGCGGCGCACGATGGCCAAGAGGCCGGTAGCGCAGCGTCGCACGACGGCGATGTCCTTGCTCCCACTACCCACGACGAAGCGGAGTTGGGAGAGGAAAGGTTTTTTTTTTTCTAATCTTCCGTTTTTACAACGGCGACACTTTTTTTCTCTGTTTACTTTCTGTTTTCTGATTTTTTTCCAGCTCATTAACGAGAAATTATTAGATACTATTTTTTTTATGAAATATTGTAATTTTTTTTTATGAAGTGATGTGTTTATATATGGTGGCTACTTGTTTATCCTCACTTTTTGGGTGCATTTATTACACTCAACCCTAAAGTAGTTATAAGATATCGAATTTTGAACTTTAACTCGTAGTATTAGTCAAATCTACACATAATATAATACACCGAAGGGAAAAACGGGAGCCCCATTTCAAATTTCCTGCAACGAGAGTGAAAGTAGGAAGGACATTTTGGTCTTCACACTTACTTTTTTTAATTCATTAAAAAGACACGTAGTGGGATTCGAACCATCACCATTTTAAGGAAAAGTAAGGATCATAACCAATCACACTAAGTACATTTGTAGCATATTTTTAAATTAAAAAGATATAATAGCAGAGAGGAAAAAACCCTTCCCCCATTTCAAATTTCCTGCTCTAGGAGCGTTTGTAGGAATGATAGAATAGGGAGTGTCAATTTTTTTCCTCTTTCCTCTGTGGAACGGGCCAACTTACCGTACACATGCGGATTTAAACGGGTTCAAGAGTGTCAATTTTTTCATTAAGCCCTTTTATTTCTCCGTGGTGATAAAATATATATGAAGAGGCAAAAAAAATACTTCTTTTTATTGCTAAAAATAAACAAAATTAACAATAAACTAATGCATGGTATCTAATGGGCTAACCGCTAACCATAAAATAAAAGAGTTGAATTGGTTTGACCTACACGGGATTTGCCCATCAAGTAAAACAAATGAACATCATTGGTTTGACATTCTAAAACAAGCTATTTTCTCTGGCATAATATATTATGCTATTATTTTATATCTTAGTGGCTAAAATATAATGTATTTTGAAGTTATTCAATGGTTCAACCTCGACCAACCCAATTAGTCCAATTTTTATCATTTCAAATATATATTATATAATTATTTGATATCATAATGATCAAATCATAGTGTATTTTATAGAGAATCGTTTGGCATTTGTTAGTAAAAAACTAAACAGAAAGATCTATTTGGTTATTTTAAACATTAAAACGATCCTAACATTTTCAGTTCCTTTTGAATTTCTATGGTTTTATTCCCGAATAAGTGATGTGCAAATGGCAGTCATCTCTTTTATTTCACTATTTTTTATTTTCAAATAAAAAGTTTAAAAGTAAAGAATAATTAGAATTTGGCATGGGTCGGTCAAACAGGCTGCATTTCAAGTTTTGGCCCCTTTTGATCGAGTCTAATTTATAATCACATGGTTCCCTGACACCCGATAAAAATCTCAATCCAAACCAGTTTGGCAGGTGAGTCCGTGTTTACCACCATTTTCTAGGGATACGACAACGACGGTTCCTATCCCAAATCGTGTTGTTCGTTCTTGATTTCCTTAGATTTTATCATGGCCTGCAAAAAACCAGAAAGCACAATGACGACAAGATGAAAGTTTTATAAACCAAATTAATCGGCCAACGGGCCGAGTAAAAGCTAGCAACGATTGTGAGATGCTCATTTTCCGAAAACCGACGGGATAGGCGATTTTTTATTCGATTTTCTGGAATTCAGTTTCTATAAAACTTACTCCACCTCATCATATTACCAGAAACAATGTTGTTTCACAAGGTAACAGGTACTTGATTTTGGTTCATAAGGCCGATTTTTGATTTGTTGCATCATTAATGTCTCTTTCCTGCTAAAATTCACTATTTTTATCACGTGTTTCCCAAAAAAACTTTACAACAATAAGTTATACACCCCATTATATTATCAAATTTCATACCTCACCTTCCTCTAGGGATGACAACAAAACCCGAACCCACGGGTACCCACCCGACCCAACCCGGTCAACGCGGGTAAAATCCGTGTTGACGGGTTTTGGGCCGGGTTTGGGTTTAAACCCGTTCAATATTCATCGGGTTGGGTTTGGGTTTAGGTAAACCCGACCCATGGGTACCCGCCCACACCCATATAATTAATTTTCTCGATATATTTAATATTCTAAACAACTTATCTTATTTATTTTTGTGGAGACATGTCTAATTTTTTCTTTCTAATTGTGTAGAATGAAGTTGATGTTATCGAGTGGAGAGTGAAGAAACTTAATTGAAAGGAAGAAGCTTTCAATTAATCATGTTATTTATGGATAATTTGTTATTTGCTTGAATTTTCTAGAATGGTATTTTATATATGGATAATTTGTATTGAGAGATTGATATTTGACTTTAATTTTGATAGGAACTTGTTATTGTAAATTTTTTAAGACAAAAACCTGTGGGTACCCATGAACCCGCGGATACCCAGGGGGTTGAGTTGGGTTTGAGTTTTTCAAACCCAGTGAATTTTACCCCGAATTTTTTTCACGGATAAACCCATGAATTTGGATTTGAATTTGGCAAAACCCGACCCAACCCGACCCATTGCCATCCTACCTTCCTCCGGCCAACTGGCCGGGGCCCACACTAGTATATTATAATATAACAAAGGATCACAACTAATCAATTCATCATCATACTCCATACTTCAATTTTGAACACCAACCCTCAACCACAAATTGTGAACCCTAACCCTAAATACTTAATCCTAAATTCTTCAAATCAAACTAAATCTTCAATGACTTTTGTACAAATTTATGTGTTTTCTTGTTCATCGTACCACAAGAATACTAGAAAATAAAATAAAATAAATAAACCCAACTCTTAGATCTGGGGCCACTTTAAGTGAAGGTCTAGATTTTGTTATGCAAGTTATACACCATCAGGTAGGGATGGCAATGGGGCGGGTTTGCTTAAACCATCCCCATACCCATCTTCAAATACCCAAACCCATACCCGCCCCATACCCATGCGGGGGAATGTTTTGCAAACCCATCCCCATACCCGTGGGTTTCGGGTACCCATGGGTAATACCCATACCCGTACATCCAACATTATTATACCTAAAACTTACAAGAAAAGTTCTAATTATAATTCTAAACGAACATATTATATCATGAAGTCAATAAAACACGGTCATTTTTTTAATATGGTTCAAAGATTATGATCCTAAAATACCCATTAATACATAATATAGAGTATAATATTTTTCAAATTATTATGTTCCAAATCTGATACATCTATTAAATAATAATTAACTAACATAATCTTGTTGACAAGGGGGAAAGTGAAAGAGTGAAATGAGAATTGAGAGAAATGAATTAGATTTTGATTAAGGTGGTCAATCAATTGCATTTCTACTATTTATTTTCTCAAGTTATCCTCATCATCATTGATAGATTATAATTTGATGCACATATTTTTTTATATATGAAGAAATTATCTTGGTGGGGCGGGTATGGGGATGGGTATGGGGCGGGGGAGGCTAAAACCATACCCGCCCCATACCCATCAAGCTTTTTGCGGGTTTTACCCATACCCGCCCCATACCCGGTCAAAGCGGGGATTCCCCGTGTTGACTGGGTCGGGGGCGGTCGGATACCCACGGCCATGGATTTGATTGTCATCCCTACCATCAGGTTACTGATCACTATATCCTGAACATTATCTCTGTACATTTTCCCGCACACTTTAAATAAAGGAGCTAGATCTTATTATGCAAGTTATACACCATAAGTTTACGGATCACTGTATCCTCAACCCTGTGTGTTGTACATTTTTCCCGCACACTTAATCCAATCACCTATCAAATGGCTAACCTTAAAACTTTCATAAATAGATAGAAGCAAAGCAAATCGAAACACATAAAATAATTAATAATTTAATTTTTAAAGATCCACTAATATAGGCGATATTCCTAGTGTTAAGTGAAATATGCCAATATATACCACTTAGCTAAATTAATTAGATATGATCAAAAATATCAACGGGCGCTTGGATAGATCCAATTTGAGCGACGTTCAATTCTGTTCAAGTGATAGAATAGTTTGGTAAGGCGTCATGACTCATGACAACGTCAAGGTACTCTTGGAATGCGGTATGCGGATCCTATGAGGCTATGACTAAGTGTCTACTTAATTATTTGACTAAGCCCCTTCTAATTTAGATACATCAATTTGACTGTTAAAAAATGAAAAGGACTTTCTAATTAGTGATAGGGGTTATTTTGGTATTATGAAAAATTATGAACTATACAAACCGAACCTACAAACCATACAAACAATAAAAACTAGAAGGACAAACCATATAAACCAGATTTTCCAACAATACAAATTAGACCGACGAACAATACAAACCATACAAAATGGAAGAACAATCAGGTTGACTTTGGAGACTCTGTCCCTATATAGAGGAGATCCATCCCAAAGTGAACCAGTTTTTTTTAGACATACAAATTTGGTGGACAAAAATGATAAACTAGATCGAAAAACAATACAAAATGGAAAAACAACCACGTTGACTTTGAAGGCTCCGTCCCTATATAGAGGAGTTTCATTCCAAAGGCAACCAATTTATTTTAGACATACAAATATTACAAACATGATGGACAAAAATGATAAACTAGGCCGACAAACTATACAAATTACATTTACAAACCATATAAAATAGGAAATAAACCGGTTGACTTTGGAGGCTCAGACTCTATATAGAGGATTTTCGTACAAAAATCAACGGGACTGTTTTTTAGTCATATAAACTTCACAAACATTATAGAGTATCATAAATAAATTAGGATTATGATAGGGTGATAACAACTCATTTGTTAGCATGATGCTAACACTAACTCAATGCAATATAATTTATTTTTTTGCTGATTTTTATGTTTAAGAGGGTGACCATATTTAATGTCGAGTTTTAAAGGGAGACATGCTTGTCATTATTGAAAGTTATCGGGGAACACATGTAGACCACAAGTATCATAAAGCATAATAGAAACTCAAATAGAAAAATACGACAAACCAAACTACATAGTATACTAGAAAGCTCATAATGTAGTTCAGAAGCTCACTACATCACAAAACTCATAAAATAGAATAGAACCTTGTAAAACTTACCACAAGTTTTAGACAAGAAAACTTATAGAACTAATCACAAGTATAAAAAAGCAGACCATACGAGAAACAATACAAACCTACCATAAAACTCATAAAGTAGACCAAAAGTCTCATAAAGCATACAAGAAGCTCTCCACGCCACAAAACTCATAAATTGGATCAGAAACCTCATAAAGTTGACAATAAATTTCCTAAAGCATGCTAGAAATCTCAAGAAACTAACCACAAATATCATAAAATATACTAAAATATTCATATCAACAAAAACAAAACAAAACAAACCACAACACAAAACTGATAAAATAAACCAGAAATCTCATAGATGAGACAAAATTATTTTTGTAGAAAATCCCACAATTAATCCCTCCAAAATCCTCAATTTTCTCACCGTTTTCTACACTTCTACAAACTAGCTTATAACCCGGCCCTTTGGCCGGAATACTCATATTTGATTATTTTTATTTTTATGTTACTTTTAAGTCTGTTAACCCGTTTAATCTTATTGATAATCATTCGATCGAGATGATACATAAAGAAATAATATATAGGTCGAACATTCGGAGAAATATCATAATCATTTAAGAATATAAAATATAAAAATGTATCATTGACCCCATTTTCATAATGCTAATTAAGTCTCTGTTAAAATGCTATTAGTTAGTTTTTTTACAGTCAAGAAATATAGAGTATAAAAGCTCACTGAAATTCTCACACACCCCATAGATAGTTTGAAACTAAATCTTAAACCTCACAATCCTATATAAAGGGTTCAATGCTCTCCTTCTAGAAACAATATGTCACTAATCAAAAAGAAATGGAGAGTTGTTGATTCAAGTCATCTATATACTAAAAACTCAGCTAAGAGGGGACCATCACAACTTGAGAGCAAACGAAAAAAATCAGGGTTATCTCCAATATGCGAATAGACTCGATCAAAGTAATAAGTCGCAAAATTAGACACTCCTTATCTATTAGTTCCAGTAGGTTGAATAAAGAAGCGACCTATTTCAAACAATCAATCAATGATTCCTCATTTTAAGATAGAAATAGGTTGTGACAGTTGCAAAAACCATAAACTTAAAGATCTAATAGCCACCACTCTCCGTTGTACAACCAAATTTCTATCTCAAGAGGCATATATTCAACCAAAAATTCAATTTCTAATCCTCCTTCTACAACTTCAGTTATTGATGAACTTCATTCTATTCGCCATGAATTGATATCGGAGTTGAAATCTTCTACTCGCCCAGCTTAAAATCCCAACAATAAAACCATAGTGCCAAGAGATATCTGAAGATTGATTTTCAATGACAGTCTTGTACTGGGAAGTGAAAGGAAACTATTGCACGATGGGTGAAATTTCGGAGGAAGTTAGAAAGAGAAAAGAACAAAGATAAAAAAACAAAAATTTTAAATTTAAATTGAAAAATGCAAGGATACAACACGTAGTTACATAATTAGTTTCTTCCATGTTAGCCAATTACCCATTTACCTTTAGCAAAAATTAAGGAGAGAGCGGGAATTTAAAATTGAGAAATCTCTACTATGAAAATAGAAGTATCAAGCTCGATAAAAATACATACGGTAGACTTAGTGAGCTTGCTAATTATGATTAAAAAGTCCTCTGATTTTCAGAGATTAACTTTGTCTATTTTTTGTATAAAAAAGGATGCAATAAATTTGTTTAGTGTAACTGGTTGTTATTGTTATCTTTGTTTGAAGAGACCCGAGTTCAAATCTTGATATTGCTATTTTTATATGAAATAAATAATAAATGTGTAAAGACAAAAATGACCTTTCTACTTTCACTCTCGTTGCAGGAAATTTGAAATGGAGAAAAGTACACAAAACTCTACCATATATTAATGGAGGATAGTCCAGAACTTTTTTTTTTTTGGGTAAAACTCTCTCTTTTCTTTTGTAGACACCCGCTGTAGTTGCGTTTAAATGTAAGAGATATAAAATGCAGCCGCTAGAATAAATTAAAGCTACCCTTGAATCTTGAATCAACCAATACGAAGAGCCTTGATATATTGGTAACCAAAGTTGGGGCCGGATAGCGTGACAACCCCTTTAGGGGTTGTCAATCTCGCTTCCCCCTTCCTAGCCCTTCATCCCCTTATATCTCCATCCGACGATTGATGATAGACAGGGGCAAAAAAGAGAGCTTCCACACTGGATCCAGCTCCCATTAGTTCTCTAACGTCAGCCGCGTTTTGAAAAGGCAAAGAAATCGGTGGTGGAGAGAAATTAGCCACCCTCCTCGGCGAACCATTCGTCTCCCCAAAACAGCCTGTACATTACTCCACTGAAACCCTTTTCCTCCGTCTTCTCCCAAAGCATCCCCTTTCAGCGTCTCGGATCGCTTTTCTCCGCTTTTCTTGATAGCAACTCGTCCGGTCCCATTCGATTGCGAAGACTTTGTTTTTCAGAGCATAGGTAATTCAGGTAAAGCAAAACTTTTACAATGTAATTTTCATTCAGCCTCCTTTTATGCTTGCTTTCCCGCCCCGATTCGTCGGCTCTATCGCTCCTCTCCACTTCTTCATCTTTTTCTATTCACTTCTGGTTATCCTAACTAGTTTTTTTCTCCTTCTGGTTAAGCGCATAGGCGAACATCCTTTCGCCGTCGTTCCTTTCTGAGGCCGTGCAAACAATCGCCGGTGAGATTTCTTTACACTACTGCTTTTGTTTTCCGAATGCAACGTTGGAATAAGCCACATGAAGGCATGTCTTTCTTGTGTGGTGTGTTTGTTTGGTGTTGGTATGATCCATTGGTAGTCTTAAATTCGTATAGTGCTAGTGGTAGTTGTGTTACTGGTACCCATAACATTGATATGCTAATAGTGGTGGTTTAATGGAATGGTATAACTTGTTCTAGATGTAGTGATAGTAATACCAATTGATTTGTACCATTATCAATGAATTGATACCAGTACACACTTATTGGTACAAGTACCACTTATGGGGGCTTCAGGTACCGTTGTATTTGTTTCGGTATGATTGAATGGTAGTTTTCTATTGGTACCAGTTGTAATGGTAATTGTGTTACTGGTACCAATGACAGTGGTATGCTAATAGTGGTAGTTTAATGGAATGACACAACTTGTTCTATCTGTAGTGGGACTGGTACCAATTGATTTGTAGTAGTACCACTAAAGAGTAACCATTACATACTGATTGGTACCAATAACATTCTAGATTGTTAGTAGTAGTATTGTACAATAACATTCTACGTTGCAAGTAGTAGTAGTAGCAGTACTTGTAGTGATATCATTTTAGAAGTGTGGATCTCAGTGACAAGATAACATTCTAGATTGTTAGTAGTAGTATTGTACAGTAACATTCTACGTTGCAAGTAGTAGTAGTAGCAGTACTTGTAGTGATATCATTTTAGAAGTGTGGATCTCAGTGACAAGATAACCCTCTTGAAGTTTTGAGTAAAAATTCGTACCAAGCATTTTTTGTTGTTGTTGCAGGAATGGCAGAACAAAGATATCAGTTATATCATCCGGGAATACACACAACCTGATGGTTGTGCATCTCAACAGGTAGCAATACGCTTGGGGGACTCAAGTGATTCGAGTGTTGGGCCTAGTAAAAAACGACCACGTGATGAGGATACAAAGAGTCGCAACAAGAAGAAGAAGCAATGGACTGTAGTCCAACTTCAATCATCGAGATTATGGAGGCCGGTATTTCGGATGAGAAGAAGGTTGGGCTAGGTTGTGTGTTGGATTTAAAGAGTAGCATAATTGCTTCATGTACATTTCCAAGTATGAAGAAGTTTATGGGTATTTCTTGTCTTTAATTTGATCTTGGGTAAAGTACTATTGCTTACATTGACACAATTGGTTTGGTGTTTGATTGTGAAAATTCAGTACCTTCTCCACTGGCTATAGAAATATCCCTTCACTAGTACCAAATCAATGGTACTGTTAACAAATCAATAGTACTGATGCCAAATTTATGCCACTGATAACCATTAATAAGACTGGTATCAAATTAGTGGTACTCGTACCATTAATAAGACTGGTACCAATTAATGCTACGTGTAACCATTACTAAGACTGGTACATAATCAGTGGTACTAGTTACATTAATACGAATGGTACCAAATTAATGGTATTGGTAACAATTACTGAAGACTGGTACCAATTGAGTTTTACTGGTACAATTTTAATGGTAATGTCTCCACTGTAAAGGTATTGGTACCAATGTAAATGACTATTGATGGTATACCTTTAGTGATATTAGCAAGTCGCATTATTTACCCTCTTACCCGTATCCTACTACTACTAGGAAGTACCACTAATTAACTACGACTAAATAACTACCACTAGATGACTACGTGTCTACCACTAATTAGAAACATAACTAATGGTACTTTTTTTTGAAACATTAGTTGTACCGATAGTAAAACACTAAAAATGGAAAGGAATTCGTAACGGCTTAGGGGTTAACCCTACCACCATTGTTGGCATCGACGATATTCTCCGCCTCGCCGTCGTCGGCATCAACGCGATCGGGTGCAACATGAAATGGTCGTTCTTCTCCACATCGAGGCCATATTGGACGTGGTCCGAGGTTCCGGATGATATTCATTCACCAGCTCCTCCACTTCCAAAACGTCGTCAACATCCACCATGCACACATCATCGCCTTTGTCCGTCGGGTCCGCCTGGTCAGCTCTGGCCTCATATATATCCTTGTCGTTGCTTGTTAATGGGACATTCAGATCGAACCCAAATAAACACGTAGGTTCAGCTCCCACCTGTCGTCATCGTTGCTGATGTAGCCGTCCATTGTATGGCGGCGGCCGCGTATTTCAGATGAGAAGAAGGTTGGGCTAGGTTGGGCTAGGTTGTGTGTTGGATTTAAAGAGTAGCATAATTGCTTCATGTACGTTTCCAAGTATGAAGAAGTTTATGGGTATTTCTTGTCTTTAATTTGATCTTGGGTAAAGTACTATTGCTTACATTGGCACAATTGGTTTGGTGTTTGATTGTGAAAATTCAGTACCTTCTCCACTGGCTATAGAAATATCCCTTCACTGGTACCAAATCAATGGTACTGTTAACAAATCAATAGTATTGATGCCAAATTTATGCCACTGATAACCATTAATAAGACTGGTATCAAATCAGTGGTACTCGTACCATTGATAAGACTGGTACCAATTAATGCTACGTGTAACCATTACTAAGACTGGTACATAATCAGTGGTACTAGTTACATTATTACGAATGGTACCAAATTAATGGTATTGGTAACAATTACTGAAAACTGGTACCAATTGAGTTTTACTGGTACAATTTTAATGGTAATGTCTCCACTGTAAAGGTATTGGTACCAATGTAAATGACTATTGATGGTATACATTTAGTGATATTAGCAAGTCGCATTATTTACCCTCTTACCCGTATCCTACTACTACTAGGAAGTACCACTAATTAACTATGACTAAATAACTACCACTAGATGACTAAGTGTCTACCACTAATTAGAAACATAACTAATGGTACTTTTTTTTTGAAACATTAGTTGTACCGATAGTAAAACACTAAAAATGGAAAGGAATTCGTAACGGCTTAGGGGTTAACCCTACCACCATTGTTGGCATCGACGCTATTCTGCGCCTCACCGTCGTCGGCATCAACGCGATCGGGTGCAACATGAAATGGTCGTTCTTCTCCACATCGAGGCCATATTGGACGTGGTCCGAGGTTCCGGATGATATTCGTTCACCAGCTCCTCCACTTCCAAAACGTCGTCAACATCCACCATGCACACATCATCGCCTTTGTCCGTCGGGTCCGCCTGGTCAGCTCCGGCCTCATATATATCCTTGTCGTTGCTTGTTAATGGGACATTCAGATCGAACCCAAACAAACACGTAGGTTCAGCTCCCACCTGTCGTCATCGTTGCTGATGTAGCCGTCCATTGTATGGCGGCGGCCGCGTGGATTGTATTTTCCGGAGGTATTGTGGTATGGTTTGATGAGGGAGGAGTCAGAAATGGAAGGGAAAGAGTCCCATCCAAAATCGGTTGTTCAGCTTCCACCAATCACGCTCCCAGATTTGCACCATGCATTTAAGTTTTATTTCAAAATTATTTCAGTTAGTTACTTACAAAAACACCCTTCGTTCGCTCCTGGACGTTGGATAAAGAAGGAGGACGGACGGCTATAAAGTGGGAAGTGAGATTGACAACCCTTATGGGTTGTCACGCTATCCTATCCCGTGGTACAGTTGCAGTAAATTTTAATTATCAAATTTAGGGTCTCTAGAAGTACTATTATTTGGTGAAATTTTGTTGTCTAGCAAAACAAGTTCATTGTTAAATCAACAAATAATTAAGAAAGTAGTAAGGAAGTCGATTTGATTTTCAATAGGAGAAAAGTCACTCAGGTATGATTCTCCCCAGTTTTTAGTAAGATTAATGTTGTTTACTTCTCTAGTTTATTTCACTCGATATTTATTTTGTGAAGAATCTCAATTAGTCTTAATTATCTTGATTAAAACATACAAGACCTTCTTGAATAAACTGCTCAGATGGACAAGGCAAGGCAAATTAGATTCCTTCTACTTAACCGAAATTCAGTACAAAACAGCAAATCGATCCACTATCGTATAATCGATCCCCTACTTCCAATTGATGAAGCTCTATAATCTATTTAAATATTCTCTCTTCTATATATATCAGTAATAGAAAGTATGTGATGAAGATTCAGTCAACTCATGAACAATGCATCAAATGTATATATAACTTCGAGTTTAATCAAAAATATTATAGGGTTCAAACAAACATAAATCAACCATACAAGCAGGGTCGTCCCATAATATTAGGAGGCCCTGTTCGAAAATTGAAAATTTGACCCCAAATTTTTTTTCTCGCAAATTTATTAAAAATGTTATGAAATAATACTAAAAAGATACAAGGTAAGCAAAGATTGCTTGAAAGAGAAGAGAGAAAGCGATCCTTACAGGAATGTGCTGGCTCGCATGGCTTATCAAGTCGTTCATGGCCTTGATTCTCCCATCCCGACGTTTGAGCTCTGATGCTCCTGTCGAAGATCATTGATGCGTTTGGTTTGGTAGATGTATGATGATATTGTTGATTTACACACACATACACGATAATTTAAAATGAAATGTGTTGGAACAGAATACAATGATGTATTGATGTGAATAATTCCATGAAAGAAGGAAGCAAGAATGTTTGATTATATTAATCCATAATATACATGAACAAAGAAAAAGCTCAGCAATGAAAATTCTTTATTTTCTGGGCCCCGGTAGGATTTGATAGGTTTACTCTCGTTTGACCATAAGTGGGCCTGGAATCCATCATCCATGTACAAGGAAATGTGTATAAGGCATGGCTGGTTGTTGGGCCGACGGGTATCAGTTTCATTTTTTTTAATATATGTGTATTAGTGTATGGGCCAAGTTGAGGCCCTAAATGTTGTTTAGGCCCTGTAATGTGGGTCAGGCCAGCACAGGGTCTGGGCCGGGCCTGTATACAAGACCAGGATTCGTCACACTCAAGTGAGAAGTGAGTTTACCCCATTGAGTAAGAATTGATAAGCAGAGAAATGTCACGAAGATGATGAAAATCTGCTCCTGACTAGTAATCGCCGCTTAAGGATAAATTCTCGAGCTCCAATGGTGTAAGAAACTCTCAATTTAACTCCAAGGAATTATCTCACCACTTTCTTTCTCAAGGGCTCTCCCTCGTACCGTTGTGCTAAAAAATCGAATCTTTTGAGGAAAACCTTTCATTGCCCATTTATACTCGATAGTGAGTATGCCACGGCTGTGACATGGTTTCTTCGTCTGGCTGTGAGACTCGAAACGCAAGCATTTGGTAAGTGATGACAAGGTCGTGTCACAGTCTGGAATGGGTCATCATGGTCATGGCCAGTTGATTATTAGAGTGCTTCTGTTATCATGCTAACTGTTTTGTGATTTGTGAAGGCTCCCAATGCATGATCACCATGCATCCACAATGCATATATATGCAGCAACTTTATAAATTAATTAAATCGAGATGAACAAGATTGATCAATCGCCCTTAAAAACCATTTCTGAAATTTAGCTAGTTAAAATTCAGTAGTAGGCTGTCACCTCTGTAAATTTTTATGCTTTCAATCAGAGTCAGAGCTAGGTGAGTATGCCACGGCTGTGACATGGTTTCTTCGTCTGGCTGTGAGACTCGAAACGCAAGCATTTGGTAAGTGATGACAAGGTCGTGTCACAGTCTGGAATGGGTCATCATGGTCATGGCCAGTTGATTATTAGAGTGCTTCTGTTATCATGCTAACTGTTTTGTGATTTGTGAAGGCTCCCAATGCATGATCACCATGCATCCACAATGCATATATATGCAGCAACTTTATAAATTAATTAAATCGAGATGAACAAGATTGATCAATCGCCCTTAAAAACCATTTCTGAAATTTAGCTAGTTAAAATTCAGTAGTAGGCTGTCACCTCTGTAAATTTTTATGCTTTCAATCAGAGTCAGAGCTAGGTGAACGATACGTCGAGAAATTTGAAGTTACGTACAAAATCTCTAATCTTTAAGGGAGGCTATATGTAAACTAAATGTCAAATTACTAAGTGTGTGTAATAGTAACATAGATAATTGGGGGTAGTCTTGGCGGAGACAGTTTCCTTCCTCCCTGGGGTTTGTGGTTCTAATCTTGATCTATCTATCTATGCAATAAATAAAAGCCAAATGAGAAAATTTGAAGTTTCATTTTAAATTACCTACATCCAGAGTGAAAGTAGGAAGGACATTTTGGTCTTCACAATTTTTTTTATTCATTAAAAAGACACTTACTAGGATTCGAACCATGACCACTTTAAAGAAAAACAAAGATCATAACCAATCACACTAAGTACATTTGTTGTATCTTTTTAAATTAAAAACATATAATCGCAGAGAGTAAAAAACCCTTTCCCCATTTCAAATTACCTGCTCCAGAAGCGTTTGTAAGAAGGGTAGAATAGGGAGTGCCAATTTTTTCTTTTTCCTCTGTGGAACTGGCCAACTTACCGTACACATGCGGATTTAAACGGATCCAGGAGTGTCAATTTTTTTCTTTAAGTCCTTTTATTTCTCCGTGGTGGTAAAATATATATGAAAAGGCAAAAACAATACTCCTTTTTATTGCTAAAAAGAAAAAAATTTAATAATAAACTAATGCATGGATTCTAATGGGCTAACCGCTAATCATAAAATAAAAGAGTTGAATGGGTCTGACTTACACGGGATTTGCCCATCAAGTAAAACAAATGAACATAATAGGTTTGCCATTCTAAAACAACCTATTTTCTCTAGCATAATATATATTATGCTATTATTTTATATCTTAGTGGTTAAAATATAATGTATTTTAAAATTATTCAATTGTTCAACTTCGACCAACCCAATTAGTCCAATTTTTATCATTTCAAATATATATTATGTAATTATTTGATATCATAATGATTAAATTATAGTGTATATTATAGGGAATCATTTGGTATTTGTTAGTAAAAGAACTAGACAGAAAGATCTATTTGGTTATTTTTAACATTAAAACGATCCTAAACATTTTCAGTTTCCTTTCGAAATTCTATAGTTTTATTCCTGAATCAGTGATGTGCAAATGGCAAATTGCAGTCATCTCTTTTCTTTCATTATTTTTTATTTTCAAATAGAAAGTTTAAAAGTAAATAATAATTAGAGCTTGGCATGGGTCAGTCAAATAGGCTGAATTTCAATTTTTGGCCCGTTCTGATCAAGCCTAATTTATAATCACATGGTTCTCTGATACCCGATAAAAATCTCAATCCAAACTAGTTTGGCAGGTGAGTCTCTGTTTACCACCATTTTTTAGGGATACAAGAACGGTGGTTCCTATCCCAAATCGTGTTGCTCATTCTTGATTTCTTTAGATTTTATCATGGCTTGGCAAAAAACCAGAAAGCACAATGATGACAAGATGAAAGTTTTATAAAGCAAATTAATCGGCCAATGGGCTGAGTAAAAGCTAGCAACGATTGTGAGATGCTCATTTCCCAAAAATCGACAGGATAAGCGATTTTTTTGAGATGAAATACTAAATAACTCCGGCCACCGAGACTCAAATCCTTGCTCCGCCCATGAAAATTTTCAATGATATATATCCTAATTACCGAAGTTAGAGTTTGAATTGTTCAAATCAATCAAGATGGATGATATACATATATAAAAAAGAGTAGATTTGGATCAAATGAAACCATTAATAAAACAAGATCGATGAATTCACCCTAGAAGATATCTGGAGGCGACTGATCAAAACAAACCATCCAGTTTGCTAGCTAACGGCGGACAAACCCTTTTGTAGATAGAAGAAAGCGCAAACATAGTAAACAGCAACGCCGCTGGCAAGAGAAACGGGAACGAATCCAATATGGCCCGCTTACTACACTCCATTGGTTCGGCCTTCAGTTTCTGGAGCGCCTCCTCGACCTCTTGAACCTTTCTTTTCCTCCCTTCAACAACCTCCACCAGGTCTCTGTAGTGACTACTGCAGTTGGATTCCAGACCTGCTTCAGGTTTTTTATTTTCCTCCATCAAATCTGTCGCTTCATCAAATGCCTTCATGGTGCCTCCAAACTTGGCCCGCGCGATCTCGTCCCTCAACCGATCGATTCCTTCCTGCAAGTATTTCTTGGCGTTCTCCATGGTCTCCAGTTTCAGCCATACATCTGCGACGTCATTCAATTGTGGATCCAGAACTGCAGCTGCTTCCAAATCCGCAGGCTCGATCTTGGGTCGGCTTTCCTGGCGCTTCATAGGGTGTTTGTGAATGAAGAGAGATAGCTCTTTCGACAATTTTTTGCGAGAAAAAGGAAAAGTGAAAAATGGTTTACTTTTTCTTACGTTTGGTTGATATGTTTTTATTATTTATCGGAAAGGGTTGCGGAGAACCACTACTATTAATCCAACGTGGCATCGTGATCCTCAAAATGATGGATATCTGGGCCAGACTCAGAAACATGTTTGTGTGCAATTGAAGTAAGGGTAGGGGTTGTGAGGAGGGGTTTTATGAAAGTGGCAGATCGGGATTTAATTTTTTCGGGTGATTAGGCATTTTTGTTAGCCACGCTAAAAAAAAGTTGACGTAATTAAAGGAGACTGATGAAAGGTAATGGTCAGTAATCAAACTTGAACTATTGAACTAATTTTACTATTTCAGTGACCACAAATAGAATAAATATTTTTAAGTGACAAACATAAAGCAATTTAGTAATCTTAGGGTCGTTTTAAATTTTGTTCTGAAATGATGCACAATGCATGCATTATTTTTTTATTTGACATATAAAATCATTCATTTTGAATCTCAACAAAAAAGTGAGGTTGTTAATATTGTTAGTTTGATAGTGTGGTTTTCCCCCTTTCCATCTATATCCTTACCCTTTTTTTATATTTCCATAATATACCTCAAATTAACATCAACTCAAGATATGGGCAAACATGACTTTTCTCAAAAAGTTACTTTGGATTTGTTTGGTTTTGGTGATAGTTTTGTTGAGATAGTTACAATGCATCATTTTTTTTTTAAATATATGCACAAATAATACATGTATTGTTTGGTTGATGTGACAAAAATCGGTTATAGTCAAATCTCAAGTTTTTTAGAGAGATTGTTTGATTTTTTCCCTTCCAAGTTCCAATACTATGTTACTACCTTTTTACCTGTGTTTCTTTTTTATATTAAAAAAAACAAAAGATAAAAGTGACATTTCAACAAAAAATAATATAACTTATGTTAATATTATAATAACTATCATAGAAACTAAATGATGTAAACTAATATACACCAATTTTCTTATATACATGTATGTTATTATGTATGCATTGATGACAATACATCAATTTAACTATCACCTAAACCAAACGACACTCTTAAATTTATAAAACCACAATCACAACAACCAAACTTTGTAATATCAAAATGCATCTATTTAAACAATACATACATACATTAATAATGCGTGCATTCATTAAAGACATCAATTGCCACAATCCCAAATACCAAACGAACTTTTAGTGACCAAATTTGCAATTTACCCAAATAAAATGTATCGAGATTCGAGATACACTAACGATAAAAACATGGGTAGTTATCATAAATGGTCATATAACTTATCACTTAGTACAAAACGGTCACTAAAGTCAATTTTGCACGTTTCAGTAAAATACGTTTGGACGAATAACAAAACGATCATTTCCTACATTTTCATACAAAAATCTGTTAATTCAGTCAAGTGAGCAAACCACATCACCCAAAAATTAATAAAAAATCAGTTAGTCAAATAAATTAAACCCAACCGATTCACCCAACCCACTCAAAGACCCAATCTAAGAAGAGAGCTCAAATCTGTCTTTCTTTTCTTCTTTTCTCATCTCTGCAAACCTAATCACAGAACGTAACACAGACCCCTCACTTCTTTCCAGCGAGCCGACAATGGAACAAGAAAAGTATCTTCTTATCCTCTTTCTTCCTTGATTTTAACAACCAAACCATGGAAGCCCCTAATTTGATGAAATGGTGGAAACCCATCACCTCGGTGCCACATGGGCAAACTGGATGCCGATGCATACGCCTTTTCTCGAAAACGAGTGTTCTGGATTGCCAGTAGCGACAACAGTTTCGTTTCGTCCGGCTCCATAGTAAAATCCGACATCTAAACGGATTTTAAAATGAAAATGAACGTAATGACCGTTTTGTTATTCGTACAAACGTATTTTTACTGAAATTTAAAAAATTGAACTTTAATGACCGTTTAGTACTAAGTGACAAATTGTTTGACTGTTTATCATAACTACCATAAAAACATTGAAACATAAGTGGTACCTTGTTTTCAGATACACTCTTGAAAATAATCACCACAGTTACAAGAAATGAAATTCTATTCACAAACACAATCCATACCAAACAAACAAGCCGTGAAGCAGACATCTTTCCTGGAAAATGTAGGTTACTTGGAATCTAATTGTTTGTATTCTCACTGTAAAAAAAAAAAAAAAAAATTGTTTGTACTCCAAAGAGTGATTGAATGAGAAGCCCGCGGCCACAAACGGCGCCGTCTGCAGGATGTTGGTTTCTTTCTTTTTCTTTTTCAGTTGCCGAGTCGCTATCCGTTCGTCTCCTTCTTCTTGCGATATATACCCAAATAAAGTTAAGAGCCTTGTTCTGCTGTTCATCGGAAGTTCCATGCTTTTGCTTTGTCTGCTTCTGCTGCTGAAAGAAACGGAATCTTATGCAAAACTAAGCCTGAAACCAAAGCTTGCATCTGCTCGGGTCACCATTCTAGGTATCTTTGCCTTCTCGCTTCTCATTTCAATGATCAGCCTCTAGGCTAGATCTCTAAAATACCTCACTCGCTTCTTTTGTTTTGCTATTTATTGTTTCCCTGCCATGGCCACTTCTTGAACTTACGAGTTGGGTAGTTATGGAGTTTCTACTAAGTTCGTGTTAGAAAGTTGGTGCATTGTTAATGGAAGTTCAGATCTCGCCTTCTCCTAACTCTGCAGGTGCTTACAATACATGCAGGATCTCTCTTCTACTTTTATAGCCTTTAGGCTACCAAGTTTGTTCTGCAGTCATGTTTGCCGTTCTTGACCTTAATTTGAAGGGAATATAAATGTGGTTTGCTGGCAATTTTATTTCTTTTTGTGGTGGGTTTGATTTTTGGTGGGTCTAGGGTTCTGTGTGTAGTTCATATAGCTGCTGTTGGAAGTTGGTGGCATCTCTATATGCTGAGAACTGAAGTTTTGCATCTCTCCAGTCCAGCAGTTTATGCCATTTTGCCAGCAAGTCTTATCTTTTCCTTTTGATGGTTATGCAGAGATTAGAGTCCTGGAGTTGTCTCATTAACCCTTTAACCAATGGGGAAATCTCCAGGGAAGTGGTTGAAGTCCTTGATTCGTGGGAAGAAGTCATCAAAATCTAGTCTTTCGAAAGAAAAGGATGTTATAGTAAGTAACCTGTTATCTTTATCCCTTGGGTGGAAGACGAATAACTCCAGTTTGTTTTTATTAAAAGCTAGAATGATAAATGAAGTTCTTAAGAGAGCAAAATTCTAACACTTCTTCTTGTTCATGGCTGTTTAGAAACCAAATTATGGAGAGCCATTAGTTCCCTCGAAGGCACCTTTAACAGATTGGGTAGGAAATCCTGAAACACGCACAGTTGCTCAGTCAGTTCCGGGAGTTGGAGTTGGCAGTGGAGTGACTTCGGAACATGCTGCAATCACCGAGCCACGGGCTGAGAAGGTTGCTATTGTTTGTGAAAAGGAAGGTGAAAATGGGAGTTCGGCAACAAGTTCAGGTAATGCTTCTGAGACAGTGAGGCTTCAGGAAGCTGGAGTGGTGGCACAGGCAGATGTTAGAGGCGATCTGGTACCCTTTTATTTCCCTTCGTTATCCTCTTTTAACAAGTCTGTAACTCTAGTTTCGTCTTCATTATCCCAATATGTAAACTTCCATTCATTATTATTTATTGACATTTTTTCTAAAGGTGTGAGAGTCAATGTACCTAGGTTATGTAACATGAGCTTTGTCAATGAGGTGTTTATACTATTGGTTGTCCCTTTGGTGGTACCTTTTCCAGTTTCATTTTACTTAGATTGGTTCCATTCTTCAGTTAAATGAGGCAATTTCCAGCTCCTGCAAGCCATTTTTCTCTCAATGTGTAGTTCTTACCTCTTACAGTAGGTAGTATATGAATTAAGTTTACTGTCCTCATTTCCCTAGAACCTTGCTTCTAATAACTAAAGAGCGACTGGATATTCTGTAGCCACCAAAGGGACAATGAGGTGTTATACTATTGGTTCCCTTTGGTGGTAGCTTTTCCAGTTTCCTTTTACTTAGATTGGTTCCATTCTTCATTTAAACGAGGCAATTTCCAGCTCCTGCGAGCCATTTTCTCTCAATATGTAGTTCTTACCTCTTACAATATGAATTAAATTTTATTTCCTCATTTCCATAGAACCTAGCTTCTGATAACTAAAGAGCGATTGCATATTCTGTATCCAATCAAACATCATATTCAGTATTCGCAGCTGGTTCGCAGAATTCTTCAGTTGCCTTTGTAATAACTAATGCAGGAAGTAACTCTATGTTTGGTTGGTTGCTGTTAATTGATTGACCTTCATGTTTCTTTTTTGAAGGACCCTCATGAATCTGAAGAGCAAAGACATATAATAAAGTTGCAGGCAGTTATCCGTGGCCAATTGGTCAGAAGGCAAGCTATAGCTACCTTAAATTGTGTATTGGCCATTATAAAGTTTCAAGCACTTGTTCGAGGTCAAACTGTTAGATGTTCAAGTCTTGGAATTGAAGTGCAGAAGACTATCAGCCTTGAGAAACTTCTGGTAAGAGTTGCTAACTCCTGGACCTTAAGTGTCTGGGCAGCACAATAATGACTACATATTTGTTCATGTGTTCATGCTATAGACGATGAGTTGACGCGATTATGACTGCATTATTTAACAAGCGATGTTAAGTAACTTCATGTGATTATGATATACCAGGCTTCAAATGCTGCTCAAGGAAATCCTAAATGCACATTATTAGGACAGAAATTTGAGAATGCGTTTGTTAGAAAGGTGAGATTTGAACTGAATTCTATTATCCCTATGTGACAGATGTGAGTGATTAGTCACTTAATTTGTAAGTTTGTAACTCTTCTGTTCTTTTACAGCTTTTAACTTCAACAGCTACCGCAATGCCTCTATCCCTCAAGTATGCTCCTGGGGAACCCAATTCAGCCATGATGTGGCTGGACCGCTGGACAAAGTCAGACTTCTGGAAACATATTTCACAACGGAAGATCAATCTAGAATCAAACTCCAGGACTAAGCAAGATAGTGTACAAAAAGTTGAAACTCAACGAGGCAGACAAAAACAAGCTGCCAGAAAGTCATCTAGTCTTAATGTTGCCAATGGCATACATGGGAAGCATTTGGAGTCCAACAAACCAAAACGCAATCCTAGAAAGTCTGCTAGCCCTACTGTAGATGCGGCTGACAACAAGCATCCAGAAAAAGAAATAGTTAGGGTAAAACACACTTCGAGAAAGGCTTCTGGACCTGCAAAAGAAGCTGTTGAAAGAGTTGAAGATATTAAGCCAAAGCTCAGTTCAAAGAAGACATCTGGTACTTGTGCCCTTGAGGCTTTAGAGCAGCTGGACAGCCATGTTTCTGCTGATGTGGCAAAAGATGTTCCAGTAGAAGTTTCAGGTGAAGAAGCTGATGTAATCCCAAGTACAAAACTGAACACCACAGAGGATATGTCAGCTCCAGAGGTCAATGGGGTACTTACTAATGTCGAAGAGAACAATAATGTACTGTTGGATCCACATGACGGGCTTACAGGAAGCGAGAACCTGAAAACAAGCCAAAGAAGAGCTTCATTGCCTGCCAATACTGACCAACAGGAGAATGGTGGACTTGGGATACCCAAACGTCCAAGTTATATGGCACCAACTGAATCTGTGAGGGCTAAGCTGAGAGCCCAAGGATCCCCAGTGTTTGCACAAGATGTAGTTGTGGAGAAGGATGGTACAGCAACTAGACGACATTCGCTGCCATCTTCCATCAATGAGAAGTGTGCGTCCATGTCACCAAGAGCTCATAATAGACCTGTCCACTCAGCAAGTAAAGGGTTTATCAGGAGCGACAGATCTCTAACCACTTCCAGAGACGGCAGTGGTAAGCACGATTTATTGAGTCAAAATGTTCAATAAAGATTTCTTCTCAATACAAACGCTCACTCAACTTTGTTTTCACAGTATAGTAAATTAGACAATGACAAGTTCTAATATCAGCTATGTCCTTTATGCCAGTTTCAGACAGGATGATTAGACCCGAGTGGAGAAGGTGATTTGGAAGGAGTTGTGTTCTGCATGGATGCTACTACATCGTGCTTGGGATTAAAGAGAAAAAGCTGTCGAGTTGAATATGTTCTGAGGTAGATGTAATTAGAGGTTGATATGTGAAGCATTTTGTGTTTATGTTTGTGATTATGATGTTTAGGGTGAATAGCTACTGGCCTTAACAGATGCTAAAACATCATGCTTGTCTTTTGTTTGTCATATATTAGATGTTTTTGACAGAAAAACTTCCAATTTCAAAATCTATTATGTTTTCTGGGAAAAGGTTATCTTTAAAATCACCATTTGCCTCCACAGTATCAGTGAATAGATGCAAAAAAATGGGCGAGATGAGAAAATTGTGGCGCAATGAACCTGGGGTGTAACTTCACTTCTCTTGAAGGGAGAAGAGAGATTTGAACACGAGACCTTTAGAGGACGGGACGAGAAGATCATTTGATGAAGCAAATGTTTGTTGAGACCTCTCTCTCAATCTAATCATTGTCAAATGGCCTCCTAGAGTTCCCCCAAACACTTCAGTGGGTCAAAAGACTCTAAAGTCCCCAATGAAGTGGTCAAGGGAACTCCAGTAGACATTTGACTTTCTGGTCTGGTTTTGGTTTCTATGCTGGGCACTTATGATAGCATCTAGCTATTTATAGGCTACCTGCAGGACGACTTGCCCATTCACTAGTTACCCTTCTGGCCTTATAAATCAAACCAACTATACAGTGAGTGAATCTGGATAGAATTGTGGGTAGTATGGAAGTTTCAAAGAGAATATGGCTCTTGATGAAGTTGAGTGGACCCATATTCCCTTCTATCTCCCAATTCTTCTTCCCACATTTCTGTCCACATTCAAATTGACAATTCATTCATTCACAAAATCCAGCAAGTGTGTTAGGAAGAGATGCAGAGACTGCCATAGATGAAGGGAAGGCTCTCAAGACATATGCCCATGTCTGTTTCATTACATTGGCAAGGTGGCCTGGGTTTTTATTAATCTTCTTGGTTTAGTTATGCAGTAAAGCTTCAAAGTCTTTTTTTAGTCGTTCAGGATAAACAGAAGGCATATAGTGATGTTCCAGGAGTCCAAGTAGTGTGGAACCTTGCCAATCCAACGGTGTAACCATTGCCAAGGAAGATACAACCATAGCTCGCTGATATGCCACCGTACACCGTGGCACCGGTATTGTAAGACCACAAGATCTCCCCAGTTCTTGTATCCATTGCATATATGGGTCCATTGGAAGCCACAGAGCCAGCCAGCAGCACATCATTGACCACCGAGACAGGTGCTTGTGATGTGTCGTTGCTCGGATTTGCTGTGGTCCACAGGATTTCGCCAGAGCATGCATCCAGAGCCACCCACGCTCCTGCTGTTGTAGTTTGGCTAGATGGTGCGAGGGTGAAGCCCTGACGGTCGCTGTTGGCAATGTTTGTGTAAACTCTTTTCCCATCTGTTGCTGCTCCCCATTGTCCTCCTCCCTCCGAGCCTCCTGGCCCTGCTTCCTGCACAACCACAGTTTAGTTTCCGGTTAGTTTTCAGAATCTAGCCCGACCTGACAACCCGTCTAAATTGAATATGCACACAAATCAAGCTGATCCAACAACCAACGATGCACAAATTGCTCAATTTGTGACTTGATCAACTTATCTGATCGACCCATAACCCAATCGACTCTCAACTCTACACTGATAAAGTGACCAAATTGAGGGCAGGTCCAACGTGAATGAGCTGTGGAGGCAAAAAGTATCACCCATTGAAACCCTTTCCGGGACTTACATTGAACCACACGATAGCTCCACTATCACGATCAAGAGCCCAAGCAAAGCCACTCTTCTGGACAGCCACCACAATGTCGCGAATTGTTCCATTGATGAAACTAGTGAGCAACATAGGAGCTTCCCCAAAGTCTGCATCAGGGTTAGGCCCAGGTGGACAGTCAGGGTTATTAGGAACCAAACATGCAAAATAGAAAACATCATAGCCACCAAGCTGCCTGGCCCATCTGATCTTCCCACTGTCCAACTCAAGAGCCAGGATCGAGTCATAGTGTACGTCAGCAGCGACACACTGATCTGGTTGGCTTGGTTTTGTTGTCTGGTTGTTTTGAGCTTCCTGACACTCAGAGACTTCAGGTGGAACTGAGTAGAGGTTCCCAGTTGCCACGTAGACCAATCTCCTCGCCACATCGATTGCAGGGCTGCTCCCCCAAATCGCAGCTCCTGCGTAGCCTCCCCTTTGGCCTCCATTGTCAGGAATCATATAGGTGTTCCAAAGGACTGCTCCTGTTTTGATGTCTAGCTTTGTCATTCTGCCTCTGAATGTGCAGCATTGTTCTGCTGGTAGCCCTTCTTCTAGGGATGAAACACCAATGTACAGTGCCCTGTTGAAGGGACAATTCAGATAACAAGGAAACCATTAAAGGTTGAAACTTTTAGCAGGAAGAAGAGAAAGGGTAACTGGAAAAAGGTAATTCAAGAGAGCTAGTGAGGTTTGTAGTCCCCTAGACTACACTTCTTCATAAATACCGTGATACAAATTTTACTAACCCATTGAAGTATGTTCCAGACTGAGTGATTAGGACCCTGGGGCGGGGATCCAGCTGAGTAGACCAAACAAGCCTTCCAGTCCGTCTATCAACAGCAATCACAACAGCAGGGCCATAAATTCCAAAGATGGCGAGATCACCAGCAATTGTTGGCGTTGTCCTGGACACTGTCACATTGACAACAACACCAGTTCCATTCAGTCCTGTCAACTGGTTCAAGTTCTGCTGCCATATCAGGTTGCCACGGGCAGCCGTCACTGCATAGATGTAGCCGTTCCAACACGGGAAGTAAACGACTCCGTCGGCTACTGCTGGAGTTGCTGAAATGTCTCTGCCTGCATAAAATGTCCATCTTAGCTTCAGGTTCTTGACTGTGAACCTGTTGATCAGCACCTCCCCGATCGCCCGCCTTGAGTTGGTTATATCAGAACCGTGATTCAGCCACTGGATTAATGATGGATTAGGGGGTTACCTTTACTTCATTAAACATGGAATGGAAGATTTAAATGTATCTAAATGTACTTACAATGGCTGAAATGGTGCTCAGCATGGAAGATAGACAGAGAAGAAGGAGAAGGAAGTGATTGTTGGCCATTCTTGCTCAGATGTCCAATCAATTAATGTGAACCAGAAGTGTGAGCTAGCTCATACTGAAAGCTTAACCTTGATGTGATTCTCTGCCAAATTTGTGTTAAGGGTAAATGAAAGCACCCTTGGCTATTTATAGGTCCTGGTCAATCACAAGCTGACAAATTGTAGCCCAAACTTGAGTTTTGTTTTCGTATGATAGTTAGAAACACGATTATTTGTTAGTTATTACTATCATTTTAAGTTTAGGAGGCGTGCAAGCAGAGTCAAGCAAGATTAGAGTTAATATAAGGTTATTATTAGAGTTAATTATCTTCCCCTCTTTACTCTTTAGCTAGACCGCCGGCCATTCTGCCATTTTCTCTCCAATTTCTTTCCATATCCATAAATTTTGTCCTCAATCCTCTCTAATTCTCCTCTTCAATCACTGAATCAATCCCCAATTCATGTCTTTCTTACATTTGGTATAAAAACTTTGGTTACAAGTATGCGTATCGCAATTCTCATTCAAAAATTGCAAATGATGTTTATCCTCTTGCAGTCGCGTCAGAGAATCTTTTATGTGGATCTTGGAAGTTCATCTTTGGAGCTCGAGATTGGAGGACACGGACAAGTGATCGTTCCTTGAATTGGAGGTAGAAGTCAAGATTCTTGAGGGGAGGAATCTTTAAGGAGGATGGATGGTTAGAAACACGCTTATTTGTTACTAATATTATTATTAAGTTTAAGGAGGCGAGCCGTCAAGTAGGAGCCGAGCAAGATCAGGATTATTATTAGGATTTTGTTATTTTCTTATAAATATATACTTTGAGATTTTCTTACAAAGTCAAACAGAAAATACAAGAAGTTAAACACACTTATCTCTCTTCCAAAATTTTAATTATCTTCCTCACCCTAGCTAAGTTGTCGGCCATTCTTCCCCTAGTTTCCCCCCAATTTCTTATCCAAATTCATAAATTATGTCCTTAATAATCTCTAATTATCGTTTTCAATTTCCAGATCAACCCCAATTCCTGTATTTCTTACAACGATTTGAATCAAATTGATGACTCAGAATCGTGGAGCTGTTCTTAATATTGTCCATGAAAAGTGATGATTGCATAAGGTTTGCAGCCTTTTATAGGTTGTTAGAATAAGGACAGAACTATGATGTCTGCCAAAATGGGAAGCTTATCTTGAATAAGTTTTGCTTCTCTTGTTCTTACATGTCAACTTTATCACAAGAACACCTTATTTTCAGGCTTCCCATACATACAGTGGTATACAAAGGATAGATGGTTACTATTTTTTTCTGATTCTAATCATTCAACCCTCCTGTTTATCAGGGATTGCTATCCAGAAACTCTGGCTAAAAGAGCACATTGATCTGCGCCAAAACTTTAGCCATTTTCTGCCTTCAGACTTCCCAAGAAGCAAGTTGCATGTGTACAGCATGGGCATCAAGATTCTAAGACCCACTCCTTCAGTTTTCTCTTCCTCATTTTTCAGTAGAAAAAGAAAATTCTTCTTTCTTGCCCTGGCTAGGAGGAAGTTTTTTTCCTGCAATCTTATGTTTGAGTGTGAGCAAATTACAAGCAATTGAAATAAAATAATTACCCAAATGCACCATTGCAACAAGTAAAAGGGAGTTGAACTGATGAATAAGTAAAATCAGAGGCAGAATTTGTCTCTCAACAGAGAAATTACTGTTTTTGGCAAAGATCAATTCAATACTAGCCATGAGATTGTTCAGGGCAAAAACAATGAGGTAAACCTGATCATCATCGAGACGTAGGTTTCCAACAACTTGAGTTATCGCGTCAAGTGCCACCCAGAGTTCCCCCAAACACTTCAGTGTAGGACGCTGATAGAGCCACCGCAATGAAATGATCAGGAGAACTCAAAGGGGCAGCTGACAAAAGTAGTTAACTAGCTAGCCTGCTTGCTACAGTTTTTTTTTCCTGTCTCCAACAATTTGAGTTATTGTGTCAAATGCCACCCAGAGTTCCCCCAAACACTTCAGTATAGGATGCTGATCATAGAGCCACCACAATGAAGTGATCAGGAGAACTCAAGGGGACAGCTGACGAAAGTAGTTAGCTAGCTAGCTGTCCTGCTTGCTTCAGTTTTTTTTTTTTTTCCCTATCTTCAAATGTTTTGTTGATTAAACAAGCAAATGACTCTTCCCTTTATATACCCAAAACCCTTTACTCACAAATCACCATGAAGAGAATTGGCAGAGTATGTTTGGAACCTGGTCATAATACAGGCATATGGTACAAATTTCCTTCCTCCAAGGACCAATTTTTGAGCACAGATCGATTCAGAGAACATTGTGCCAGTAATACGTATACCTTGTTATCAGGCACTTCAGAAACGGTTTGTGGGTGGGGGGTCAATTTGCAAAAGGTCGAAAGGGAAAGATGGGAGATGGAGCTCTCCACGATATGATTCTGCCAGGCACCACTTTATTTTGTTCTCTGGTTTGCTTCTTTCTTGACTTGCCCATTCTTCAAGTCTAGGTTCAATCAGCCCATGCAAGATGCCACCATCATCATGCATGCAAAAACATGAAAAGGTAAAAGCAATTGAGATAAGAGATATAGCTAGCGAAGTGCTCTGATGAGGTAAACCAAGATTTGGTGGCTGATTGGTGGAGCAGAGGTAGATAATATTGGCAGATGCGGAGGAGCACGAATCCACATGGACAATTTAAAAAATTGTAGGATCAAATTGTTGGATCCAGATTGTATTAATATGATTTACCAGACCATAATTTACCAGATCTGACTGTAGACACAACACACTTTCCAATTCGAGTTAGCAACCTACGTGGCCACTCTCACTGCCCTTAACGAGACCAAAGTGTCAATCCTAATTTTGCAAATCTTGTATCCCTATGATATTATATTATGTTTATGTTTATGGTGCTTTGGTGGAAGTTGGGCTGCTATGACTTTATGACTTTGTTATTTGCTTGGATTTAGGATATCTAAATTATGCATGTGTGTTGAAATTCAGATTTTAAGGCAACTCACACGTTTTCTCGGTTAATGGTTCGATCTATTCTTTTTTTACACAACATTGTCTACTTCGGACCATAATGAATCAGAACGTATAAGCATAATCAGATCAATCATCAATCAAATATAACTTCACAATTTCCTTCATCGAAATAGTCTTTATAACACATATAATATGCAATACATGAAATGCAGACTCTCTATTTATTATTAATTTACGCGCTAAGGTTACCATACAGTCAGCCCGCTCTAGCTCATCATCTTAGTAGTTATATAAAAAACCATAATCTCATCAAATCTTGGATTATCATAAATCCTCTCATCAAGACCGCAACTCAATCAATGCCATAGGGGTAGGCATATGCTCTCTTTATGTCTATATGATTTAACAAGATCAAACAGTATCTATTTCTCTCTTCCATCGTCATCTTAGTCGATCTAAGAAATTAACATCTCATTGATATTCCCAGTACATGCGTATCCTACATCATCCATATATACTTTCATGCATTGCATGATCTCAATATAATCGTCAACTAATCTCAATGATATAAATAATTCATTCTCCTCAATAAATCTTGACATAATTACCAAATACTCAATTTATCAATACCTCTTTAATCTCATCATAATCATTTATCACATCAACATCTCATCCACATTATAAGGGTCTGGGTTACAGTTACAACCCACTTTGTAACAATCAGATGCATTCTCTGGAATAGGTTAGCGTGGTTACTCAATTTTGAGTAATCATGGTGGCTACCATAATCTACACCCTTTATTATCTTTATGTTATCCTATTTTTAAATTGACGTTAAAGATTAGATTAAGGGTAATTTTGAAAATGAAAAGGCAACACACCTGATTACTCTCTATATTAATATTATACCTAAACCCTAATGCAACTATCTTCATAGCCGCCACCTCTCCTCCCTCTGACCCACCCCACAACCCCATTTGCCTACCACCACCGTCCTCCCTCTCACCCACCCCACAACCCCATTTGCCTACCACCACCATCCCCTTCCCCGCCATCCCTCCTCCCTACCTCTGCAGTCGACGACGATGATGAGGAACCAAGGTCATGAGCAACGAGCGTGGCGTCTCCCTCATGAAATCCACTAAGGGGTCAGCTAGGTTTCACTCACTCCCCTCGCAATCTCTCTCTCACACAGGCGGCTGGAAAAGGTGGGATGAATAAAAATTCTAGATTTGATTTTTTTCGCATTGGTAGTGATTTTTTCGTAGTGGTAGCATTTTTTCGCATTGGTATTGTTTTCGTCGCATTGGTATTGATTATCATGTAATGATATTAATTTGCATGTATTGGTATTGATCAAATCTGCAATGATATTGATTTTTATGAAATGGTATATATTTATATTGGTAGTTTTCGTGTAATGGTATAGATTTATTTCTGCAATGGTATTGATATTTTTCAAAGTGGTAGTGGTTGTCTAATGGATTGGTAGTGATTTCGTATTTTTTTCTTCCTTTTGCAGAAAGATTGAGAAAAATAAGGAAAGAGGATCTTGCTGGAGATTATGGAAGTGAGAGAAAGAGAGAGAATTGTAATTAATAGATTCTTGTAACTACCTAAAATGTAACTCACCTCGAAATTGTGCAATTTAATTCTATAAAGTTAACCGCTTTTTTATAGTTAGTTAGAATGAGTACATATGCAAACCCTACGTCTACACCCCCTGCATGCCGACTGCCAGGGGATGGGGATGATATGCAAACCGCCACCGGCCCCTGCGGTTTGTATTTCGGTAAATCAAACTGCTGATTAAGGTGACGCTTCTTTTGGCTGAGCTTGAACCGTCATGTCTAGCTGTGCTTTGTTCTAGGTCAGCCATTAAACCGCCACTTGCCCCAGCGGTTTGTGCCAAAAATAAAAACCACCGCTCTACCCAGCGTTTCATTGAAAACCGCTGCCTCCTGTGGCGGTTTATCTGAAAGGGTGGTATCAATGTAATTATTTTGAAAATGGTGGTATTTTGGAATTATTTAGTTTTAGGGTGGCATTTCTGGAAAAAATTCCCGGTAGTATATGATGATGAAATGTGTTAAACGACAGTATCATCATGTATGAAACCATTTTACACAGTCATACCTTGTGGTATAGTCTTATATACTACCAAGTATTATCAAATGGTATGAACTGGTAATAAATGTCTTAATTTTTTTGTACCAAAAGATATCAAAGTGGTTGTCATTTCGAAGAACACAACTAATCTGATTTATCTGTGAAAATAATAAAATTATGACTTAAAAGGAAAGAGATAACCCATTAAAATCAACTGGAGGAAGGTTAACATACACATAGAAGAACCAGAATAAGGAAACATAAGAAGAGAAATTTTGAAGATGAACACAATACGCAAAAAGAATCAATTGGTGTGAGAAATTGGACAATGGATTGCAGGTCTCCTCTTCTCCATCTCTGATCTCCCTAATGAAAGCACTGCAAACTTTCCAAAATAGCAGTAACTTTTTTTTTCCCAGTACCACAAAATGAGATGTTATCCAATTTCAATCCTCCATCTTCTCCCTTCTTTGCATCTCCATCCACTCATCACACACCAAAGATCAAAATCAAACACTTTTGCCTTCCTGGAAACAACAAAGCTAATTCTTTGGCGCGTGATAGGAATCTCGCGCTTCGTAGTACCCGAGCTTCTCTACGAACGAACTAAGGAATGCGATAAAGAGAACTAATTTACTATTAATATTAGACTTTATTGATCGAAAGAATAAAACGAAGGATAAAGATACATATTTATAGGCCAAGTCCTACAAACTACTTCCCCTTAAGACAAGGAAACCCAATCCCAACACAACTAGTAAACGATTACTTCCTAGACAAGACATAATATAATAATACGAATAACCGAATAATCCTAACGATAATTAATACGAAAGACTAATAATAATGATTCTAATAATCCTAGGTGGCCGGCAGAATTATAATGCACCATTCTTCTGCACATATGGGTTGTATTGTATAGGGAAATAATGTAATGGGTATTACGGGTCCTAATCATACTACCCAAATGGGTATTAGTGGGTAATCGTGGGTATCCAAAGTGGAAATTCTTAATCGCAAATCTCATTTCGTAATAAATAATGTGTATGTGAATATCCGTAATCCTAAAAAACGGGATTACTATGGGTATAGCCAAATATCCGTTTTTCGTTACCCACCCCTACTTATGTTCATGATCCCCATACGTATACACAGGGGCGGAGCAAGGATTTGAAATTGGGGGGGGGGGGGGGGGGGCTGAGAAATTTTTTTCCCATGGCACAGTGAAAATACATAACTAATTGACAAAATTTTATTCATATATTTATTCAAATAACAACCATTTAACTACGATAAATAATATAATAATGTATAATTTATGGATTCGATTACACTTTTTACTGCTATCAAAATACCATTACGTCAATAAGAACATGCAAGTTATTTATAAATTGAAATCAATTTAGCACTACATTCGAATAAGTGTAAGTTTATGAAGAAAATATTTCAATAGATAGTAGAAAAAATACACAAAAAGCTATTATGTGTTCACATATTTATTCAAATAACGATTATGATGACAATTTAACCATAAAATAAAATGAATAATTACATGATTTATGAATTACACCAAACCTTTGTAAGTAAGGTAACAACAATGATGAGGGGTGTTTATGGATTAAATCAAACCCTTTTCTTAGTTTCAACTACAATTAAGGTAAAATAGTTATGCATAGGTATAAATAAGAAGTATCAAATCCAATTAAGGTAAAATAATGATGAGGGTGATATAAATAGGAACATAAATTGATTTGATGAGAGGATTAAAAATCATGCAAGCAGTAATACTCGAACCAAGAACCTGCCTCCACAAACAATTTTCAATCAACCCACAAACCAGTTTGGTCTTATTGAAGAATTACAATCACGTCAGATATAACTACATATGAAAACCTTAGCCCCCTGCCAACAAGTTGCTATACAAAGGATACTAGCTCATTGCCCGGCCCTTGGCCGGATGTAGTCTCAGAAATTGACTCTTTGATTGTAACTGATGTTACTCGTTTACATGTATGCGGCGATGACCGGAGGTAGGTCAACAATACTATAATAATATGATGGAAAGTCATTATTCCATTGCATTGCAAAAGAAACAGTAAAACATAAACACTATAATAGACAATTCAAACCAAGCCATTAGCCTGCAATATAGCCACTATTGCCATGCACCATGATGCCCCTAGAGTGAACATGAAAAAACTAAAGGAATGCTTACCTGACTCCAACTATCGATGGTAAAAATGGAAGTCACCAAGAGATTTCATAAGAAAACTCCAATATAGATTGCCCTTAAACCAAAAACCACAGTGATACAAAATGCGATGAATCTCTTGCTGAGAAAACAAAAACCAGCAATGTCCAAATCAACTCGATGGAATGCGTCAGTTAGTTTTTTCTGATAAATAGTTTTGTTAATTAAAATGTCAGGAAAAAAAAGAGATTCAAAGCATGCAATCTGCTTTAGAAATCTCATATACAAACAAAAGAAACAGGCAAACGATATATGTCTAGAAGCACCAACAGATAATAACTTCTGTCAATATACCTCCCCATTATTACGATTCTTATCCTTCTCTACAACAAACACACTGATTGGTCCACTCTTACTCCTTTTTCGTGGAAGCTACATGACATTTTGCATCATTGCACATTAATTCAAACTACCATTCCTTGCTGCAATTTATGGCTTGGGATAATATCACTTCAGTCATAATACAAATTTACACGAAATGAAAGAAATGATCATTATAATAGTCTTGTAAAATTTAGAGTACCAATGGCGATTCCTCTCTTCTCCTTGGTGGCTTCTACAATAAAATGAGATTGATGACTATCTCTACCAACGTATTTTATACGATCATTGTATGACCTTTTGTATAAACCATTTCTGTCTCACCCATTTTCGCATCACAACTCCAAGAGCTAACTTGTTGGGGTTCTCTTCTAGGTAAGCAACTTGTATCAACATCATGCATGAAAATAAAAATTGCTTTGGTTGAGATACTATAAGGATCTTGTGATGCGTTGAAGAAGGCTAAACTGTTTCCCAGACATTATCAACCCCCAATCAATTTGATGTAAGTCATTGCTCTCTTACCATCTAAATTAAATAGAAAGCTCAGGTTGACCTCTTTTATAGCTTCACTTGACAATTTCTTAGAGGAGATAAAATCACGATTCACAATTCTAGAACAACCACCTCATATAGTACAATCTTATGGAAACAACACTAATGAAGCACACAAATTACAATTCCGTACATGTTTCCTATGAGGGTGTGCATGTGCAAATTAAGAAAAATATAATGATTAATGAGAGAGCTTACCTGGCACCCGGCTTTGAGGAGCAAAAATCCCTTCAATAAATTCCAGGTGGAGATGTCCAATCATTCGGGTCTAGAAATGCGTATATATCAACATGCTATACTAAAAACACAAAGAGTTCGGTTTGTCCTTCCCATGACAACATATTCTCACAATGTATTTATTCCTTGCAGAGAGAATGATATCAAACCATCTCGTATCTGCTCCAATTATGGTTATCACTCGTATTTTTTATATTGTAGTAATTAGAACACCACTTTTAAATCTGGAAGCAAGTGACACTGTCACAAAACATCATATTGTAAAAACTTATCTGCAATCATGAGGTTATTCCACTCAAAAGAAACCATGTTTTATATGTTGAAGATTAGCATTATAGCTTGAATAGTTTAATTTGGAAATGATCTCAACTCTTACATATAAATTTTCTGTAAGAGTGGTATGATTGAAGCTATTCACTATGTTAACACTAATCAGAATAGTCATTGTTTACTGAAAACTAACCACAAAAACATTTCAAATCGGAAAAATGATGATACTAAACAAGGGTATCATAACAAAAGCAACAAAAAGTATAGCTATTTATCTTTAATCATCTCAAAAGTCAACCTAGAAGATCAGTCATATGAACTGATGTTAAGAGATCACACATTACTCTCAAAGAAACTAAATAACCCATCAGTCAGCTCTCCAAGCAAGAAGACTCAACCTTTCCATATTTACTCCTCCGAAAATTGCTCTGCATAACAGTATAGGTAAAGAAGGTTAGGCGGTTATCGAGTCCGATTTAAAGGTTTGGAGAGACGACAATGGTTGAGCGTTTAGTAGGTCGAGAGCCCGGGACACTGTTTATCTTTAATCAACTCAAAAGTCAACCTAGAAGATCAACCAAATGAACTGGTGTTAAGAGATCACTCATTACTGTCAAAGAAGTTAAACAATCCACCAGTCAGCTCTCCAAGAACACTCAAACTTTCCATATTTACCCCTCCGAAAATTTCTTTGCGTAACAATATAGGTTTAGGAGGTCAAGCGGTTGTCGAGTCCGGTGGGAAAGTTTGGAGAGACGACGATGGTTGAGCGTTTAGTAGGCTAGGACACCATTTAGACCCATTTACATTAGTTGCGTCTTTTCAATCCGCATTCGACAAACCAGCATCACTCAACCTTTCCATATTTAACCATCTTTTAAAGACACATGTGCCCCATATTCAATCAAAACTTTTATGTTAAAAAATATTGTTACTTTATGGTAGTTATATTATTTAAGTCTATGTCAAGATTTTTGCATCGCTTGTACACATTCAATACTGCAATTCGATGTGCAATATTTGCACCAATGACATTAGGCTTGCGATTTTAAAATTATTCTCCTTTTATAAGATAAATAGAAATAGAAATAATTATTAAATTTGAATTAAAATAATCAAAGTATGAAAATAGAAGTATCAAATACCAAAAATATATTTAGGGTAGAGTTAGCTTAGCTAACTATGACGAAAAATTCCTATGATTTTCCAGATTTATACTTTTTTTTATGTTTTTAATTTAAAAAGTTTAAAAAAATTTGTTTAGTGTAACTGATTATGTTTATTGTCTTTTCTCAAAGAGATCACGATTCAAATCCCATCACCAATGTATTTTTCCTGTAAATAAGAAAATAATAAATGAGTGTGAAGACGAATCTACCCTTCCTAATTTTGCTATGGATGCAAGAATTTTCTAATGGGGGAAACACCTTTCCCATTTCACTATTATATTAGGTTTAGCGAAAGTAACCCGGGGGGTTGAGCTTTTAGTGTGTCGGATACTATTTGGGCCCGTTTACATCAGTAGCGCCTTCTCCATCCGCGTTGGGCAAACCAACAACACTCAATCTTTCCATATATACCCATCTAAATTGCTCTAGCGTAACAATAGAGGCAGAGTAGGTTAGCCGACTGTTGAGTCTGACAGAAAGTTTGGAGAGACGACGATGGTTGAGCGTTTAGTGGGTCGGGGCACTAATTGGGCTCATTTACATTAGTAGTGTCTTTTCCATCCGCGTTCGGCAAACCAACATCACTTAACCTTTCCACATTTACCCCTCTCTTAAAGACACATGTGCCCCATATTCACTCAAAAGCTCTGTGTTTAAAAATATTGTTACTTTATGGAAGTTATAACAATTAAGTTTATGTTAAGAATTCTACATAGCTTCTAGACATTCAAGAGTGCAATTCGGTATGGAATATTTGAATCAATGACATTTCGGTTGCTAACCATGGTGGAAAAGTCCTATGATTTTTTAGATTTAAGCCTCCTGTATGTTTTTTATTGGAAAAGCTCACACAAATGTGTTTATTGTAACTGGTTATGTTTCTTATCTTTGTTCGAAGAGACCACGGTTCAAATCTCATTAATGATGTATTCTTTTCTGTAAATAAGAAGTTAATAAATAACTGTGAAGATGAATCTACCCTTCCTACTTTCACTCTGGATGCAGGAAATTTGAAATGGGGCTTCAAGTTTTCTCATTTGGCTTTTATTTATTGTGTAGATTTACACTTTTTCACCCTCCTATTTATAATCCCAGAAACTCTGGCCGAAAGGGGTCGGTTAGCATGCTAACCCCCCTTAGGGGTTGGAAAATGACACCCCCTAGTATATTAAATACAACTATAGAATTTAATACACACATTAAATACACATTAGGAATTCTCTCACTATATTTGATTTTTCCTTTTTCAGCAGTCTCCGACCACCAGACTTCCTCTGACCGCCACACTTCTCCGGTGAAATCCCATCGGCAGACTCCCTCCGACCACCTCCAAAAAATATACGACTGCACTGATACGGTGTACCACTGTACTGGTAGATATACCACTGCACTGGTAGCGATATCAGTGCACTGGTAGCAATGTCATATCTGAGTATCAGTGCAGTGATACAAATACCAGTAAAGTGGTAATTAATGTGGTGTATTTAATGCTTACTTTGTATTTAATAACAGAACATTTATTATATTTACTTTCATGAATACTTGTTAATAATTAATAAAAAATTGACCAATTAAAAGGCGTGTCAAAAAACCAACCCCTTAAGGGGTTAGCATGCTAACCCGTCCCTGGCCGAAAGAGCACTGTGATCCGCGGCCAAACTTTTACGAATTTCCTCCAGATTTCCCAAGAAGTAAGTTGCATCCATACAAAATGGGATATCAAGACCCAGTTCCTCAGTTTTCACTTCCCCATTTTTCAGAAGAAAAATATCCTCCTCTAGCTCTGGCTGGGAGGTAGCCTTTGCTGCATATTTAGCTTCAGTGTCAGCGAATTTCAAGCAAGTGTAGCAAAATGATTAATCAAGTCCACCAAGCTTAATGTCAACCAGTACAAAGGAATAAAACTGATGAACAAGCTCAATCAAGGCAGATTCTGTCTCTTAATATACAAATTACTAGTTTTGGCCAGATAATAGCCATGGAACTGTTTAGGGCAAATGCCCATCCTGACTCATGATGAAAGTTGTATAAAATTGGCAAAAGAAATGAGATAAACCTGATCCTCATCGAGACTTAGGTTTCCTACAACTTGAATTATAGCGTTAAATGTCACCCAGAGTTCCCCCAAACACTTCAGTAGGATGCTGATCGAGCCACCACAATGAAGTGATGAGGAGAACTCAAGGGGACATCTGACAAAAGTAGTTAGCTAGCTAGCCTGCTTGCTTCAGTTTTTTTTGTCTCCAACAACTTGAGTTATCGCGTGAAATGCCACCCAGAGTTCCCCCAAACACTTCAGTAAGATGCTGATCGAGCCACCGCAATGAAGTGCTCAGGAGAACTCAAGGGGACAACTGACAAAAGTAGTTAGCTAGTTTGCTTCAGTTTTTTTTTTTTTTTTATAAATATTTGCTAAGTGTTTTGTTGGTTAAACAAGCAAATGACTCTTCCCTTTATATACCCAGAACCCCTTACTCACCATGTAGAGAATTGGCAGAGTACGTAGGGAACCTGGTCATAATTGAGGCATATGGTGCCAATTGCCTTCCCTCCAAGGACCAATTTTTGAGCAGAGATTCTGAGAACATTGTGCCAGTAATACTCACCCATACTCAGAAACGGATTCCGGGAGGTGATCAATTTGCAAAGGCTGAAACGAAAAGATGGAGACATAGGACTTTTTTTTTTCTCTCCCCATACTCTCAACGATATTATTCTGACAGTCAGGCACCCTCTATTTTGTTCTCTGTTTTGTTTCTTTCTTGACTTGACCATTCTTCATGCCTAGGTTCAACCACCCCATGCAAGATGCCACCGTCACCATGCAGGCAAAAACATGAAAAAGGTAAAAGCACCTAAGATATATAAGGGATATGGCTAGCAAAGTGCTCTGATGAGAGGTTCCTAGTTTTAAATTTAGAATTCTGGATGTCTAAGGTTTAAATCATTCAAATAACACTCAATTAAATAAAAAATTAAACATATATTACCTTTATAAAAGAATATGCTTCGATGAGGAAAAGCAATATTATTAACTGATGTTCAAGTACTAATGTCTTGTGATTAAGTGGTTTTTTGGGGGGATATTGGCTATGAGCTAGACCACACAAATGTGGTATGGTATGGACAGTATGTTTGGTCGGACCCTTATTTGTGTTCCAACCTCTCGACATAGACGGTAGATCATATATACGATTTGTAAGAGTAAGGGTGTTCAAACAGATTGGTTATCGTGTTAACTATTTAATCAATAGTAATTGGATAATTTGGTTTGATTAACTTTTTGTTTTGGTATCACACTCCTGACCAATAAATAAATTAATTAATTATCCATATGCCTAATATATTATATGCACATACTTGATACTTTAAAAACCATTCAAGAGTCAAAGTTCCTCACTTTTGGATCCATAAGAAAATAAAGTCCATTATTGTTCCTATATTACATTTGTTTTTGAGGAATTTTACAATGCTATATAGCATTGGTGCTATAGGTTTTTGCCTTTATGATACAACTTGAAATTGTACCTTTAATGTTATGGTACAACTTCAGATTGCACCTATACTTTTTGTACAAATTCTTTTATGGTACAACTTAAACTTGTACCTTATGTGATGGAACAACTTCAAGTTGTAAAGTTGTACCATAACATAATGCTACAAATTCCTTTATGGTACAACCTAAACTTATACATTTAATGTTATGGTACAACTTCAAGTTGTACATTAAAGCACCAATGCTATATAGTATAGTAGAAGTGCTCTTGTTTTTTAGAGTATAGATAACAACACATGGGCACATAATTTAGATAAAACTCATACATTATGAGGGATGAAAATATAAAAAAGAAGGGCTTTTCAGCCTACGATAATTGCTAGAAATTCTACACATACGCACCTAATTCAATAACTTCAAACCATTGACATATATTTTTGTTATGTGACTACATCTAACGACTGTAAGATAACTATATTAGTTGCATGTATTTGTGTTAAAGGTTAAAAATTTGTTGATTGTTACACTTTATTCATTAATTATAAATTACGGATTGATGCATTAATAATGTTATGTTATATTTATAACCTGGTTAACCAATTATCCGAACATAAATATTATTTTGGTATTTTTGATTATTGTATTAGTTTGGTCGGTTTGATTATGATATTATATTTCATAATTAATAGAATTGAGATTATTTGGTTTGGTAATTATCATGGAAACCGATTGAACACTCACGGGAAAGAACATTTCCAAGCCCTACATACATACAAGCATTCATTCAATAATGAAATATGCAGATTCTCATATTTCGTACTCTTAGGCTATGAATATCTAGCTAGCCGCAACTAGCAAAGCTAAGATGAAGATTGCTTTACGTGGACAACCAAGGAACTTGAATCTATAAAAAGTGAAATATTCCCTTAAGAGTTTTTGTTTTTAGCCTTAAGATGATCCAAGCCACAATGACGTCCAGTTTCAGATATACCAACATCGTCCCTCCAACGTAACTGTGAGGTTGCATTATAAATTGAGAAATCCTCATCAGCCATGATTTGTACTCAAAATTCACAGTGCTGAAAATGCAAGTCAAGCAAGGCAAGGAAAGGAAGAGAAGGAAAGGATTGTGCGAATCCATCAAATCCAGGTGTCCCCTAGAGTTCCTCCGAATACTTCATTGATGAGAGACAAGTGACTGAATAAGGTTTCCAGCAAAATTAAATTAAAGCTCTTGATCATGTTCACTGAAGTGTTTCGGGGAACTCTCCTGGTGTCGCTTGGTACTTCTATATAATCTACTCAATGCTTATTAATTCCCTTGCATATAAAGTAATTAAGGGGAGAAAGACAACGGGGAAAGAAGAAAAAAAGGTGTTTAGGAGAACAGCGGATCAACTCAATCGGAACCCTAGCTACCCAATAAGATAAATGAAACTGCAGATCCGTGCCTTTGGACATTACCAAATTAGAGGACAATTAATCAAGAACAAGAATAATCATCATGATAAAAAGGAAAAACACTATTGATAGATAACATCACCCGCCACAACAGATCATTCCCTGCTTTATTATCTGATGCCGATCATGAGGAAGGTTGAAAAGGTTCGGCTGAAAGAGGATTTTGGAGCGTATGAAGGAATAAGGATCAGACTGTTATTATGTGTGGATGGCTACTCATTCGTTTGTATGTGAGATTACTTGCTTATTGAACGATATATGCATAGTCTTTCACAATTCTAGTTATTATATATGTTTGGGGCGAGTGTAGGGTATACACCACTATTTTTTTCTTCGTGTATAAGATGCACCAAGTCTAAAAAATATGCTCTATCAAAATCTTGGTATACAATATCAAAGCTTTCAAGCTATATTAGAAGTAGGGGTGGCTATACGGTCCGGTCCGGTTAAATTGGCCCAAATTGATCCAGTCCATTCCGGTCTTTTTGAAAATATAAGGACCGAAGATGGGATTGGATTCAGTCCGGTCTTGATCCGGTCCGGTTTTGATCCGGTCCGGTCCCAATTCGGTCTTGATTTTACATTGAGATTGTGAGATTTGAGTGGCCTAAGGCCTTAAAGGGTGAGGAGTTGGTTAAGTTTTGTACTAAGTGCAAAGGTTTGTGACCGTTTATGCAAATTACCCTTAAGTTTTGGGTGTTGAGCTCTCTTATCCGGTCTTTATCCGGTTTTTTACCTCAAATCTAAGCCCAAAAATTGGATTGGATTGTTTACTATCCGGTCCCGGTCCGGTCTCGGTCCGGGTTATACGGTCCGATTTCCAGTTTTTAATCCGGTCCCGGTCCAAATAGCCACCCCTAATTAGAAGGGTATAGTGATGCAGATTGGAACACCTATCATATGAACCTCCAATTAAAGCAACGGGGGATTTTTTTTAACATAGTTGATGGAGCTGTGTGTCTTGGAGGTATAAGAAGCAAATAATTTTGGCTCAATTAACTGTGGAAATAGAAATGATAGCACTAGTAACTGTTAGTGAAAATTTGATTTGGCTGAGGGGATTCCTAGAAGAGATTCCTTACAAGAAAAACCGATTTTGACGGTGTTGATAAATTATGTCAGCACCGTCGTTATTGCTAATATAAAAAAATGCTATCATATGGTAAGAGACAAAAAATTCATTGTAAGCACATTTCTTCTGGAGAGAAGATCCAAAATGTGATGAGAATTATGCCCACAGAACGATGAATAAAACATAACGGTAACTCGAACCATGGATAAAAGATTCCAAGAAATGTGTGACGACTATATATGCGTAAAAAACTAATAACATAAACTAATGTCTAGGATTGTATTCCATTGGGCATCCGACAATGTTTCTACTTTAGACAAACTACTAGAGTATTGAGTGTTAAAGTTAGATTGAGGTGCCCTAGTATCCATTAATTCTACTAACACTAACTATAGAGAGTATAAGGGAGGGTAGAGGTAAAAGTTGCAAAATTAATGCAAAATATAATTAAAGCCTGAAAGTAAACGAAGCAATAAGTAACAAGAGTAAAAAGATAAACATATTGTTTACAAGGCTCAAGATAGGGTGCATAACCATGGGTTATGCACCCTATCTTGAGCCTTGTAAACAATATGTTTATCTTTTTACTCTTGTTACTTATTGCTTCACCCATCAATAACCAAATATAGACCTTTTATTTAGAAAATTCAGATATAAGGATGGAGAATTAAAGACCATTTTTATTTTTTCTAGTTTTCTTAATTGACTCATATCTTTTTCGTTTTAACTCGGATTTTAATTTTTTTTTTGCACAGATGGAACGAGTTCATCGTGCTCTACAAAATGAGATCAATTTTCAATATTTTTTGAGAAAAAAAAATCTGGTCTCGCGGTACCAACTGCATACCATATGGTATCTTCTTCGTTTTTAATTCGTTTTTTAAAACGTTTGCACAGAAGAGACGAGTTCATCATGATCTATTGGATCTACAAATTTCTGGGTGAACAAATTACAGGACCAAAAAATACCACACAATACCACCCTGGTACGCGGTGGTATCTTGTGGTATACAATGTTAAAAGTCGTAAATGACAATTAATATACTTCTACTATCATGTATTAAACCATCCTACAGTCTTGGTTTGTTCATACCACCATGGTACGTTTTTCAAACCATAGGTATGCTTTTATTTCAATACTAGTCAATACCATATGATATAGACTGGTAAAAATGGCTCAATTTTTTTTGTTCGAAAAATATATCAAAGTGGATATCATTTTGAAGAGCACAATTAATCAGATCTAAATGTGCAAAAAAATTAAATTTCAACTTTAAATGAGTGAGAAATCGTCTGTCAAAGATTAAAGAGGGAAAATTAAAATCTTTCCAAGAGAGAGAGGATGCTGATGTCATGCTGATGTGGATGGGTTACTCATGGTTACTCACCATAAGACCATCCACAATGGTGGAAGGGAAAAGAGGAAAATTTGGGTGGGAAAATAGGGAAATGAGGGTTTGGGAAATGGTTTGGCCACAATGGGTGGGAAGGAAAAATAGGGTAATTGATAAGAGCTTTTTTTGCCAAAATCAATTTAGTGTTGATCTCATCACTTTATTAAGATAATTTATTCATAATCTTTATATAAGTAGTAATAATAAATTAAGATGAACATTTTGATATATTTTTTTTAATTTGGACATAATTTTTTATCACTGATTAAATATAACGTCATCAATAACGAAAAATATAGATGTTGGAAATAAGATTGTAGGAAATATTGCTGTTAAAAAATATGAATGTTGAAAAATATGATTGTTATCCAATAACTTACTATAATCACTAATTAAAACAACTAAATCAATCAAAAAAGAAAAAGAAAACAAAAATATAAACCATCGGGTCCCACCCACCCCTTTTCATTTTCCTCTCCTCCATTTGTCTTCTAGTGAAGGGAAAACCTACCACTTTTTCCTTTCTTTCCCTACCCTATTGTGGGATTTCCCATTCTTTTTTTCCCTTTTTCCCTCTTTTCCCCATCTTGTTGTGGATAGTCCAAGGTTACTGATCTGATCCATTCCCTGTTTAGGATAGTTTCACCTTGTATTGTGGGGATGACTAATACATTGACTACCAATATGTCTAATCAAGGTTTCTTTGTTTGGATTTTACCCTCCTTCAATTTTTATAAGATATACTCTTATTCATGAGGTCTCGTCTACAATAGAAGTAAATAACCAGATCGTACTCTCACAAACGCAAGTCAGTTACAAGCACACATATCACAAATAACATACGTGACCAAATAATTCAAGCACGTTTCTTGGCTTGGGGATCTAGTGATTAATATAGGCACGCAATAGACAATGGCCCTATTTAATTCTTTTATTTGATTTTTCACAATTCCACTTATCATTGTTGTTGACAAAATACGGACCAAGTCAGCAAAAAACATAAGTCCAGTCAGCATCTTAAATACCTCAGTTAAAGTTTTCGAGCGGAATAGGACATTTTGTGTATTTCGCAGAAAGTGATTATTACATGAGGAGCTCTAAAGAAGGTCCAACTGTCCAAGGAGCAAAACCACCGACTGTAACTAAAATACGGAGAGAAAGACACAATACAGACAGAAAGTACTAGGGGTGGCTATACGGTCCGGTCCGGTTAAATTGACCCAAATTGATCCGGTTTAGTTTGGTCTTTTTGAAAATATAAGGACCAAAGATTGGATTGGATACAGTCCGGTCTTGATCCGGTCTTGACCCGGTTCGGTCCCAATTCGATCTTGATTTTATATTGAGCTTGTGGGGGATTTGAGTGGTCTAAGGCCTGAAAGGGTGATGAGTTGGTTAAGTTTTGTGCTAAGTGCAAAGGTTTGTGACCGTTTATGCAAATTACCCTTAAGCTTTGGGTGTTGAGCTCTTTTATCCGATCTTTGTCCAGTTTTTGATCCGGTCTCGAACGATTTTTTACCTCAAATCTAAGCCCAAATATTGGATTGGATTGTTTACTATCCGGTCCGGGTCCGATCTCAGTCTGGGTTATACGGTCCGGTTTCAGGAAAAACCAACCTGCACGCCCATCTCTCTCTCTTAGTCTCAGATAGCTAGCTAATATGTGTCCTGCGTAAAGCGAGCTAGCTAGCTTTATAATATTGCGAGATGGATGAATTTGGTGGCTTGCAATATTATATCTTAGCGTAGGAATTTAGGTTATTGATCAGCTTACCTACAAACACCGCCTCTTCTTTGGTTACAAACCCGGCAAGATACTTGTATAACAATGAAGTCAAATGGGAACATACAAACACCGCCTCTTATTCGACCGAAGCAGCTTTACGTTCCCTGGGCTTCACGTATGAGTTTGATATTGCAGCACTCACTCTCAATATGTGTGCGCTAGGAAAAAAAAAAAAAAACGCTGCTCTTGTATCGTGACCGGTTTTACCTGTTTTGGGAGGGTAATACCTGCCCCATAGGCCATAGGCTGGCAGGGCGGATATGAATACTCTTCGATCTGAATAACCATTCTTGATCCGATTCTATACAAATTATATTAAATTTAATTTAATTACTTCGTATTTTAGTTACAATAAAGTTGTAAATAGATGAGAACCACAATTTCTTGATTAATTTATCTATATTTATCATGTTTTATAGTTTGTATCTTAATTTTTTTTTAACGACAAATGACCTTACATGCACTCGACTTGCCACAAAACAGGTATGCATATCGAGATAGTAGCCCGACCTGCCCAATTCCTATTCCTACACATGATCGTGAGTGTGCGTCGCACGTATGGAATGGAAGGACACAACGCCTTTTCCTAGCCTCTTCGGATGTGTACTCTTTCGAGCTCCTGTTCTTATAGGACAACGACCTCAGCCAAGGGTGGTAACGACGATGGGGTGTTGGGCTGACCCGCCTTCCTTTTTCTTGTAGGAGACGGACTAGTTTGAATCATTCTTCGTGTTGGAGATGGAAATTAGTGTCGGTTGAATAGGGTTTCCCAACGGCGGTTGTGTGTCGAGTCTAGGTGCCACCTCTTTTCCTCCTACATTTTTAGTGTAATCTCCTTATTCTCAAAGGATTCATCAATTTCCCTACAATTGGATCTCCTTGCTTAATTTGTCACTTTTATTTTCCTATGGATTTCAAAACAAAGGAAATCAATCAAAGAAACAAAATAGAGGGTCGGCCATTAATCTGTCCGCTGCCCTGATTTGGTTCCAATGTTTAACTGGTTTGAAGGTTAATCTTGATAAGAGTAAGGTATGTCCTGTTGGTGAAGTAGAGAACATCGACCGTATTGCGGAAATTCTGGGTTGTGATTGGTGTTTCCTTTATATCGAGTATCTGGGTTTTCCGCTGGGTGCCTCTTTTTCGTGTGTGGCTGCCTGGAGTAATGTAATTAACAGGGTGGAGTCTCGTCTGGCCGGGTGGAAGAAAAACTATCTATCGATCAGGCGCACTCTATGCAAGGCGGTTCTATCTAGTCAGCCCATCCATCTCTTTAGCCTCTTTAAAGCGCCAAGCTCTGTCATCTATCGACTTGAGAAAGCCCAGAGGGATTTTCTCTGGTCCGGCGGACAGGATGAGAGGAAAATACACCTGGTCGGCTGGAACATTTGTAAAAGGCCCAAGAGTGCTGGCGGCCTTGGTATTGCAGATCTCAAGCTCAGGAATCAGGCTCTTTTGTGTAAGTGGTGGTGGCGCTTCGCCGTTGAAAGGAATGCTTGGTGGCGTGAGCTCATTAACCTCAAGTTTCCCAATGGTAAGTCAGAATGGATGTCTGGTGATTCTCGTGGTCCCGACGGTGGTAGCCCTTGGGCGCAGATTCTAAAATGCAGAAATACCTTCTAGAAGTTTGCGCGGGTTGAGCCGGGGTCGGGAAGTGGCACTTCCTTTTGGCACGATGTTTGGATCCTGGGCCGAACTCTTGCTGTTGATTTTCCACGGGTGGCTGCTGCGTCGTCTTCGCCGAATTGCAGAATTGCCGAGGTGGTCAGTCATCATGGAGAGGCTTTATCTTGGGACATTCCGATGAGCCTTAGTTTGAGAGGGGGGGCTGAGAGAGAGCGTCAAAACCTTATTCTTTTTCTTAACAGTGTGTCTGTAAACAGTCTTTTTGCAGGACCTGCTCGACTTGTTTGGGAACCAGCGCCTGCTGCCGGCTTCAGTACTCATTCGCTTTATGACGAGCTCATCAAGATTAGTTCACCCTCTCCTGGAGAATTCCCGGCCATGGTCATCTGGCAAGATGCTATCCCCCACAAGATCTGCGTCTTCATGTGGCTGGTTTTTCAGAAGAAGATCCTCACTCACGACACCCTCAAACAGCGAGGATGGTCCTTTCCTAGCCGGTGTGCGCTCTGCGGCGTGTCTGAGGAGACTATACATCATCTTTTCCTTGATTGCAGCTTTTCCCGGCAAGTGTGGCGTATTATGAGTTGTTTTGTTCAGCTTCAGACTCCCTCGCAGGATATCACTTCCACCATTTCTCAGTGGCCGAAGAGTACAGCCTCAAGCCCGCAGAACTGGTGCACTAAAGTCTTTCTCCATGCTTTCTGTTGGCGTATTTGGCTGGAAAGGAATGGCCGGATCTTTAGAGATGATCTGCAGTCGGTCCAGGGCACCTGCTTTAGTATCATCTGCAGCATTCACGACTGGCTGTGCGCGTCGAACAAAGTGGACAGGGGAATGGCTGGCTTTTGGCGTCTTTCTGCCAGAGGTCGTTTGTTTCCTCTGGCCTCTGAGGCTGATGCCGACCCTGCTGCCCTTGACCCCGCGTTGTCGTAGATGGTGGCCTTGTTGCGCGGCTATTTCTTTGTTTGGCTGTTTGGTTTTGATCTTTTTGGTTGTCTTTGTGCTCAGTGTTCGAGCTCTCTGCCAGTTTCTGTTTCTTTTTGGTCCCTCCCGTCTCTTTTCCTTGTTGGTTCGGTGGAGGTCTCTCTGGCTACCTGAGCTGTATTTTACTTGCCTTGTTCTTTTTTCTCTTTCTTTTTTTCCTTTCGTATCTTAATAAAATTGATATCGCCTTTATAAAAAAAAACAAAAAACAAAATAGAGGGTAAGTATAAACTTACCAAATCTGTGCCATCTCCTGAGTATAGCACTTTCATTTACATCTTTAAGTTGGATGCTAGACATTGGTTGCATCCTATGAATGGCTCTTTCATTATTCCTTTGAGTTGGGCATAGCCCCTCGTTTCTTCATGATCCCCCAACTTAATTAGGACTTCCTTTAAGTCCATCTTCTTGATTGCAGCTCTAGTTGAGTTCCATCCTTCTTTCTTCTTTGGCTTGATAGTGGATTGTGAAGCAAAAAGCACCTTAGTCTCCACCTTTCACATTTTACCCCACATTTTGGTTTGAATATTAGACATATGGTAGAGGTAATGATACGAGGAGAGACTCGTGTATTCCCCACCTTGGGTTAGATATGACGCTATATATGGTCTCATAACTTGTTTAATTTCTCAAAATAAAAAAGGTCTCATAACTCTTCAGAAATCTGCAAAGGGATCCTCATCAACTAGTCGATTTTTGTCTGGCTGGACTCGATGAGCATCTTCATGAAGATTTTGAAATTTTCTTCAGGGTATCCTAATTCAGGATTATCATCCTCCTTCTTTTATCATCCTCCTTCTTTTAGCTAATAATGCCCGCTTAATAAACTGCCAAGTTACTCTCATTATGGGTCATACTAGTCCTTTCTTTGCTATCTATCCCGACATCTTGATTACTCTTGTCTTAGAGTATTTGGTTGTCTCTGTTTTGTACTTCTTCCCACACATGAACGTACTAACCTATCTCTCACAATTAGGATTTATCACTGTGATGCATGATAATTCAAGTTCTGTATGAATGTCATTGATCGTCATCAATTATTTTAGCCAAGTTATTTTGGTCTGGGTGATGAACACTGATCTCGCGTAGTTTGATAGTGTAATACAAGTGATAAATCCTACGATGTCCTATGGTCACTACTCACTACAACAAAAATGCTATTTCACGAACAAAACTACTATTTACAATAGTTGTAATAGTGGTTGAAAAAAGTTTTTTGAGACGATAAATGTTAGTCACCGAAATAGAACCAATTGGTTTATACAAAATACCAAATGATTATGTATTCAGATATCCACAAAACCCAATATTAACATTTGATTTATGTACAAATTAGATATGGTGTGCATCTAAATACTTCACTTTCTTTTGACGGGGTTGTAAGAGAGTGGTATGATTCTATTGCATGACTAATGAAAGCTAATAGGGAAGAAGAGTGCACTAAATTAAAGAATTGTACAACCGTGCTTCCATTATTATTAATTCATCAATCCGCTAGCTCCTTCATGCTCATCAATAATAATGAAAGATTATGCTTCTTATAAATGAAAAGTTGATCATCCATCTGGAATATTTTTTTTTTCTTTCTTACATCCATGAGAAGAAGCATAGACACAAGTTTATATTTTCGAGTTTATTAATCCTCCATATATATAAATTCTATCTATGGCGATATAGATTGAAGCAATATGAGAAGGATCTTATCTCTCCATAAAGCTAAATTCAAATTATCAAAACGTATTAATATTTCACATATTATCAGATTGCTTGGACGGAAGATTATATATTCGGAAATTTGAATTTATTATACATTTTATTTGATTGACCCACGAGAATATGATAAGCTCGCTCCACAGAAAATCGCTTTTCATATCCTTCAAAATAAAAATAAAAATAAAAATAAAAACTAAAACAATAAGTATTAGTAACTCATAGTTTTATTTAGGATGTATCTCTTCTCTTCCCCGTTACATATATCTATGAGGAGGCTTCATTTTTGTTTTTGTTTTGTTATAATAAAGGCAAGTCCAAAGACATGGAAGGAACCATGACTTGAATATAAGACTGACTCTTACCATACTCTGTAGTTTCATGTATGCAGCCGCGAACTGCCATGAAAGAGCAGAGCATACTACAAACCCTGGCTCGGACAACATCCACAATATTATAGCATTTCTTAATTAGTTAATTAAGCTCAACAGAACCTGTTCTTCTCGTAGCGAGCACAACACTCTTCCGTCCCGTACTGAGCTCCATCTTTGCCCGGGCAATACTCGCGCATTATTTGAGTCGCTCTAGTTAAGCAATCACCGCAGTTGGGATCACTGGCATCAGCACAAGAAGAATGAATGTAGGCGACTAGTATTGTTGGTCGACGAGGATGACGCATGGTGAAGGCCGGCTGGCACGTTGCTGCAGATCTGCCCAGCTTCGGTAATACTATTTGCTGAGCATTTGACATATCGAAGTCGGTCGAACTGCAAAACCATTCGTTGGAGGCACCGCACATTGGATCCAGGGCGGCGGTGATGATGATTACACCGCCGTGGAAGCCTACGTTGATCATTGTCAGAATTAGTGTCGACATCAGCACTAGAGTGGCCATTTGAGCATCCAAGCGACCAACCTGCACGCCCATCTCTCGATCTCTAACTGTACGTTGTGGTTAGTAAGGTAGCTAGGTAGTATGTGTTCTGAGTGAAGCGGCTACAGCTTTATAATGTTGGGAGATGGATGAATTTGGTAATTGCTTGCAATATTATATATCTTAATTTGGAATGGGATAGACAGCTTAATTTCTCATCATCTTTATAATAAACTAATTGGGAGAAACCCCAAGCTTAGGAGTTTTAGGTTACTGATCAGCCTTGCTGATTCGTCCAATCTCGATAGTAATTAGCGAGTGGATCAATTTGAGACAAAAATCCAACCTCACCATTGTTTACCACTGGATTAATTTAGGTTTGCACATGTCCGAAATAAAAATAGTCTCGATAACTCCAATAACTTGAATTATAGAGAAAGATTAAAAGTAGACATTAAACCATACTAACATATTTTTATCAATAATTTCACCATACCCTTGCATCACAATTTATTTTCCGACAGTAACATTTCATCTTCGATATCCGACCACAATAGCATTTCCTGGAAGTAGATCACATTTCTTCTGCAGTGATTTGCATACTTTTTTTTTTAATAACTGATCTCTTATTTTAATATTCTAATTACTCATTGTATATACTATTGATTTGCATTTTTCTGTTGCTAGAAGTTGATTTGCATACTTGGATATAAATGGCGGTGTTTATCCTATTTTGAGGGTAAACGTTGAGAATGTGAGACACATTTGTGCATATATGTATGCGAGTGGAAAACAATGCAATCATAGAAAGGTACGTGTAAGATTTCTTTGTTGTCTTGTATGAGCAAGACGATCCCTTAAAAATGAGCGTGTCAATGTACCCCATTAAAAAACTAGTTTTAAGGTGTCAAATTTTGAATTTAAATTTATAGAACTAGTGTAATATGATGATATACCATATAATCACAGCTAATTTAGGAATTACCCTAAGCCTTAGTCCTCCAATTTTGAATTCTATCCCTAAACTCCAAATTGTAAACTCTAACCCTAACCCTAAATCTCTAAACTCTAAATCTTTCAAATTAAAGTAAATCTTGGATGTTTACTGTGCAAATTCATGTGCTTTATTTTTCACATGTCATAAGTGATGATTGACATCGTTATGACATTAATCACAAGTTTAAAAGGATGATTATGATGTGAGTGCTTTGAATGAACCCAAAAAATTGGGTACACTGAATACGCCACTATATATATATATATATATATATATATATATATATATATATATGGTGATGACTGGTATACGTCAGGCGTATACTATACAGCAGGTGATCTAACTGTCAGATGTACTTAAATAAATATATATATATATACCACCGGGTCGGACAGGCGTACGTCAGACGTATACTATACATCAGGTACTACTAGAGAGATATCTCTATCTAGACCATGAATTAAATCAAATTCCGAGTATGATAATATATATAACCTCTAATGGATAAATTCCAGACATCGATTTTCGAAACCTCAACCCGAAGTTTGATTTAATGAAAAACAAAAATTGGCATTGAGATCGGCTTGAGCTTATCTAAATACAACTAATGGTTAGATCACCTGACGTATAGTATTCGCCTGACGTACACCAGTCATTACCATATCTAATTATCTAAATCATAAACTATAAACCCTAAGCTGGTGCACTGAATTTTTTGCCTATATTTGGACGAATCATAATCGTCGATTATTGTTTCTAATTAAATTGATCTTGGTGTATAAGATTTAGAGAATTAAGACCTAGATTTTGATCTTTAAAGGTTAGGGTATAGTATCATGCCCAAAAATCCTGCTAATTCGAGGTCTAGGTAGCATTTTCATACTCAAGGTATGCGGTACCCCGGATTTCACCCTGGGTACCGTAGAACTCCCCATATATATATATATATATGGTTCAGGCTTTTCACACTTATTTATTATTTTTTTATTAATTATAATTAAATAAATAATTAATAAAAATCATAATTACAACTACACCTATTAATCTAATTTCATATACGATTTAGTCCAAAATTATTTTTTATCATCATTATGCTTAAACCAATCATTTAAGTTATCCAACGCAAGACTTATAGTACCTTATTTTTTTGCTAATCAGATTTAACATACAAATTTCTTAACTAGTTCAATCGTCATTTGTAACCGACTAACAATCCATCCAAGTTCATTTAACTTCTTCTTTCGGAATGCACTACTATACCCTTAAACGACAACAACCTTGCATTCATCCCCTACCTCGTTCCATTTTTCATCCTCTTTATTCTTCTCCTTGGTCTTCGTCGTCACGAGGGAGACTACATCTAGTCTCCATCTCATATGCCTCCCTGCCACCTGGACGGACGAGAATATCCCAATTATTCTTTCTCCTTCTCAATCTTCAATTCCCATAACTGCCATGAAAATCCAGCCGTCCTCCTTATTTGTAGATCATAGTTTTGCCATCTTCCAAACCCAAATGAGGCAGACTGGTCTCTCTAGGTTCTAGGGTTTCTGAGCTCGATCTCTCGCACTCTCGCAGGAAGGAGGTGCTGCAAGGGCCGAGAATTTCTTCATTGTACATAAAACCAAAATGAATAAACTGGCAGCCATCGATCTGTGCGTTGGAACCGGTAGCTGGGAATATCGTTTGAGATGTCAACTGGTTTCACCACTGCGACCGGCTACCAAAAGAGAAAACAATCGAATACAAAGATTATAACAGAATAAAGAGTCCAATCTTTGTTCTACTTCTACAGAAGGAGAAAAAAGTCCAATCTTAGCATACAAGCTCTTGGGTCATCACTTGTATCAGTAAAAGAACAAACCACCAAAGAGAACACCAGGAGATTCTAAGTGGCAAGAGGGTTTGCCTGTGTTATTACACATTCAATGAAACTCGTCAGTACTGACTCCTCTAATTATCCTGATTCCAGAATATTAAAGCTTGGCCATTTAAACAATTCCAATCCAGTCTTCCAAAATATAAACTTGTTGCCGCGAGAGGCGAGAGCAATGGCCGGGGAATAATAAATATAAGTTTAATCACGTTCTTGAAACCCTAGAATCAATCAACTAGGTAACCAATTCAAAGCGACACATGCGCGGGGAAAGTCGAGCAATTGAAAAGACAACGAGAAGGCACAAGTCCAGGAGAATAATCAGTGGAATAAGAAAAAAAGGTTAGGGATTTTGCTTGAGAGGTGCTTCAACTACGACACCAGAGACGGTCGGGATCACGAAATCTCTCCGGGACCCGACAACAGCTGCACGGAATTGGCGATCGAGATTCCTCTAGATGATTGAGTACTTCAAGACAAGGTCCAGCCAGTACAGCTCACATATACGAACTAAAGAGACAACCGGATTGGGGATTCCCTGTTCCTATTTTGACGAAATCAATGGCTGAAGGCGGAGAACTAATGCTTTGGAGAAAAGAGTACTATGATTCATATAATTACAAGTGAAAGGATTGATTACAATAAAAATTGATATGTGACTAAAACGTATACAAGAAATAATGAGTGACTATGATTGTAATACTAATAATTAATTGATTATAATTAAATTAAAAATAATTAATAGGTGTGAACACAGGTATACGCTAGCCTTTATATATATATGGTGCCTTCTACGGTACCCCGGGTGAAATCCGGGGTACCACATAACTTGAGTATGAAAACGCTATCTAGACCTCGAATTAGCAGGATTTTTGGGCATGATACTATACCCTAACCCTTAATTAGTGAATCCTAGGTCATAATTATATAAATCATAAACTATAAACCCTAAGATGGTGCATTGATTTTTTTGCCTATATTTGGACGAATCATAACCGTCGATTATTTTTTTTAATTAAATTGATCTTGGGGTATAAGATTTAGAGAATTAAGACCTAGATTTTCATCTTTAAGGGTTAGAGTATAGTATCATGTCCGAAAGATTAGTCAATTCAAAGGTCTGGATAGCGTTTTCACACTCAAGGTATGCGGTACCCCGGATTTCACCCTGGGTACCGTAGAACTCGCCATATATATATATATATATATATATATATATATATATATATATATATATATATATATTTCTATATATATTTCCATCTATGGTGGCTTCTATGGTACCCTGGGTGAAATCCGGGGTATCGCATACCTCGAGTATGGAAACTCTATCTAGACCTCGAATTATCAGGATTTTTGTGTCTGATATTATACCCTAACCCTTAATGAGTGAACCCTAGGTCATAATTATCTAAATCATAATCTATAAACCCTAAGATGGTGCATTCCTTTTTGTGCCTATATTTGGATGAATTATAACCGTCGATTATTATTTTTAATTAAATTGATCTTGGAGTATAAGATTGGGAGAGTTAACACCTAGATTTTGATCTTTAAGTGTTAGAGTATAGTATCATGTCCGAAAGATCGGTCAATTCAAGGTCTAGATAGTGTTTTCATACTCAAGGTATGCGGTACCCCGAATTTCACCTAGGGTACCATAGAACTCGCCTTATATATATATATATTTTATAACTCGCTTGAACTATTGGAAAATATTAAAAAATATATATTATACCATAGTACTAACATACTTTTTCTCAATAACCAAATAGTCTGGACAACTCGAACTATTATAAGAAAATTAACAATAAATAATTTCAATTGTTGAGAAAAATTAAATAGAGTACTCGAATAACTTGAATTATTGAGAAAAATAAAAAAATAGATATTATACCATACTAACGTATTTTTATCAATAATTTCACTACACCCTTCCATCACAACAGGGTCGGAGCTACTCAGAGAGTAGGGTGGGCAGGGTTTAGACCCTTAGGACCGTAAAATATTTAGATAAAATTTGGATAAGTAGTGCACGACCTATACATTGTATCATATAACAATCATGTAGTCTAATTGTAGTTAAGCTAAATTTTTAGCTTAAAGCAAACATGTTCGATCTACAAGAACCTCATTTTTGCTTTAACTTCTTTTTGGACTTTATTATCTTAATTCTCCTCCACAAAGTCTTGGACCAAAGCAAACGGATACACACTTCTTTTCATTTTTTTTGTTACTTTAATCGAGCTACAAATGAAAAAATCAACATCTATTTAGTTCACTTGGGATTTTTAGCTCTTTATACAAACTATATGATCTATTTTTTTTATCTATGTAGAAATGAACAGAAAGATTAACGTCAAAGAAATTTTATTTTGTTCATAGGTTGATTTGTCTTCTTCTAACTCTTCTAAATTTCTAAAGCTACATGTGATCGTGCAAGTTTTTAGGTATAAAGATAGTGAAGAATAGATTGTGAAACAAAATAAATGATGAGTTTCTTGTTAATGATTTAGTTATTTATATTGAAAGAAAGATAGCTAAATTTTTTAGTTCAGATGTTATTTTGAGAGATTTCAATGATCTCAAAGAACGCTGTAGAATTTAAAAATAATTATTTTATTTTTATTTACATTTATCTATTTTCGACCTACCCGGTCTCGAAATCCTGGCTCGCTCTTGCATCCCAATTTATTTTCCAACTGTAACATTTCATCTTCGATATCCGACCACCAATAGCATTTCCTGGAAGTAGAGCACAATTCTTCTACAGTGACTTTCATACTTTTTTTTTAATAACTGGTCTCTTATTTTAATATTCTAGCTACTCATCGTTTATACTATTGATTTGCATATTTTTTTTTTTTCGGTAGAAGTTGATTTGCATACTTGGATATAAATGGCGGTGTTTATCCTATTTCGAGGGTAAACGTTAAGAATGTGAGACACAGAGATTTGTGCACATATGTATGGGAGTGGAAGACAAAGCAATCTTACAAAGGTACGCGTAAGATTTCTTTGTTGTCTTGTATGCGCAAGACGATCCCTTCAAATAAAGAGTTCGCCTCCTCTCTCTCTCTATATATTTATATATATATTTCCATTATTTATAACCAGCTTACAACCCCGTTTGTTGGTCGGAACGTTCATAATTGAATATTTATATTTTTGTGTTTAACTTTATTAATCTGTTTAATTTTATTAACAATGCTAGCTTCAATTGAGATGATACATACATAATTAATGTATAGGTCGAGCATTTGAAGAAATACCATCGTCATGAAAGTATGTAAAATATAGAACCTGGAGGTCTCAGTCCTCAGGTTCGAATATCTTCAGCAGTACCTTAATGACAACAACATGAAACCTATATCACCCTTTTAATAAATATGAATGTAAAATATAAATGTATCCTTAATCCTAATTTCAGACAGAGAATTAACCCACGTTAAAATGTTATTGGTTAATTGATTGTCAAGAAAGATAGAGTATAAAAGCTCATTGGGATTCCCACATGCATGACCCATAGATAATTGGACACTAAAACTAAAACCTCACAATAAGGTTCAGGGTATGCCTACTATGACATGCATGTCACCGTGACATTGACTTTTCGGTCGACCTAATTCTGAAGGCGGTCGACCGAATTGACTAATTTGGGTAGCACAAGAAAGCATTGCGGTCGACCTCAAAGACCACCTGGTCGACCGTTCTTAGTTTAAGTTGTTATTTTTGGTTGACTAGAATAAACCTCGATCGGCCATTTCGTTGGCGTCAGAAACAACATGGTCGACCGTAAAGGTATATAGGTCGACCACTTGATGGCAGTCATTAACAACATGGTCGACCAGATAAAGAAAGAGGTCAACCAGATAGACGATAAGTGTTCTATCAATTTATCCAATCATTTGACGTAAAATGAAGATCAAGTGTTGGTGTCGAGGTCGACCTAATCCGGTACGAGGTCGACCGAATACAAGAAAGTCAACCTATGCCCCGTGTCTTTTTTTGCTTATGTATGCCGATTTGTGTGGTTCTTTTGCTCGTCTAAATTATGCTTTAAACCATCATAACTAGTCATAAATAATGATAACAAGGACTCATCAATTATGCTATGAATTGAGCTCGACCGCCTTTAGGATTAGGTCGACTGCAATGCTTTCTCGTGCTGCCCAAATTAGTCAATTCGGTCGACCGCCTTTAAGATTAGGTCGACCGAAAAGTCCATGTCACGGTGAGACATGCATGTCACCGTAGCAAAATCCTAAGGTTCATTGCCCACCAAGCAAAAAGAAATGGAGAGTTGTTGATTCAAGTCAACCGTATACTAGTAATGTTCCGTTTAATACACGTATGTATACCCATACGTATTTTATCTGTTTAAAACTTTCATCCGTATTATTGTTAAACTATTTCATTTTTCCGTTCATTGATGCCTCCCTTACTAAACATGTATAAAACCCACATATATAATACGTTTAATATCTGTATTTAATGAATTAAATCATTAAATTTACTATTATTTATATATTTATATATTTTTAAAATAATTAAATATATATATTTATGCTATTAACATACTATTAAACGTTACATTAGGTTAGATACAAAATTAAAACACCCGTACATATTTTATACTTAACGTAACTTTCTGGTACCGTATTTTACCAACTATGCTAATAACTCGCCTAAAAGGAAACAATTAAAACTTGAGAGCAAATAAAAAAATTAGGGTTACCTCCAATCTGTGGCGGATCCAAAAATTATACATAGGGGTGTCATCTTCCAAAAATTAAATTTAATTAAAAATTAAATTAAATAATCCAACTAGTAAAAGTTAAAATAAAAATTCAGACATGTTTTGTATTATGAAAAATGGTAAAATACATTCGATGTCTGCACTGCTCAACAAATATTTCTCGACATATCCTACTAGATAAGAGTAGCATGTAATTAGATTTAATCATTAGGTTTTGAAAATAATTGGAGATAAGAATAGTCTTTTACTATTATATTTGGATTTAAAACAAAACAACAAAGTCTATTTAAAAAGATGTTAACTAATAGTAGTAGTACTGACCCAAGTTCAAATCACATAGACTAGCACATAATTATTATATGCATCCATACACAGTTTAAGGGTGTCTATTCAAGCTACTGGTACTGTGAATAATGATTTTTTTCACAGTTTAAGGGCGTCTCGCTACCACTTTTATTTTTATTTTTACGTATACACAAACTACTATCGGAGGTTGGATAATCTGTTTCTCAAATTTTAGGGGTGTCTCGAGACACCACTAAACATGCATGTATCCGCAATGCCTTCAATATTCTAATATACTCAATCAAAGTAATAGGGCACAAAATTATACACTCCTTATCTACCAGTGCCAGTAGCTTGAATAGAGAATCGACCTTAACATCAGTAAATCAATCAATGATTCTTAATTTTAAGATAGACCTATAGGTTCTGGTAGTTGCAATAACCATAATCCTAAAGATCCAATAGCCACCACTTTCTGTTGTACAACCAACTTTTTATCCTCTCTTTTATCTTCAATCCCAATTCTCAAGAGGCATCTTTTTAATTTCAACAAAAAATTCACACTCTAATCCTCCTCCTGCAAGTCTGCAACTATATTTGTGCTACTTTGATTAACTTTCTCTCCGTGACCCTCATTTTCTCTTCCAATTAGGGGTTCATGTCAACTCGCTCTTCAACCACTCAATCCTCTTCTTTTATTGCGTAGAGAACATTGAGGTTTTTTGAGACTTCGATACAACTAATAGATTAAAATTTGTATTTGAATATGTAATGGACATCATACATATATAGTAAGCAATGATAGTAGTGCAAAATTATCACCTGTGCTCCACATACAAAAGTCGATAGTTAATCTATAGTGCGTTGAAAAAACGTATTATGACTATTCGATAATACTTATAAACAATAAACAACTTTTAATCATGTTAAAATATCCACCTACATATCCACTCCTAGTTAAATCCCATAATATGATTGTCTTTCTTTTAAGAGAGCTGCACAACATCCATGTGCAACGGGGACGCGATCGACATTGATGTTTGCGTTAGACAAATTAGCTAGGCTGATCAATAACCTAAAATTCCTAGGCTTGGATTTTTTCTGCCCAATTAGTTTATTATGAAGATGAGAATGCTGTCTATCCCACTCCTAAGATATAATATTATTCAAGCAACCAAATTCATCCATCTCACATCAAATATAAAGCTAGCCGGTTTTACTCGGAACACATACTACCTAGCTACCTAACCACGAGAGAGAGAGAGAGAGAGAGAGAGAGAGAGAGAGAGAGAGAGAGAGAGAGAGAGAGAGAGAGAGAGAGAGAGAGAGAGATGGGCACAGTAGTAATGCAAGTTTCCATGTTGTCGTCGCTAGCTAATTCTGACAGTGATCAACGGAGGGTTCCAGTTCCAGGGCAGTGGGATCATCGATCTCCGGTGAAGCTGCATGCCCTGGATCCACTGTGCGCTGCCTCCAACGTATGGTTCTGTAGTCCGACCGACTCTGATATCTCAGGCGCGCAGGAAGTGATATTATCGCACCTGACGAGATCCTTAATTACTAGAGTACCAGACGCCTACGTACAATATTCTTATTCTTCTTGTGCTTATGCCAAATCTCGCTTCTGCCATCTCTGCTTAGCAGAAGCCACTGCACGGATGCGTGACAACTGCCTGGGCAAAGATGGAGGTCAGTACGGGAACGAGCTGAGCTGTGCTGTGCTAGATATGAAAAAGAAAGGTTTTGTTGAGCTTATTTAACTGAGAAAGAAATGGTATTGTGTATGGCCTAGACTAGACTCCTCCATATATGCATGTAAGGTGGAAGAGATGCGGTATCAATGAAACTAAACGAATTATCCCTACGGATGGGTTACGTTGTTTTAATTTTCATATATACTAGATATATAATTTGCCGCGCTTTCCGGCGCCTATTTGAGTTGCTCTATTTAATGTTTGGTTTTGCATGCCCGTTGATAAAATTTTATGGAGTTACTGCGTTGCAAATTGTGTATTTATCGTTGTTAGGTTCTTTTAAGTGGTAAATTAGATTGGAAATGGGAGCAAAAGAAAGTTGCTTATTAAGAATGGGAAACTTACATATGTCATAATTTGTGCAAAAAAATGAAATTCGAGTAACTCTATTTTCATGTTTTAATGATGGAGAGTGGGGATAGACAAACGGGTGGGGCGAGTATCTTAATGCCCGTATTCGTCCTGCAGAAAGCGTAGGTTAGGTCGTGTAATACCCATGCAGGTGTGGACGCCAACATGGATGCTGACCCGCAACAATAGTTATGACTAATATTTTATATTTCGATAGTTAAGGCTATAATTTCCCGAAACTTAATAGTTGTGTCTAATATATTGTTTTAATCTTTTTTATTATAAAAACAGTTTTTCATCTATGGCAAAAATTAAATCTATGGCAATAAAAGGCAAACATTGGCATTAAAATCATAACAGAAAAAACAAAAACAAAAAAAATTGATAAAACTTTCCACCGTGGCTTGCAATGAGCACTTGCAACAAATGAAAGTTTCCATTTTTGCAATATCAACTCACATTGGTGCAATGGGAAAATGTAATTGCAAAGCTCTGCCACGTCAAAGTGCAATTGCACTCTCTGGGACCGATGGAGATACTCTAATTGTATTGTTGCAAACTTGTAAATATGAAATTAGTAGCTACATCAATGCAATTGGTATTGCAATTGCAAACACCCATGTTATATCATCTTGAAATTGAGAATGTAATACAAACGTGAATGCTGTAACAACGTTGTGCATAGATACAATAATTATACTATAAGTATGCAGTAAAAAAATCAACTATAAGTCAATTTTTAGCAGATTATAATGATAGAACCCTCCAACTGTTTGATTTGAAAGTTGACTGAAAATATGTTGGCGATACCAAGGGCGGAGCTATAGGTCTTGGGGATCCCTGGCACCCCCAGAATTTTACATCTACGTATAGTTTTCTACGGAATTTGGAGAATTTTTATTTTTTATAATGCTACGGAATTTGGAGAATTACATATGTATAAACACCTAAAATGAGTTTCCTGGGCAAAAATATATTATCGATCTTGTGCTAGCTAGTCTAGGGCTAGAGGTAATCAAAATTGATATTTCCTCCATTGATCAGGGTTTGAACCTTGGACGGAGCAAGTTACTTACATTTTCAGTTCATCTGTTTATTGTTTACTTTTATGAAAGAGTTTATTTATTTTTATATTTTCGTTCAATCATTTTAAACTATATCAATTTAGTTTTTTTTTTAACTTTTGAATTCGTATTCGTGGTTTTGGTTATATTAATTGTCTTCAGACATTAGTATATGCATATATTAAATTTTCAAATCATACAGATATAGCAAGATATGCTATACATTATTTTTTGTTCATATATTTTAATCACTTGTGCATTTAATTCACACTTGTTTATAGTAGATTAAGAAATTTTCGCCCCCAAATTCAAATCCTGACAACCGCCCCTGGCTGACACATCATTTCCAAGGTTCTATTTGAGGGAAGAATTCCACTTCATATGCAAGTGCTTTTGCTTATGAAGGTCTAATGCTATATAACATTGGTGCTATAGGTTTTTGTTTTTATGGTACAATTTGAAATTGTATCTTAAACGTTATGGTACAATTTGTACTTGTACCTTTATGTGATGGTACAACTTCAAGTTGTAAAGTTGTATCATAACATAATGGTACAACCTAAACTTATACATTTAATGTTATGGTACAACTTCAAGTTATACATTAAAGCACTAATGCTATATAGCATAGTAGATGTGCTCGAAGTTCTAATGACTAATTGCCCCTATGGCATAGCCAAAACAGGTAGAATCTCATCAAACATGAGCACTTAATCTCTCTAAAATGGGTTGTTTAACTTGATTCATTTTGAATTAGATTTCAGTACTCCTCAATTGAATCAACTTCTTGTTTAGCTTAAGTCACCAACCAACCATTCTCATACATATAGGACTATAGGAAAGTGCGGAAAAAGAGCGTTCAAGTGCGGACAATTGTACGTGAACTTACACATCCAAGGAACTAAAAATTCATATATCAATGATCATGGTGGACGTACTAGTCCAATGTGGTGAACTGGGCTCACTTAAATCCTACCCACATCATATCCCAAAATCCCCCTCATGAATTGTGGCCTCCAAAATTTTATTAGTGGATTGTAGTCAAATGTTGCTGCAATCTTATGTTGAATGTGAGCATATTAAAAAGCAATGGAAACAAATTAATTCACCAAATCCACCAGTGTGATGTCAACAAGTACAAAGGAACTGAAGTGACGAATAAGCAAAATCAAAGGCAGAATATGTCTCTCAACAGAAAAATTACTAGCTAGTTTAGGCGAGATCAATTCAATACTAGCCATGGGACTGTTCAGGGCAAAAGCAATGGGGTAAACCTGATCATTATCGAGACGTTGGTTTTCAACAACTTTAGTTATCGGCTTATCGCGTCAAGTGCCACCCAGAGTTCCCCCAAACACTTCAGTAGGATGCTCATCGAGCCACCGCAATGAAGTGCTCAGGAGAACTCAAGGGGAAAATTTCCCGGCAATCCACCATTGAAACAAACTAAGAAAGATGCAGATTCCAAGCATTTCTAGATCCAGTTAACAAATAGCAAAAGAAACCCCATAGCTCGCATTACATCTCCAAAGTAACCCCAATGGATACTATCAAAAGCCTTCATGATGTCTATTTGCGTAGCACATCTAGCCGAGATATTCTTCCTATTATAGTGCTTTACCAATTCTATATGTGCTAATATAAGATTGTTGCTAATGATTTTGCTCTTAACGAAGGCTAACTGGTTTTTACAAATAACTTGGGGCAACACCTCCCTTAGTCTCAGTGCTAAAACTTTAGATATGCATTTATATAGGATATTGCAACACGAAATAAGGGATTGCAACACTTTAGTCTCATTGAGTCAGGTTGTTGTACATTTGGAATTAGGTTAAGATACTCCTCTTGATCACTTAAGCATCCTACAATTCATAAAGAAAACTATTATTCTTCTTCTCTTATTGCCTGAATAACCAAAGTGTATATATATATAATGTTCAAAAAGGCGCTAGGCGTGAGGTGAGCTTTGAGTTTTTGCCTAGCGCCTAGCTCGTGTAGGCGTAGACTAAGCATGCCTATGCGTTGGAATAAAAATAACTATTCACACAACATGATGAATGAAATAATAATCGACAACACTTTCCCATTTCAGTTAAAATGGTTAATAACTTACTCAACACTTAATGACAAGAGTATAGGTCATGAATTCATAGAATCATAGATCAATAGTTCACAAAGTTATTAAGCTATTGAAAATATTGATATAGAAAATTGATTTCATAATTAACGTTAATTTTCTCCTTTAATATTGACTCATTAGCTCCATCTTGTAATGTTTAGGAGAGACTTATATGTCGTCTTACTCCGTTGATGTGTTCCAGTATCTAGTTAGGTGCAAAACAACTAGGCGAGGTGTTTCGTCATTGCCTTGCGACTAGGCGTACCAAACCGTAAAATTAGGCATGCCTTTTTGAACCATGTATATATGGTATCTTCTATCATATCCATGCAAAATCTAGGGTTTTCGGAAGTAGATGAGAGCTCCAGACTAATTGGTCTTCTACACATCGAGAGATAGAAGGCTAGAAGGCTGGGGGATACAACGATGGAAAAGGGGAAGCCACGGGGTGATAAAATGACTTTTTTTTTTCGCGGGCATAGTTTTTTAGGTGCGGGTCAATAGAAATCTGATCGAATTTTTAACAGAAATCATACCTAACTCAACCAGTTAATTACAAAAGCGTGTAAAACTCACTCCCGACTCAAAATTCTTCAACAATACTATAATTTTCGCACCCAAATTACTAAGATCTGCTAAAAATTGACTTATCATTATTATTCGTACTAAAATAGTATGTAATTAAAACTATTAAGCCGTGAGTTTTTTTTTTACTATTGCATATGATAAAAATGGGCCTGCCTTTTTAATTCCGAATTACTGTTCCTTAATGATAAAGTTTTTGCTTTCCTGTGGCCGAGTGTACTTTACCAACGTAAAGCTCTGGCGGCTGCCCAAGCCCAAACATCTAACCTTTGCTCACTATTTTTTATACATTGGGCTGTATGATGGTGACGTACATACCCTTATTACAACTCCATCTCTCCATTATTTTTTCCGCTGAATAACTCCATCTCTATTTTAGGAAGAGACTAATTAGTTGAGGTGTTGATTTTGAATTATATAGTTAACATAAGTTAAATGGGTGTATGAAACTAAAATTTCTTTTTAATTACATACAGTATCACAATTTCATCAATTTGCATTATGTAAAAGTTTTGTAACATAAGTTAAATGAGTGGATGAAATTTTAAAAAATTACATACAGTATCACATTTTCATCAATTTGCATTATGTAAAAGTTTTGTAACATAAGTTAAATGAGTGGATGAAATTTTAAATGTAATTATTTTCATATCGGTGCGAATCGCGTATATACCAATTTTATCATAATCTATTTTTTCTCTTATAGTTGGTTGTTTAGTTGTTTTCCCCCATCTCCTGCAAAACAATTTCACTATAAGGTCTTTTCTCATGTTGACCCTTTCTGTAGCGAGTACCATTCGTGACTTTTTTTATTCATATACTCAATTTTTTATTCATATAGGTAGTTTTTTTTATTTTCCATATCCTACACCCTATTTCCGTATAAGCTCTGTTTCCCCTATAGTAAACTATGTATGTAATGTTTACACTTTACATATTGCAAATGCATTACGTAAACTTATTAGAGAAGATTTATGTATTACAAATCTATTACATAAAATAATTATTATTCTTTAACAAAATAAGGGTAGTATTAAATATGTTCTCCCTTTTTTGTAGCGGGTACCATTCACAAAGTTTTTTTATTCGTATACTCAATTTTATTATAAACCCTTAGTTTTTTTCCATCTCCTACACCCTATTTTAGTATAAAGCTCTTTTCCCCCTATAGTCAACTATGTATGTACATTTTCATTTCACATTACATAATGTTTACGCATTGCAATGCATTACGTAGACCTTATTATTAACTACTATAAGGGGTGGCTAAACGGTCTGGTTCGGTTAAATTGGTCTAAATTGATCCGGTTCAGTCCACTCTTTTTGAAAATATAAGGACCAAAGATTGGATTGGATACAGTCCGGTTTTGATCCGGTCCGGTCTTGACCCGGTCCAGTCCCAATTCGGTCTTGATTTTATTTTGAGCTTGTGGGGATTAGAGTGGCCTCAGGACTGAAAGGGTGAGGAGTTGGTTAAGTTTTGTACTAAGTGCAAAGGTTTGTGACCGTTTATGCAAATTACTCTTAAATTTTGGGTGTTGAGCTCTCTTATCCGGTCGTTATCCAGTTTTCGATCCGGTCCCAAACGATTTTTTACCTCAAATATAAGCCCAAAGATTGGATTGGATTGTTTACTATCCGGTCCCGGTCCGATCTCGGTCCTGGTTATACTGTCCGATATTGGTCCGGGTTATACGGTCCGGTTTCCGGTAAAACCAAAAAACCCGGACCAAATAGCCAGCCCTAACTACAATAATGCTTACTATCTCATCAATTATCATTATACAAAATTTATGTAAGGTAAGTTTACTTTACATAGTAGTTTAATTAAATGTAAGACTTTTTATAACTGGTTTTTATTATTAAACCACACATTATAGAAGATTTACATAATACTATTCTATAAAAATTATATAGCTTATAAATAAATTTCTTAAAGCTTACAAAGGAATAGTTATTCCTTATTTATCAATTAAGTATAACATATTACGTAATACTTTCAACGTAATAAAAAGCTCTGTAAAGCATATGGAGGAATCGTAATTTCTTAAGTATCAAGTAAATAAATGTAATAAGCAAATATTTCATAACATAAGTTATAATGAGATTTTTAAATTTTAACTAAACTATTGACTATCTCATCAATTTGTACTACACAACGGTTTTGTAAGGTCAGTTAGTTTTATATAACATTTTAATCAAATGTTAAACTTTTCATACTAATTCACATATTACTAAATAAATTTCTTGATTATTACCCACAATATTAGCTATCTCCTCAATTTGGATTATGCAAAGGTTCAATAAAATAAGTTAATTTTGCATAATAATTTCATCAAAAGTGGGAGTTATGGTAAGTTCATTTTATTTTATTATTAGAAAGAAAAGATTTATATAAAATTGTTCTATAAAAATTACACAAATTAAAAATACAACACATAAACATTATGAAGGAATAATTATTCTCCTATACCAATTACTTAAATCATTAAATGAGTTGATAAAATTTTAAATTTAAATAATCTTTTATCGCCGCGAAAAACTAGCCAAAAAACTAGTAATTATATGAAAGTTGTATTTAAACTTTTTCGGCGTTCGTATCTATTCGCAACGTAGCGCGTGCCATAATATATTTGAAAATGAAAACAATTCATCCATAATAGTAACTCGTTCAGTTTTATTTATACCGCATCTTTCCCCCGTTACATATATCGACGAGTCTACACCTTCGTTCGCACGAAACCTGGCTAGCTGATGATACCTTTACTCGGACAACATATCATTTTCTTAATTTATGATAAGCTCAACAAAACTTGTTCATCTCATATCTAGCACAACACTGCTCCGTCCCGTACTGACCTCCACCTTTGCCGTCGCAATGCTCGTGTATCAGTTGAGTCGCTCTTTCTAAGCAATCAGCGCAGTCGCGATCATTCTTATTAGCACAAGAAGAATGCACGTAGCCGTCTGGTACTGTTTCTTCAGAAGGAAACTTGTCATTATAGAACGGCAAGCAATCCAATTTGGATTTGAGTTGATAGGATATTTCCTCATGCGCGTCTGGAGATATATAACGAGAGGTCGGACTACAAAACCATTCGTGGGAGGCACCGCACAGTGGATCCAGGGCAGCTTCAGCAGAGAAGATGATCATTACACCGCCGTGGAAGCCTCCGAGGATCGTTGTCAGAATTAGCGACGACATCAGCACTGTGGCCATTCGAGCTCCCAAGCGACGAATCTGCAAGCCCATCTCTCTCTATCTGTCGTGGTTAGTAAGCTAGGTAGTATGTGTTCTGGGTGAAGCGGCTATACCTTTATAATGTTGTGAGATGGATGAATTTGGTGGGTTGCGATATTATATTTTAGGAGTGGGATAGACAGCACTCTCATCTTCATAAAAAAAAACTAATTGGGCTAGAAAATCCAAGCGTAGGAGTTTTATGTTATTGATCAGCCTACCTACAAACACCAAACACCGCCTCTTCTCTCGTTACATATCCCGGCAAGATACCCTAAAACATATATTGTAGAGGCAGTCGTATCTTGCACACAAGTACGTACTTCTCTGCCGGAGTTCCAATTCATCGGAATAACAGCATTATCAATGAATTACTAAATACGAAGATATATATCCAAATCCTGAGCACTCTTCGATGTTGTATGTAAGCAGCCACCTGTCTACATTACTTATAATACATTTTAAAGAGTTTGATTTGCTCCATTTCAAATTTCCTGCAACGAGAATGAAAGTAGGAAGGGTATCTTCGTCTATACAATCACTATTTCTTTCATATAAAAATATATCAATGTTAGGATTTGAACCACGGTCTCTCTCATCAAAGACAAGAATTATAACCAATTAAACTAGACACATTCGTTGTCTTTAACTAATACAAAACATACAGGAAGTTAAAATATGAAAAGCAGAGTACATTTGTATCACGGTTAGCTAGCCCGCTAAGTCTCCTGTATGTATTTTGAGGTGTTTGATACTTATATTTTCATATTTTAATAAGTACTTTAGAATTTTTTTCTAACTTATAAATGAAGGATAATTTTAAAATCTCAACACAAATATCATTGGTTGGAATATAGTACATTGAATTGACGTGTTCAATGACGACATAAGAACACTGACACCATACATTTCAAGAAAAATAAACATGACAAACACGGAAACCCACTAGCTTGACTATCTATGCTAAAACTCTACTTGAGTTAGTACGATCTTTTGCACTATCAATTAAAATTCAATTCATGATTATCTTATTACAATTTAGTCATACTAATTGTGCAGTAGGGGACATCTTATCTAAATCATATCGAAAGACTCCTTGATTGATCAGTTTCGGGATGAAATCAATTATACCCTATAGAAGTGATCAAATTTATAAGATGCTCTCAAAGGTTGCTATAATTATTGACGTTCAACAATACGTTAATCGTAAGGTGGTCATTGGCAATTTGTTAATCTCCTAGCTCGCTTAGACGTTATAATAAACACATATTTTTAATAACGATGAATGAAGTAACAGTTCTGAAGCACTTTCTTACTTCAGTTAAAATGATTTAACAACAAGAAAAATAACTCTCAAGTTTATAGTTATTTTTAATCAATGGTATAATTAATTCATTTATGAGCTGAAATAGCTAATTATAAGCACTTAAATTGTAAGTGAAAACTCATATGATACAATTGTTTGACGAAATGGTTTTTTTATCATAGAGTGGTTCTATCCAGAGAGGTCTCTAAGAAACATGGCTTACTTTATTATTTCTTAGGTGGATATAATATATATCTTCATCGTTACACATTGGATTCAATTTAGTATACTTTTTCGTTTAGATAGATTTTTGTAATGATGTTTTGGGATATAATATATCATTATTGTATGATGTTGTAGGATATCAGTTCCTCTCATTTTAGGTTCAAATTGATGCATTTTCCCCTTTATCGTTCCCTTTTATCGGTTAATAATTTTTATGATATTTTTCTCTATAAAATATCGTGAGCAGAATCTATACACAACAATTTGTGTTTTTTTCGCTTCCTCTTCTCTTGATTAGATATTGTGTCCATATTGATTCTTATATTGATTATTGAATTACTACTTTTTTGTTATGCAATTTATGAAACTAAGATGCATTTTTTTTGAGAAATATGAAACTAAGATGCATATTGATAAAGAATGTAAGGTGTCATCTTAAGAGGATTAAGCACTACATATCATTGTTTACCTACCGTTATAACGTCTTTCTAACTTGAGTACGAGCTACAATGACTTTTATTGTTGTCGATTTTCCCCAAAATACTTGGTATGTTGCTTTTAGTTTTCGAATTCTTTTCAGTTTGATTTAGCTTTTTATGTGTTGTTCTATTAGTTGAACTTGCCAGTTGGAGATCTGCATGCTTTGACTACATTAATGTCATAGTGACTTCTATATGAAATGACACTCGAAACATGAGTGTGTGAGTTAGTTAGTTTCTTTTTAAGGACACTCTAAACATATACTTTGTTCCAATATATCATTGAATACACTAAAGTCAATGGAAAAGTCGAAACATTTTATCGTATACTGAAGATTGATTATGCATGTATGATGTAAAACAACTCCTATCGTGGTTCTTCTTAGACGTTTTTATATCAATACGACTTCGTTTGAAAAATATGTATTTATGTTAGTGTAGTTGGACGTTGTTCGTCATTTTTTAAACTTCATTAGTCAAATACATCAAATACTTTCCTATGTTATTAATGGAGAACTTATTAAACTAAATAGTTACTTCAAACCCCAACAACATGAACTATAACCAAAATATATACCTACACTTATACATGACAACATGAGAATCAAACTTATTAAGGACACTCTAAACATATACTTTGGAATTGATACTGAAAGGTTGTTTACAGAGAAAGACATATCTGTTTCGTTAACTCTCAAGTGAGTACTCAGTGCTAACCTATTTATACTAATACAACTCAACTAACTATTAAGTGTTTTAACTCCTAATCCTATCTAAACGATTCGGGTGAACCAATCCTATCTACATGAAAGGGAAAATGTGACCATTTTCCTCAACCCCCTCAAGCTGACCATGCATGAATGAATGGGCACAATTTGGACATAAGATTCTGGAAAAATAGCTACACCAATTGGTTGTGTAAATACATATAAAATCAACTAACTATTTTTCAGTAGGCACATACTTCACTTTGATCAACTAAACACTACCGAAAGCTAAGAAATAATTATCTACGAAAAAAGATAGGAGACAATACCTGATTGTTTTCGACATCCTCCCACTACAAGAAAAATGACAATTAGCGGCAAAGTCTATTTGCCACGATAAGTCATTTCTGTGCCACAATAGCTCTATAGCGGCACATAATTGTGTGCTGTCAATACTGTTGCCGCTAAATCTCTTTAGCGGCAAATGTTAGCGACAAATATTATATGATGCTAATATGCATATTTGCGACAAATAATTTTGTTGCTAATTTGACTTTTGGATGACTATTTAACTGACTTTTTATCTCAATTTAGTAGCTGAAATTTTTGCCAATAATGCTACATTTAGCGGCATATATTTTTGCCCCTTTAGTTCGTTTAGGGGACAATTATATTTACCTTTAAATTAATCTACCGGAAAAAAATTATGTGCCATTATATATTTTGGCTTGCAATAATAAGCTTTAGCGATAATTATATATTCTTTCAGATAAATAATAATTTTATAATAATTTATTTATTTTCATTCATATTTTTTTAGTTTACTCGATAATAATATCTTAACAGGTAGTTCATATCCATATTTGAATATTTGTTTTAATATTTAAATTTTACATTTAATAGCCAAAACCCTATTTATATCACTGGTAAGTTTTTTTTTTTAATAATTATCACTAGTAAATGAGAAAATATCCCTGCCGCCTCATGTCCAACTACCCCTGAACCATGGCCATTCTATATTCACAATCACGAAGAAGAGATGGTGATAATAGAAGTCGAAATTTCGCGTTTATTGATCTGTCCATCCTCCAGCTAAAATCTAGCATGGAAATCAAAGAAAGAAGTCAGTCTTATATAATAGAAAAAGGCCAGAAGGAAACAATGGAACAAAAAACTAAGAACGACCTAAAATTTAAAGTTCTACATCTACCTCTGGATCCGTAACGATTCGGGCTTTTCCCGGTAATCCAACTACTACCAACGAATTAAGATGATTGAGACCGTGAACGATCAGGCTGCCATTGTTGTATACTTGTAATTGGGATATGGACGGAAACTGAGGATCATAGAAGCTCTGCTTCTGATGCAACTAATTTTCCACAAACTAGGTTTTATTTGCATTTCGGGATTGTGAACGAGAGGGGTGAGGCTGGTAGGATAAGAGAAATTATGTTTTATTTTTATTTTATTTTTTTAATGAATGTGAGGTTGAAAATAGAAAATTTTATTTTTTAATTCCCATGTCACTCATTTAACGGTCAACTATAAGAGTTGACCGCCACATCATCAAAAGTTAACAGAGACTAACGGCCAGTGACCAAACATGAACTGTTAACCTAATTTAAATGATTACGGATAGAATAAAGTAATTCTAGTGGCTAAACTTGCAATTTGTCTATCTGGTCATTCAAGTGAAAATATGACTGCTTTAAATGAAGAGTTAACGGAGGTGAATAAACAAATGGCGGCCATGACGAGGTTCGTTAATAAGAATTTCATGAACAAAACTGGTTGGAGGATGTAGAAAACAATCAGGTATTGTCTCCTATCTTTTTTCGTAGATAATTATTTCTTAGCTTTCAGTAGTGTTTAGAAAATTAGATTATAGGAGAACATTGACACATATCAAAATACAATCATGTCCAACACAGGTCGCTTGAAACAAAGCAATACTAAGACAAATTAAAGGTTGCTTGAAATCTATGTTTAGTAACAAAACAAGGGAATTTATTGGTATGCTTCATGATTACGGAATCTTTGTTTCTTTAGGTCAACTGCTGTGTTTTTCAATATTCTTGACTTGTCATCTGTGTGCTTGAATTATTGTCGATATCCTAACGATAGCTGAATCTCTCATCATTTCCTTCATATCTTGTTTAATTAGTGGCAACAGTTTTGAAGATGTTCTAGCAAAGAAGAGATCCTAGCCATAGTTGAATCTCTCATTATGAACTTTGTGGTGTGGTGTAGTGAGGTTCTGGTAAGTTTTCCAAGGTTTGTGGTTTTACTTTGGGATGCTTTGTTGTTTTCATTAATAACCAGCTTGCTCCTCTTTAATTTCCTATTTATTAATTTATGTCAACGAATTTAAACTAAAAAATAATCAAAACAAAATGTTACTGTTGGCTAGAACTAGTGTTAGTAGTTAGCATTATGCTAAAAAAAAGGTGTTAGCATCCTAACCAATTCCAAAAGGTTAAATACCTTTAAAATTTGAATTTATTATTCACTTTATTAAGCTGATCCATACAATTATGATTAGCTTGCTCCACGGAAAATTGGTTTTAATGTCACTGAAAATAAAAATAAAAGCCAATATTAAGAATTAAAACAACTCATTTGTCTTAATAACTGGTAGTTTTACTTTTGATGCATCTCTTTCCCCCAATGCATATATAGATGAGCAAGGCTTCATTTTAGTTTTGTCTTTTAGCCAAGGAAATCCCAAAGACGTGGAGCAACGACTCGATTACAAAACCGACTCGGACTATACTCTGGAGTTTGTATGCAGCCGAGCTACCATGAAAGAGCATGATATGCCACTAAATCGGGAGCTCTCAAGGAGCTACAAGGAGCAAATGAAGACACTGACTCTTACTAAAATGCGGAGATAACGACACAGTACAGACAAGCTTCCTTGGACGAAACGAATTGAAGTAAAAATTGGATAGGCGCCTTTGTTAACACAAGCCCTGGCTTGCGGTTAACAATATCTTAATTAGTTGCTCCGCAAAAGTTGAACTTCTCATATCTAGCACAACACTGCTCTGTCCCGTACTGAGCTCCATCTTTGTCCGGGCAATTTTTGTTCATCAGAACAGTCGCTCTTTTTAAGCAATTAAAGCAGTTGGGATTAGTCTTCGGAATGTGGCTATCAGTGTGGTCATCGGCACAAGAAGAATGTCTGTAAGCGACTGGTACTGCTCCATCTTCAGGAAGGTCGTCTTCATAGACCGCAGTGCACTTTGTTATGGTTGTGAGGTGATATAATATTTTTTGTCGGGTGGCGGCTAGAGGTATATCGAAGTCGGTTTCACTACAAAACCATTCGTGAGAGCCAGCACACATTGGATCGAGTGCAGCTTCAGCAGAGATGACGATTACAGTACTGCCTTGGAAGCCTCCGATGATCATTCTCAGAATTACCGACGATATCAGCACTGTGGTCATTCGAGCTCGAACCTGCACGCCCATCTCCTTCTCTGTCTCTCTCTCTCGTGGTTAGCTAGCTAATTCAGGACTTAGCTTTATAATGTTTGGGGATGGATGAATTTGCTGGCTTGCAATATTATATATAGCTCAGGAGTGGGATAGACAGCATTCTCATCTTCGTAATAAACTAACTGCAAGAGAATCCAAGCTAGGCGTAGGAGTTTTAGGTTATTGATCAGCCTACCTACAGACACCGCTTCTTCTCTCGTTACAAACTCCGGCAAGATTATTGTATGACAATGAAGTTCTCAAACACCGCCACTTCTCTCGTTGCAAACTCCGGCAAGATACCCTAAAACATATCTCATTTAGACACATACGTACACTACAGTCTACAAGCGAATGGGCCAAGCCCAGCGGTTCTCTTGCAAGGGTTAGAATAATCGCTGTGGGGATTTATATCCCTTCTCCTTTGGCAGCGGACGGTCCAGCGGATCTTTTAACCGCTGATGACCTAAACGTGTAGCCTGTTCAGCTATTGATCCAACGGAACTAGACAATCTAGTTTTTTTGTTTGCAAAAAAGAAAAAGAACAATTCAATTTTGAATTTTTACGGAAACTCATTTTTTAACAAAATTGTTTTATCTCATTTCTTACTATCCTGAAAAAGGCTGTGCACTTAACAAAAAAAAAAAAAAAGTTGTGCACCAAAAAAAAATCGAGAAAGAGCTCTTGGCTCAGCTCGCCATCATCTCCGATCTCCAAGCCGTCGATTCTCCTGTTTTTTCCTCTCGTCGACTCTCCGATCCTCCTCCTCACTATCGAGAAAGAGCTCTCAGCTCATCTCGCCATAAGCTTATCTCCGATTTCCGATCCGACGATTCTCCTCCTCCTCCGAAGCCGTTTTCTTCTCTCGCCAGCTCTCCGATCAGCGATTCTCCTCCTCATCCGAAGTAGTTTCTCCTCTCGCCAGCTCTTCTATCCTCCTCCTCTTACTGATCATCGATTGCTACTGCATTCCATCGATTTCTTCTGGTACTCTCTAAACCTAATTTGTGTTTCTGAATTTATTCTGATCTCGAGCGTAATATAGTTCTTAAATCTGATTTGTGCTTTTGGATAGCTCTAAATGTAGTATCTGAATCAGCTGAGTCAAGTGAATCTGCGACGAGAAGTTTTCTTAACAAATCTTTGAAATACATTTCGATATCAACAAAATCCTGGATTTTTCCAGAAATAGCACTATTTAAAAGAATTCCAAAAATAGCACCCAACTCAAAAAAATGCCAAAAATAGCACCCTTTCCCATAAACCGCCACCCAAACCAGCGGTTTAGGCAAAAACCGCACCTCGGGGGTGCGTTTTTCTATGAAAACCGCACTGGTAGGGTGCGGTTTTGCAAACCGCATGGGGCCAGGGCGGTTTGGTTGCAAACCGCACCCCCACCATGCGGTTTGTAATATATATATTTTTTCCAAAATAAATATCACAAGTGGACTTGGCACAACTGTTTTAGTCGTTTATTGTGTGCAAGAAGTCCTGAGTTTGAATCCCCACCATCCCATTTGAATTTTTTATTTTATTTTTTAGAGATTGAAAAAAGCAACATGTTGGGGGAGTGGTGGATCGAACAAAGATAATAAATACTTTACTAAATTTAGCACCAACATCTACACCACTCAACTACAACTCTTCTCTTGAAACAATAAATATTGAAAAACTTTTACTCCTCGAAATTTTTTTTTATTATACACTTTATTTTATTCACCACAAAAATATGATAAACTCGCTCCACAGAAAATCGTTTTTCACATCATTAAAATTAAATAAAATTAAAAATATTAAAACAACTCACCCGTATTAATAACTCGTAGTTTTATTTATGATGTATCCCTTTCCCCGTTACATATATATATTGACGAGGAGGATTCATTTTATTTTTTCCTTTAACCAAGACAAGCCCAAAAACATGCAACAACGATTGAACTATAAGATTGACTCTAACTATACTCTGTAGTCTATGTACTATCAGAGAAAAACCTTCGTTTTTCTTCGCCTGAAATGGAACCAGAATCAGCAGAGCAGGAGGCAGAGCTCCAACATTCAAATCCATCGACCGTTGCAACCTAGACGGCGCCGTATCCACTAAAGCAAACTCAAGCAGCAGTCAAGACGACAACGCATCGGACGTGGAGTGAAGTAGTCTCTGGCAAATTACCAAACGAGTCCCAAACTAGTTAACTTGTTCATTTTTCTGTTTCGGAATGTACTTTCTTCTGTCCCAAGCTTGTCTTCTTTCCTTGATCTGTAAACCCAAACTCAACAGCATATAAGCTGATTGAAGAAGTGAAAATCAATACAAGCCAAAATTCCAAAAGCAAAACAAGCTGTTATGGTATCAGAGCCTCAAGGGTTCTAAACCCTAGCCGCCACCAATGGAAGCAAACCCAGATCCCATGGCAGATCCATACTATCCCATGGTTCTGAGCAACCAGGATCCCAGCTTGTAGGAGAGAAACTCACAACACTCAACTACAATGATTGGCACAAAGCAATGTTCAATGCATTGGGAGCCAAGAACAAGCTTGGTTTCATTGATGGCAGCATCCCAGATTCAGGAGAAGACAGTGAGCAATCTGTCTCTTGGAAACGCAACAACATCATGGTGTTGGCATGGATTCAGCAAGCTGTGGACCCTGCAATCCGCAAGACCATCATGTCCTGCAAATCAGCCCTGGAAGCATGGAGGAGCTTACGCGAAAGATATGGCCAAGGTGACCTCATTCGCATTGCTGAACTCACTAAATCCCTCTGCACATTGAAACAAGGTACCCTTTCCGTCACTGATTATTATGGCAACCTCATTGCCCTTAAGGATGAGCTCGATAATTACCAACCCCTTGAACTATGTGACTGCTCCACCACAAGTTCTACCACCTGCAAAGCAATGAAGCTGGTTTGCCTTTATCGAGACACTAACTACATCATTCAGTTCCTGAGAGGACTCAATGATAACTTTTCTAGTGTCCGTTCCCAAGTTCTGTTTGGAGACACTCTCCCCCCTATTGACAGGGTCTTTTAGAGGATGCTCCAACATGAACGCCAACTCAATGGTCAACCTCAGTCCAAAGGCCTTGCTACTGAAAGCATGTCTCTTGCTGCCCAAACCTCAAACCAATTCCAGACCAGAAAACCAAGGCCATTTTGCACTCATTGCAAATTTGAAGGCCACACTGAGGACACATGCTATCACAAGCATGGTTGGCCACCTGGTGTCAACACCAAGAACTCCAACAATCAGAGGAAAACATATGAATGCACCTTCTGCAAAAGACAAGGCCACTCAGAAGAACGTTGTTTCTTTAAACATGGATTCCCTCCCAAAACTACCACAGGTGCTGGAAGAGGATCTGTTAATGCCTCCTCCAGCAACCTCCATGATGATTCCAATGAAGAAATCAAGCTCACCAAGGCAGATTTTGACAAGTTAATGTCTCTGGTCAAAGACAAAGGACCACAAAAGCCTTCATCTTTCACAGCTGCAGCATTCAGTAACAATTCAGGTAAATTCAGCCTGATTGTTGACTCTAATCCTCCCCACCTCAACAATGGATAATAGATACAGGAGCTTCAGACAATGTTGTATGCTCTCTGCAATTGCTAACCAACTGCAGGAGACTTCAGAACATATACATAACCTTACCAACAGGAGAGTAGGTTGAAGCAACCCACACAGGAACAGTCACCTGTGTTCCTGGTCTAATCCTAGAGGAAGCTCTTTTTGTTCCCAAATTCAGTTTCAACCTCATCTCAATCAGCAAATTAACTACCAATACTTCCCTGTGCTTAACCTTCTTCTCAAATGTTTGCCACATACAGGATATGCAGCTCAAGAAGATGACTGGTTCTGCTAAGCTAACCCAAGGCCTTTACCTCATAGATCCAACCCAAACAGACAGCATACCCAAACACATCACAGCCACAAGCTACCATACTTTTGATCTTTGGCACTATATACTTGGTCATGTTTCTCATTCTAAAATCCCTTCTTTGAGAGAAATATGTAACTCTATTAACACAGACAAGTCATTACCTTGTGATGTCTGTCATTTTGCAAGGCAGAGAAGACTGCCTTTTGCTTTGAGCAACACTGTATGCTCTAAACCTTTCCAGCTTATACATATTGATCTATGGGGCCCTAATTCTGTTCCTAGCTATGATGGTTTCAAATATTTTTTAACCATTGTTGATGATTTCACTAGAATGAATTGGATCATTCTCCTATCCTCCAAATCAGAAGCTAGGTCCAAACTTAAGGAATTCTGTGTTTATGTTCATACCCAGTTCCAAACCTCAATCCAAAGAATTCGTAGTGACCAAGGAAAAGAGTTTCAAATGAATGACTTCTTTAACACCACAGGAATCTTTCATGAACTCTCCTATGTTGAAACACCTCAACAAAACAGCAAGGTAGAAAGAAAACACCAACACATTCTTGCTGTTGCTCGAGCTTTAAAATTCCAAGCAAACTTACCTTCTGGTTTTTGGGGTGACTGTGTTAGACATGCTGTTCATTTAATCAATCGTGTACCCTCTATTGTCCTTCACAACAAAACACCATTTGAACTCCTTTTCAACCATAAACCAGACCTTACTGCCCTTAGAGTCTTTGGCTGCCTTTGCTATGCCACCACACTAAAAAACCACAGAACTAAGTTTGACTCTCGGGCAAGAAAAGGGGTTTTCATTGGTTATACATGAGGTATCAAAGGATACAAAATCTATGATCTTGCTACTAATGATGTTTTCACTTCTAGGGATGTTCAGTTTTATGAACATCACTTCCCCCAACCCAGCCAATTCCCAACCCTACCTTCCCACCCTGTTTGATGATTTCCCCCCCACCTACTATCCCCCACTAACCCATGACTCTCCTCCAACTAACCCTCCAGATCTTCCTTCAGACAGTGATGAGGATGATCATACTGCATACCTTGACTCACCATCCGCTTCTCCAACCCCACCATCACCACCATCACAACAACAACCAATCCAGCCAACTAGAAAATCAACTAGACCCTCTAAACCACCCTCTCACCTACAAAACTACCATTGTAATCAGCAGCTTCCTTCTACCAGTCATCTTCCACAGCATCACATCCAAGGTACCAAGCACTCACTCTCAACTGTTCTTAATTACTCCAATCTTTCCTCAAATCACAAACACTTTGTTCTATCTATTTCATCCCACAAAGAACCAGACACATACAAAGAGGCAATCCAATTCCCAGAATGGGATGCAGCAGTCACTACAGAACTTTCTGCTCTTGATGCTAATGAGACATGGGAAATTGTAGAACTACCAGCATGCAAGAAAGCAATTGGATGCAAATGGGTATTCAGGATCAAATTCAATCCTGATGGAACTATTGACAGATTCAAAGCAAGGCTGGTAGCCAAAGGCTACAACCAACAAGAAGGAGTTGATTACCAAGACACTTTTGCCCCAGTTGTCAAAATGACAACCATTAGACTGTTCTTAGCAATTGCTGCTGCTCAAAACTAGCATGTTCACCACTTGGACGTGAACAATGCCTTTTTACATGGGGACCTTGACCAGGAAGTCTACATGAAACTCCCACCAGGCTACAAGCCTCCTGCAGGCTTCAAATCTCCAGTCTGCCTATTGAAAAAGTCACTCTATGGTCTCAAACAGGCATCAAGGCAGTGGTTCTCTAAACTAGTAGACAAACTCAGGTCACAAGGCTACCAATCGAGCAAAGTGGATCATTCGTTATTCTTCAAGGCCACTAAATCCTCCTACACATGCATACTGGTGTATGTTGATGACTTGGTCATTAGAGGAACTGACTTACAAGAAATCACCAGTCTCAAACAGTCCCTTCACAATGCCTTCGGCATCAAAGATTTGGGACCCCTCAAATTCTTTCTGGGCATCGAGGTGGCCAGATCAAAACAAGGCATCCACATTTCTCAAAGAAAATACACACTGGAAATTTTGGAAGAAGCAGATTTATTGCATTGCAAACCAGTCACTACACCAATGGATTACAAGATTCACCTATCATCTCAACATTCTGATCCCTTTCCAGATCCCACTCTATACAGAAGACTCGTGGGCAAGCTCATATACCTCACCACTACAAGACCAGAAATTAGCTATGCAACACAACATGTGAGCCAATTCATGTCTAATCCAAGCCAAGACCACTACAAAGCAGTTCTCAGAATTCTAAAATACCTCAAATCAGCTCCCTCCAGTGGACTTTTCTTCTCAGCTACTTCTTCACTTCAGCTCAAGGCTTTCAGTGACTCTAACTGGGCTGCTTGCATTGACACTCGGAGATCAACAACAGGGTACCGTGTCTAGCTGGGTGACTCGCTTATCTCATGGAAGAGAAAAAAGCAAACCACCATCTCCCGCTCTTCCTGTGAAGCTGAATATTGGGCACTCGCTCACACAAGCTGCGAAATCCAATGGATCCTCTATCTTCTCCAAGATCTGAAAATTGGCCATCCCCAACCAGCAATTCTTTATTGCGACAACCAGTCTGCAATCTACATCGCCGAAAATCCAACCTTCCATGAAAGGACGAAACACATTGAGCTTGACTGCCATTTTGTGCGCGACAAGATCATCTCCAACATCATCAAGGTACTTCACATCTCCACCGTGCATCAGCTGGCATATCTCTTCACCAAACCTCTTCCTCCGGCGACCTTTAATCACCTTCTCTCCAAGCTTGGTGTGCTGAATCTCTGCCCGCCAGCTTGCGGGGGGTATCTAGGAAAACCTTCGTTTTTCTTCGCCTGAAATGGAACCAGAATCAGCAGAGCAGGAGGCAGAGCTCCAACATTCAAATCCATCGACCGTTGTAACCCAGACGGGGCTGTATCCACTAAAGCAAACTCAAGCAGCAGTCAAGACGACGACGCATCGGACCTGGAGTGAAGTAGTCTCTGGCAAATTACCAAACGAGTCCCAAACTAGTTAACTTGTTCATTTTCCTGTTTCGGAATGTACTTGTTCATTTTCCTGTTTCGGAATGTACTTTCTTCTGTCCCAAGCTTGTCTTCTTTCCTTGATCTGTAAACCCAAACTCAACAGCATATAAGCTGATTGAAGAAGTGAAAATCAATACAAGCCAAAATTCCAAAAGCAAAACAAGCTGTTAATACTGCATTCCGCGCGTCTAAGCTATCGAAGTCGGTCGGACTACAAAACCATTCGTTGGAGGCAGCGCACACTGGATCGAGAGCAGCTTCAGCAGTGATGACCATTGTTAGAATTAGCGACGAAATCAGCCCTGTGGTCATTCGAGCATCCAAGCGACCAACCTGCATGGCCATCTCTCTCTCTCTCTCTCTCTCTCTCTCTCTCTCTCTCTCTCTCTCGGGTAGCTAGCTAATTGTATGTGTTCTGAGTTAGCTTTTTATTGTTGTGAGATGAGATGGATAAATTTCGTTGATTGCAATATTATATCTTAGGAGTTTTAGGTTTTTGATCAGCCTACCTACAAACACCAAACAACGCCTCTTCTCTCGTTACAATTACAAATCCCGGCAAGATACCCTAAAACATATCTCACAGACTCAGTCGTTATCTTGCACATAAGTACTTCATTTTGTGCCGGAATTCCAGTTCATCCGAATAACAGCATTTTCAATGAATTGCTACATAAGTACTTCATTTTGTAGTATAACATAAGTACAACTCATTAACATCTAATAAGCAATAAACACTAACATAATATTGTTAAGAAAGGAGAAAGAAGTGAAAGATTGAAGTGTGAATTGACGGGGAAATTAATGTTTGGTTTGGGCGGCAACTAAATTACATTTCAACTCGTAGTTTTTTAATTATCCTTCCAATCATTGAGTGGTTACAATATGATACTTTGTTTTTAATATATGAAAACATAATCTTGGAACGCAGAAAGAATGATGCATGACTTATGGGCGGTCATGAGAACCACACATATTTTTGAATAATTAAGCGCTAATACCACTTAAGACACTAATCTTTAATGAGTGTGTCATTTATATTATGTAACTTCAATAAATACATTCATATTTATATATTAGGTGTCTGCATTATTTGTGTTACAAAAATATGTGTTGACCATTAGAATTATGTGTTGACCTAACAATAGACAACGTTTGTCTGGCCATAGATGAAGTGGCAATTAGGCGTCTTCTACTTACATACCACATATGATATCATTATTAAAAATATATAAAATTTACAACTAAATTAAAAAAAAAATTGGCCAAAAAATTGACCCAGAAATTGTCGTTTTCTTCTCGCGCGTGGAGCTTCTTCTCTTCCTTCCTTTTCCACCATTATTGACTATTGAGGATCCAAAACCTCTTGATAAAGTTTTGAAATCCAATCCCACCAATAAACATTTCGCCGTTCAATCCCACCTTCTTTTCCTCCTTCTACCAATTTGAATCGATGATCTATTAGCGGTGAATTTGAGGGTCGTGGTCCGACCATGGGAACGGATCAGGTCAGTAACCTTCTCATGATTTAACTCGTTTATATCGGCATGAATCAGTATCCCCGCTCGGAATCACGGGGAACGGATCAGGTCAGTAACCTCATGGTTTAACCCGTTTATATCAGCATGAATCAGTATCCCCACTCTCCTAGAAGGTCATTTATCTTTTTTCATTTAATCTTTAACAGACAATTTCTCTCTCGTTTTAAGTCGAAATTTAAATTTTTTTGCACAGATAAATTAGATTAAAGATGTTCTTTAAAATGATATCCACTTTGATATATTTTTAGTACAAAAAAATTGAATAATTTTTTACCAGTCATTAGCATATGGTATTCTCCTATTTAATACCATATGGTAAGAAAGCGTACCATGATGGTATGGACATATCAATATGGTAAAAAAGTTGAATACATGATAGTAGGAGTATACTAACTGTCATTTACGACTTTCATCATTGTTTACTACAAGTTAACACAAGTTACCATTCACATACCATAGTGGTAAAGTATGATAATTTTTTGTCCAATATTTTTTTCACCCAGAAATTTGTAGATCCAATAGATCATGATGAACTCGTTCCTTCTGAGCAAACGTTTTCAAAAACAACTTAAAAACGAAGAAGTTACCATATGATATATAGTTGGTAAAAAAAATTCTCGAAATATTATGAAAATTGATCTCATTTTGTAGAGCACAATGAACTCGTTCCATCTATGCAAAAAAATTGAAATCTGAGTTAGAACGAAAAAGATAAGGGCCGATTAAGAAAAGTAGGGAAAATAAAATACCTTTAATTGACAGCCCTTAGATCTAGATTTTCGGGGCCCACTTAGATCTAAAGGTCGAGATTTAGTTACTCATAGGTCAGTAACCAATGGTTACTGACCCTATCCTAAACCGGAATCACGGGGCGAGAATCAAAGCCTCCCCCAATCCAATATTCGGCCCCTGGCATACGCTGGGCTACCTCCATTACACCGACAAAAGCAAGATTTACATGCATGCTCAACCCAGCGAGAACACTCGATCTCGTGCACAGCGAGTCGACGATGATCCCCGCATAGTTTGATCGTGTAATACAAGAGATAAATCATAGGTTGCCAGGTCTTATTTCTCTCAGGTCATCAAATGCACAACTACTCACACCAATCAGCATGACACGCAAAAATTCAGCAAATAAGTAAGAAGAGTACAGTTGTTTAGGGGTTTCTATTTATAAATGTGTAAAAGAAAAGATAAGTTATTGTAAGAAATAGTGAACTCACCACTATCATGCAAACTAGGGTCATTCATATCATGCATCCATGGTTTGTGTATTTTAAGACTTACACTCTATCCCTTCCTCTAAAGTCACTCTCAGCATGTGCATGCACCTCTTGCAATAATGATTTAACTAGCTAACGCTTACTTTCGCTTCAATCCATTGTCTAATCAATTATGTAACAATCAAGGATTGATATCTACTCGTATCATAAATTGTTGATCAAGGCTCCTCAATGAGAAAGATCAGGGGCAGGTACTTCGATAGCAATACCCACCTCGTGACAGATCGGGTAATTATCACAGGACGCGGTCCAAGGTGCAGAAGACACGAATTCACATAGTAAGGACATAAAAATGGAAAAAAGTTCCCCTCCAAGATAGCCCCATTTAGCAAGTCAATCGAAGACGAGCGTTTGTTAGCACAAATCCTAGGGTTAGGATACAGTGAGTAACTAAAGGTTACTCATCCATCAGTAATCAAATGGAAACCGTAGATCTTAGTGGGGAAACATTGTGTGGCTGATATTGACGCGGGGTGGAGAAGGGGCAATTTTGTCCGATTTTTAAAATTTTATTTCTTTCCTTTTTTTATTTTTTCCAGCATTTATATGCTGGCTTTTAATTGAGGAAAGAGAAAAACCAGATTTCTTCCTCTCTCTTTTTTCTTTCCCTTTCTCTCTTCCTTCTCTCTTCCAAACACCCTTTTCCAGATCTAGATCTGTTCCCTTCTCTTGTTCTTCATTTTTTTTCCCGAATCGACGAAGAAAAAATTGCAGCCTCCCCTCTCAAATTCGGTGATGCTCCAAATCTTTCTCCCGATCTTTATTTTCTCTCCCTCGTTCTGTTTTTCTTCCTTCTTTTAGGAAATATCTATATTGATATTACCACACTATACTATATGGTAATGTGTGCTAACTAATTGTATTTTTATGGTCACGAGTTTTATCATGATGGTAGTGGGTGGTAATCGACAACAGTTCCGAGAAGGTAGAGATAGAAGACAATGAAGTGGGAGAAGAAAGTGAAGAGAGTCGTAGTTATCTTCTCATTCTGTGTCGGAATTTCAATCCATACGAATAACAGCCTTATCACTGAATAACTTTATATACGGTGATATCCAAATGCACTCTTGACCTTAGTAATATAAACTTCAAGAACCCCCAGCCAGCCAGGGCGATAATGATAATGCCCAGTATTACCATTTTCAATATAAACTAGTGGCGATGCCGCGACTTGACGCAGAGCGGAGATGGCCTATGGGTGCTGTTTGGTGGGTGCTGTTTGGTTTCCCTTACCCGGAGGGTCGGCCTGCTGAGATTGTTTCCCTGTGCGTGGTGGAACAACGTTGGGATCTTGTAATTTGAGCTGTTTGTTCCTTCTCGTTGTTTTGAGCTCAGGGGTGGTCTGCTCCATCTAGTGCTCCTGTGCTTTTCTGTTTCCCTGCCCTGCGATTTGGTTTTCCGTCCTATTTCTTTGTTTTCTTGCTTCATTTGCTTTCGGTTCGGACTTTGGGTTTTTGGGATTAATGCTCTTGATCCCTTCCCTTGTATTTCTTTCCTTCTAATACAATCGTCACCATTATAAAAAAAGAAAATATCACCATTATAAAAAAAGAAAATATCACCTATCGCGGCCTCTTCTATCGATATCAACACCCACCATTAAAAATAAGTATAATTAAAAATATTAAAACAACTCATCCGTATTAATAACTCGTAGTTTTATTTATGATGTATCTCTTTGCCTGTTACATAATATCGATAAGGAGGCTTCGTTTTATTTTTTCTTTTAACCAAGGGAAGCCCAAAAAGATACCGCAACGACTCACGTACAAAGCTGTCTCTCCTTACAATCCGTAGTTTGTATGCAGCCGATCTACAATGAAAGACCAAGAAAGTCAATCGAAAAGGAGCATTGATTAACAGAAACCCTGGCCAGCGGGTAACGATTTACTCCGGTCCTCAACAAAAGTTGTTCAACTCATATCTAGCACAACACTCTTCGTTCCCGTACTGAGCTCCATCTTTGCCCGGGCAATTCTCGCTCATTATTTGAGTCGCTCTGCGTAAGCAATCACCGCAGGTGCCACCATTAGCAATAGCACAAGAAGTATGTACGTAGGCGACTAGAGGACTATTTCTGTATCTGGCCTCATCGCAATTTATTGTGACTGTGAGTTTTCGTAATAAATGATCCTGCGCGTCTGGGATATTGAAGTCGGTCGGACTACAAAACCATTCGTTGGAGGCACCGCACAGTGGATCGAGGGCACCGCCTACGTTGATCATTGTCACAATTAGCGACGAAATCAGCACTGTGGCCATTCGAGCATCCAAGCGACCAACCTGCATGGCCATCTCTCTCTCTCTCTCTCTCTCTCTCTCTCTCTCTCTCTCTCTCTCGCTATTAGCTAGCTAAGATGTGTTCTGAGTGAAGTGGGCTACCTAGCTTTATAATGTTGTGAGATGGATGAATTTTGTTGTTGCAATATTATATCTTAGTAGTTGGACAGACAGCATTCTCATCTTCATCAAAAAATAATTTGGCGAGATAATAGAAGCGTAGGCATGATGTTAGGTTATTGATCAGAATAACAGCATAGACATACGTATCTTGCACAAAACTACTTCTGTGCCGGAATTCCAATGCATCGGAATAGCAGCATTATCAATGAATTAGGTGTGTTCCCCTTATGTGCCAACTGCCATATATGAGATCATTATTAAAAATAAGTAAAATTTCCAATCAAATTAAAGAAAATTTCGGAAAATGGCAAAAAATTGACCCAGAAATCTTCGTCTCCTTCTCGTGGAGCTTCTTCACCTCCTTGCTTTTCCACCCTTGCCAAACTTTTGAAAACGACGGTTTAACTACAACATGGATTTGTGTGTATATATATATATATGCATAGGAGAGGAAAGCCACAACAATCTTGTAAACCTCGTTGATGCCTCTACCGGTTCTCAGATTACTTTGCTGCCTGTTATGAGCTAGACGATCCACTTAAGACAAAGAGTTACCGACCTATATATCTTCCCATTATTATATATGATGAGAAGCCTTTATTTGCTGCTTCTATAATCTATATAATCCGAAAGAGGAGGGAGCAACTGCCAAAGTTCACATATGTTAGTGGTGAAACTTTACATGTCACTTTTATTTCAAACAACAAAATAACTTCATTTTATCATTACATATGATAAAATGGTGAGGTTTAGATGTGCATAATGATCTATAATGCTATTGTAGAGTTCAGTCCTATAGGTGACAAGGTCGATCACCTCAATTCCTAAGGGTTTTGTTAGTGTGAGGAATCGAAGTTGCATACTATTTTTCATAAGGATCTACAATGATATTGTTTGACTTTAATTATATCAGTGACATGATGCATCATTATTTCAATAGTGGGCAAGGGTTATACATATCAATCGAAAGACAAATCTATCATCTATTGAACAGTCTACTACCACCAAAATGTAAGTTTGTTGAGTTATACATTCATCAAATAATAAATAATATGAAATATCTCTGATTCGATCATTACATATGATAATTTTGATAATTTAAATAACGTGCGTGAAATTTTTTTACTAGACAAAAAATATTAGATGCTCACAACAATTGGCCAACATATAGATGCACGAAAGGAAAAATAAATGAAAAGTTATGTACAAATTATGATGTTGAAAACCATAGGCCAATAAAAGAACAGATGATTGTGAATATGATTTTGAAAATAGTGATGAAGATAGGACTCTTACTGTTTTTCATGATCATTGCTTCTAGCCACACTTAAACTAAATATGGCAACCTAACAATCAAACCAATCTCAAACAATAAATAATCGTAATAAATATAGAAAAAGAGAAATAATAGCCTACTCCTATTGAAAATTAACAACGACCAAAAAATGTGTCACTCGTCGGGCCGGCACATAACTAGTTTTATCTATAGCAATATAGTTTTTTATACCTTTGGAAATATGAGTTTATAGTTTACTTTGTTTGACTGATCCATAAAAATATGATTAGCTTACTCCACAAAAATCGGTTTTAATATCATTAATAATAAAAATGAAACTAAATATTAATAATTAAAAGATATGATGTATCTCTTTCCCTTATATTTTCTTTGAACCAAGGCAAGTCCAGAGATATGGAAAAATAACTAAATTACAAGACTGACTTTGATTGTACTCCATAGTTTGTAGGGCTGAAAATTTGCTTGTCCCGTCCTTGACCCTGTGTGACCCGTTCCTGAAGGTTCAAGATGTATAAATGATCCGTTCCGTCCCTGTTTCCTTCTTGACCCTGTCTGACCCTCAAGAGTTGGGTCGGGTCGGGACGGGTCGGGTCAGTGGGTCGACCCTAATTAACACACTACCTTTTTACACGTTTTGGTACCCAAAATTATTTTTTCTTACAATTTAGTACCTAAAATTTATTTTTTTACAAATAAGTCCATAAATTTTGATTGTATAATTCAGTTTTGGTACCCAAATTTTTTTATTTTTACAAGTTACTACCTAAACTTTTAAAAATTTACAAAAAGGTCCAATGTGGTGTGAGATATTTGTTGTTGCTAAGGGTCACAGCCTTACAGGGTCAAAACGTGACCCGTCCCTAAGTTGTCCCTACCTGTCCCGACACTTACAGGGTCATCAAATGACCCATCCCTAATCGGACACTGTAGATAAACTGACATGTCCCGACCCTTAGGGACTGGATGCGTCGGGATGGGACGCGTCGCGATGGGTCAGTGGGTCTTCCGGGTCAAGTTTTCACCCCCTAGTTTGTATGCAGTAGAAGTACTATGAAAGATCATGATATGCCACTACACGAAGAGCTCTCAAGAAACTTCAAAGAGCAAAAAATACGAATCTAACTAAAATTTCAGGTGTCTGCGTTATTTGTGTTTCAAAAATGTATGTTGACCGTTAAAGTTAATTGTTGACTTAACAGTAGACAACCTTCGTTTGTCTGACCATTGATGAAGTGACACTTATGTGTCTTCCACTTCCGTACCACATATGATAACATTATTAAAAATAAATAAGATTTCCAACTAAATTACAAAAAAATTCAAAAAAATTGACCCAGAAATTGTCGTCTCCTTCTCGCGCGTGGAGCTTCTTCTCCTCCTTCCTTTTCCACCATTACTGATGATCCAAACCTCTTGACAATAAAAATTTGGCCGTTGAATCCCACCTTCTTTTCCTCCTTCTACCAATTAGAATCGATAATCGATTAGCGGTGAATTTGAGGGTCGTGGTCGGAATCACGGGGCGAGAATCAAAGCCTCTCCCAATGCCAATCTTCGGCCCCTGGCACAGGCTGGGCTGCCTCCACTACATGAATGCTCAACACTCGATCTCGTGCACAGCGAGTCGACGATGCTCCCCGCGTAGTTTGATTGTGTAGTACAAGAGATAAATCATAGGTTGTCGGGTCTTATATTTCGAAGGTCATCAAATGCACAACTACTCACACCAATCAGCATGGCACCCAAGAATTAAGTAAATAAGTAAGAAGAGTACAGTCGTTTAGGGGTTTCCGATTTATATATGTATAAAAGAAAAGATACGTTATTGTAAGAGATAGTGAACTCACCACTATCATGCAAACTAGGGTCATTCATATCATGCATCAATGGTTTGTGTATTTTAAGACTTACACTCTATCCCTTTCTCTAAAGTCTAAAGTCACTCTCAGCATGTGCATGCACTTCTTGCGATAGTGATTTAACTAGCTAACACGTACTTTCGCTTCAACTCATTGTTCCGTCCTGTACTGATACTCTCAAGCCACTATCAAATAAAAATGTTTGAGCGTTATATTATTGAGATCTGCTAAAAATTGACCTTTCCTTATTATTAGTACTAAAAAATATATAATTATATGAAAGTTGTACTTAAATTTTTCAGTGTACTCAAATAGTAAAAAAATTCATCATCCATATTAATAACTCGTTTAGTTTTATTTATACCGCATCTCTTTCATCGGCCGTTACAACATATATTGACTAGTCTTTTGAGCCTTTGTTGGCTCGAAACCTGGCTAGCGGGAACCTTTGCTCGGATCGACAACATAAACAATAATCACTGAGAATATATATATGGCGGCTAACATCCAATTTTAAAATTTTTGCTAATAAATGATATTTACATGAACCAAGTAGACTCATTGATTATATGTATGGTATGGGTGGAGAATATATGAGTTTGGAAGTTTGTAGATGGGTTTGGGCAGGGTATGAATATTTACTTTCATAATCTAAATGTGTATGAGTTGGGTATGGATACCCATTTTATTCGAGGGTGTTTTAGTTACACATACAAAAATTAGATCTATTTGTATAAATTCAAAAGTTAAGGTACTAAGGGTTATGGAAGGCGAATGCAAAAATTAAACAAAGGGAATGCAGATGATGAAAAGGTTTCGACCAATTCTTTTATTTGACCGTCAATACAACAGTAAACTCTTTTCACCGAAGCAATTTATTGACAGTTGCTTATGTATTTGTCGCATATTCTGTTACATGTATTTAGTAGAAGTTTGTTTAGTACCCCGTAAATGTACTAAATGAGTTTATGAATTCGATTTTGCAATATTTTAGACTCATCTCTCTTTCATCATTTTAATGTGCCACGTAATGAGCAAATATAAAATGGTCGAATCCTCTCCTACTGTTGAGTGATGCATCTTGTATGGTACAAACTAAATTTATACTTTTATGTTATGATGGATTAGATTCATGGATTGGTTCACAATGATTGGTTGATTGAATTCATGGATTCAAGTGAAATCTAAACATTGAACCATTATGTAAAAGTAAAAAATTGTAGGTACGAAAATCTCATAAAATTTAGATACCAAAACATAAATTTTCAATTAATTTACATTAAAATTAATTTTGGGTTTATCAAAATGTAAAAATGTACATTATAGTGACTAAGTTGTAGTTTAATTATATTTGCGGTATCAAAATGTAATAGTTTAGGAAACAGTAACCTCATCTATCTATCTATCTATACATAATATTATGGCAATTCAAAAGTAGTTTGTTGCCACATAAGCATTTGGAGAATTTACAAGGTGCCATGATGTACACTTTTTTTTACAACAAAAAAAGTTAGTTAATGATCAATTAATGTATCTATATCTATCTTCTTTTAATATTTTCTTTTTATTTTAATGATCATTTATGTAGCTATCTATATCTTCTTTTAATATATTTTTTTTATTCAATAATTGTTTTTTTCAATATATATGTATAGCAGCAGTATACGTATGTTTGGAGAGTGACATATATTGTAATCTCTTAACAAATATATTTGATTAAATCTGATCAATTAATTTTAATTTTTATTAGAACTTAATACAGTGAAGTTTAGATAATCAACATTTAATAATCAATTGAATTTGAAAAACCAACCATATAAGTTTATGTTTTGGTTATCAAACACTATCTTTTTCTAATGTTTGTATCTATTAATGAAAACAAGTATTAAACAACAAAATGCTTCAAAAGTTGTTTTTCATTTAGATAGAAACTTGACGAAGTCATAATATAGTACCTGATTGTACAAATGAAGACGATAAAGAAAAACAACTTTTCTTCTCTCTTATAATGCATGCTTCCATACCTTATTTTCTCTTACATTTGTTCATATTTCCCCTTATTTTTCTTAATAGTTTACATATTTTGGTCAACAAAGGTGTTAATTACACTTAAAAATACATTAAACTCTTTATATTTATATATGTATATTATGACATACTTTGAGTAAGAAAATGATATCTAGACCTTGAATTGACTGGAGTTTGGCATATGGTATTATTCTCAAACCCTTCAAGATTAAAATCTAGGTCTTAAATTTATAAATCTCATACCCTAAGATCAATTTAATTCTAAACAAAAATCAACGGTCATGCTTCGTCAAAATATATGCAACAAATTACATGCACAATCTTAGGGGTTAAGCTCTATGATTTAGATAACTAAGACATAGGGTTCACTCATCAAGAATTAGGGTATAGTATCATGCCCACAAATCCGGTTAATTCGTGGTCCAGATAGCGTGTTCTTACTTAGAGTATAGTATCATGCTTAGATATTGACAATAGATGTGGCATTACACCAACAAAATGAAGATATTAGTATAAGTTTAAGCAAATACATATTTGAGAAGTTAGAAAATTATACACTAATGGACCATGTTAAGATTAGAACCCTCGACAGTATGTGAGTATCTTGGACCGAGATTCTAAACCAACATCTAAACAACGATCATTAGTTGAGGGTGAGTCTAAATTAAACTTCAGGAATTAACAATTGGTACCTATTGTATAAGATATTAAATTGAGTGTCTTGATCGACAAATATGATCTTACAATAAGACAGTAAACTTTCAATTGGGATGACCAAACTTACCTAATATTGAAGTACCTTTATAAAAACATTCTAACTAAGTTGTCGCCATCTGAGCAACATCATTGGTTGAGAGTTTGTCCAAAGTCGAGATTCATTGAATGACATATATTGTTGTAGACACCCCATTTTGTCCTGTCGCAACCGCACCTCCGAATTGGCGAGATCCGTCGCGAATCGGTCGGAGTCGCCATCGACCTTAATTTGTGGTGGGTCGAACACCTTTTGGTCCGGTTCCAACCTTGGGTCAGAACCGGGATTTGGTCTGCGAATTTTGAGATTTTTGGGTTCGGGAGTACGGTTACGTGTGGGGAAGTGTATTCACGCCCCACAACGCCCCTAAATGGGTACTACTTAAATCGATAAGTTTTTAAGGATTGGGTGTATTATTATTTGCGGCTTTATTAATGTATTTAATTTTATGATTTGATTAATTAGATAGTTATTAATATTTGATCATACGTCTATTGACGCAATTCTCAAAATTAAAGAAAGAGTTTTTGGTTAGCTGAACTCGAACCTATTGGTTGCCTACGTACCCGAGTAGTCGGGATCAAAGTCCACGTAGTTCGTTTAGACTTTGATAATTTAATTGTAGCTTTTACCACGTTCCACTGAACGTAATTCTCGTATTATAATTTTGTTAACTTTGATAGGCTTAATCATAATTTTTACCGCGTTCTACTGAAGGTAGTTCTCGTAATAGAATTTTATTGTTAAAATTTAGGTTGATTATTATTAGGATGTATTTTCGTGTATTAGGAAAAGAAATGAGACAAACTTAATCCGCATTTCACATTTTTGTATTAAGAACTTTAAAACAAAGAAAACTAAGCGGGATGGTTAAAGAGACGAATGATGGGTCAGTAGCCCAACTGGCTGGCTAACTAACTGGTTCGTCTTCACCCACGAGGACGCGGTTTCGAACCACGGTGATGGATATGTTTTTTTGTTTCTCGTTTTAGTGCAGCAAAAGGGGGAAGGGTATTTTTGTAATTACTCAAAAACACGGTGGCATGGCTGCGAAATAAGCTGAAAACCCTAGGGGCATTTTAGTCAATTGGAAAGGTATATAAACAGAACGAAACCCTAATCACACTAATTCGGCCGCCGGCCTCTATCCTCTCCTCTCTCTCTCTCGCGTTCTTCTGAAACGAGAATGGGAAAAACCGAAAACGTCAACACTTCGCCTCTCTCTCTCACTCTCGTCTCAGAAGAGACTCCAAAAACCCTAAACGATGCCAAACGGCGCCGCCCTCTCTCTCAATCCCTCTCGTTTTATGCTTTATCCTTGCAAATCGAAACCCTAATCCTAATCAATCCTAGCAGCCGCCTCCATGGAGATCGAACGGCGACCCCTCTCTCTCTCTCTATGCGCCGCCGCTCTCGACTCTGGCCGGGAAGTTAAGGGGAAATCGACCCGGGTAAGAAACACGACATGCATGCTTCCTAATTTCTATCTCTTGGATTATAATTGGGATTCCTAATTCCTAATTTGTTTTTGGGTTTCGGATTTGGATGAGGAGGAAAAGGGAGAAGAGGGAGTCACCGGCGGTGACTAGATCGATGGTAAGTGGCGGATTATGGTTTTGTATGTTTGATTTTCTGGGTTTTTTATTCCGAGTTTGGGTTCTAACCCTTTCTGCTTTTTCGCAGGTTACAAAAAGAGGCTAGATCTGGGTGCGGTTTCTCCCTACCCTTATTTTCGTTTCGGTTAACCTTTGGTATCTAATTAGGTTAGGAAATTTTGTGATTGATGCTCCTGAGTTGGGATTGGGGTCTGACTATCGTAGTTGATTTGGTCATAAATTTATGATTCTGAGATTTGAGATTTGGGGGAAAATGCTTGTGTTTACTCCATATGCATGGTATATTTTTATGTATATGCAGAAATAACGAGAGAATTGAAATCTGACACAAATTAAGAAGATAGTATATAGCTTTATGGAAATGGTAATAAAACTTGGAGTAGATGACAGTAATAAATAAATAGTAATAAGCGTAAATTAAAAGATGAGAGATTTATAGGCTAATATGACTAACAGGTAATAAAGTGAATGCTTGAAACAAATAAATAAAGGAACTGAAAAATAAACTATTATCAATGGAAGAGATGGTAAAGTAAATGAGACTTGGTAAGTCTGAATTGATAAGTTGTGATTTCTTTTTTGTTAAAATCAATTTGGTCATTTTGTAGTTTGATTGGAATTGATTGATTTTTTTCTCTTTTTGAAAGTATGATGTAGTAACGATGGTAATATAATAACTATAGTAATGGTGGAGAAAAAGAAGAAAAGAGTAGCAAAACCGCAAAAGAGGTTATATTATTAGCAATGGATGATGAACCTGGATTAGTAAACCGCAGACCTTGTTGGGCTTTTCTTCTACTTCTATTTTTACAGAGAATAGAGAAGGAAAAGAACGTGTGTTGTATTTCTCCTTCTAGTTCTCAGCACTTTCCCTCTCTGAACTACTAAGAAGAAGAAAAAGAGAACTCTGAACTGACTGAAAGAAAAGAGTGTTTTCCCACTATTTTCCCCTCCCCAAAAGCCGTCCTCGGTTCTTGAAAATTGAGCCTGCTTTTATAGAAAAAGGAGGCGGTGGTTCCAGGGTTCGGTCGGACCAATTTTGGTTCAACCGGTCCGTCGGGTTGGGTCGCTTCTGAGCTGACCGGCCTTCTCTTGACCATGTGGGCTAGTCTTGGAGTTGGACCTTGCATTTGGGCTTGACCAAGCATTGACTTTGGGCTGGATCTGGCCTTGTTGCATGGGCTTGACTTTGGACTTGTGGCCGAAATCTGGGCTTGAACTTGGTTCATGGCTGGCGGGCTATTCAAGAGATGGAAGAAAGATGTATTGATTGTAATTTTCATTTAGTAATTCTTATTTGTAATTTATATTCTTATTGTAATTGCATAATTTATTGATAATTTAAATAAAACTTTCTTCTTCTTCTTCTGTATTTTTTGTGATGTGCCAAAAGCATAAATTGGAAGCCAATCGGTCCTATTAAATCCACTCGAATCGAATTCGAATAAATTATACAATTATCGATATTAGACTCGCAATGGCCAATCTAATTATCTTACGACATTTCAAGTTTAAATTAGAATTTTAGTTGAGTAATTGACCCGGACAAAATGGGGTGTCTACAGTTGCCCCCTTGTATATCTCTTTATGTAAAGAGTTATACAAAGTTCCCGTATAGACACCACATTTTCTTAGTTCAGTCGAGGATTATATTTTGTTGGTGACGTATTTTTTCGGCGTTCGTCATCGCCAATTGTTATATTTTTCTCGATGATGACGTAAATGAAGCGCACGTCAGCGCTAATTGTTGGGTTTTTTCTTATGATGACGTAAACGAAGCGCACGTCAGCGCTAATTGTTGGGGTTTCCTGATGAGGACGTAAATGAAGCGCACGCCAGCGCTAATTGTTGAACTTATTTTGATGGTTAATTGTTTTATGCTTATTAGCATTGGTGTAGTATTTTTCAGGCGCTCGCCAGCACCAATGTACTTTTCGAACGCTCACCAGCGTCGGTGTCGTATTTTTCAGGCGCTCGCCAGCACCAGAGTACTTTTCGAACGCTCACCAGCGTCCGTGTCGTATTTTTCAGGCGCTCGCCAGCACCAATTTAGTATTTTTAGCAGTAAAATCAAGCTAATAATTTTGTAACGACATTGTACTCAAATTGTTTGTGATAGAAATCAATCGAAACAATGAGAAAAATGACAACGATGAAATCAAGCTAATCATTCTGTAAGGAAGTTGTACTCAAATTGTCTATGATAGAAATCAAATCGAACAATGAGAATAATAACTATGATAAAATCAAGCTTATCATTAATGAAAATGTGTATTTGTATTTCGCATGAAAAGTTTTAACATACATTTAGTAAATGTTTGAGAGGTTTTTGTGACGAATAACAATTCACTTTGATGTATGATGATGTCAAGTACTGAGTATAAAAAATGATGTTGGAAATGATTGTGTGATGAGTCAATGCTAATGAATGATAATGTCGTGTATATGCAAATAGAGGATATGATACATTTTCAGTTGTTTTGAAAATATTTTGTTTTCGTTGACTTGGGCTCCTTTAAATTGAACGCCCACAAGAATTGAATCATTGCCTTTTGTAGACTTGATCCTCAATTGTGCGAGCTATTAATTGGACCTCCTTCGGGCTTCTCGTTGTTCAAGGCAGGGTTGTGAAATTTGCATTGGTGTAGTGTATTGTGCTCCTTTTGTGGTGGAGGAATGATTAACTGGTTGGTTGAACGAAATCAAGGTTGCTTTCAGGATCTTTGAGATTTATAAACCAGCGAGTTGAAAAGTTGGGTTGTTTGGCTTGTGAGAATTTTATAATTCTTTTCTTTGAGGCTACACCATTCTTGCCCCCAAAGATATGTTCACTTTCTATTATTCGGAACAAAGAGTGACTTTATCAAACTCGACTTAAGATGATGCAAAAATGTTCGAAGAGTGTGGATGGAAAGGTATATGAGAACTTGATGTTCGAACTTTTGTTGACATAAGTGTGTGCGAATTGGATAAAATGATTTTGATGTGGTTATTGTCGTGTGGCTAAATTTTTCATTTTTATAATAAAAAGTGTGCAAGTCAAGCCATGAGAATATCCAGAAGCACTCACTCTACTCTCACTCTCAATGTCACGCTCGATTTCACTCACTCATTCCTAGGGGTGCTTTGAGTATATGATATTTCAGCTACCATTAAGATTCTGGTCACTATGAGAGGCCTTCTTTTATGTTGATGACCAAATATGTTTGAGGCAATGGTTTTCGCAAATGAGGAGATTCTTACGAAGTCTGATTTTGGTCATGTGAAGTTTTATGTAAAGGGATCTTGGCTTGCCCCGAAGTATGAGATTAAATGATGGATCAGAGTGATCCTAATGGCAATTATCGTGATTTTTGTCGAGGAAATCTTGCTTTCTAAAAAATAGTGGTGGCTTTTGGACATGTTGGGGAATGCGTGTTACATTGCCCCCTTATATGAGATTTTGTTTTGAGGAGGTGGGGTTAGATAGTGAACAAATGAGGTCTTTTTGAATGTGAACTTGGCTATGGGAAATCTTATAATTGGAATTCTTGTTTGGCTCATAGACTAAGAAGATTAAGCTTTCTTGAAGATCTTGCTTAAGGTTTTTTTGTTGATATTGGTCGACAAACAATTGACTTACCGTGAATGGTAGTGGTTTCGAATTTCAATGGATGGGCCTCTAACATGCAGTCCCACAACAATTTTTTTGCTTGCTTTTTTTTTGTCGTGGGACTTACTTAACTTGGTTATGCCACAGATATGTTTCTTTGTTTGGTTGTGTTTCAAAGCATGAGTATGTCAAGAGTTTTTGTCATGGTGATGTGAATGCTCTTTTTGTTGGGTAAGATGATCGAGTACGTCTTTCCCAAAGAACCACGTTTATAATGTCGTAGTCGTTGTACCCTTCGAATGCCTTTCTTGTTTGTCTTTTGTCTAGTTTACTCTGAATTTGCTAGCAAACGTTGGCTATGGTAGTGGCGAGATTCTACAAGTAGCCTGATGTCGTATTCTCGTTACACCCTTTTGACTATTGGCACTCATAATTTTTGGACACCAATGGGGTGTTTATAATCTCAACTATAGTGAAGTGCTCACACTCTCGACACCACTAGGGGTGCTTACAATTGCTCGACACCAGTGGGGTGCTCATATTCGCTCAATATGGTAATCTCATGGCTTAACTTTTAACATGCAATAAAATTTTGGTTTAAAAGAGAAAACAAGATTTTTCAATAGTTGGAAAAGAAAAAAAAAACATTGGATGCGAACTCCTAAATCGAAATTGATAGAAAGTCACAAAATGTTCCAAATAAATAGAAATGTGAACGATCCTTTTATCGTCACGATGAAGCAAAGTGTGGTACAACTCTCAGCATGGCAAAGTGGCATCAATCACGAATCAAGCTCCGGTATGTGGCTTGCATTATGGTTTCGATGATTGGGTAGTGGGTTGTAGTTGATGGTTGGACAACTTGGTTGATAAAATCGTCAATAAAATGCCCATTGATCTCCATTTCTTGAAGAATTGTGCGCTTTCTTTCGTTGCGCCAATTTCTTGTGGAATGACTCCCATAAAGAGCACAACCTTGGATCTAGTACTCAATGGTTGACTTTTTTACTTGCGAGTGAGCAATTTTAAGGAACCTTGCCAATTGATTTTGTTTCTATTTAATTAATGAAATGTGTATGTTATGCTTATGCAAACTGATTAAGATGCATGAAGGCTAAAATGATTTTACTAGATGCATATGCTTTTTATAAATGATTTTTTTTAATGTGAGGATGAAAATGTCATAAATTTTGGATTTTTTTTACTATGTACAAATCATATAATTATATTATGAGCAATTGATAAAGCACAAATCATTGCATAATACACAAAAATACATGTGAATCGACAAAAAAAACATAATTCTATTTATGCAAATCTAGAGTTCATGGAAGATTTAACGATGAGATTCAAGGTGGCTTGAGAATCTGTTTTGGAAAATTTAGGGTGGCTTCGAAATAGACAATATGATTGGTAAGGAGTTTCTAGGAATTGGCTCCCTAGTTGTACCCGTTTATAGCTCTTTCGAGCTAGCCGAATACCTCAAATCAACCTCGGATTTGAGTTCAACTTGGTTAGAAAGTTTCGCGTTATTCCTCTACTATTGTAGAAGTCACGTTACTTCTTTCATTTTCTTACGGGAGAGCTCGGGTATAGAGCTTTATGCATGAATGCAAAAATGTTAATACGCGAAATGTAAATGCTCAAATAATAAAATAAACACCTAAAAGAAGGTAAGATAAACTTATCGATTTAGTAAAGTAGCTTGACTCTCAAATGTCCCCAGCGGAGTCGCCACAGTCGCAACCGCACCTCCGAATTGGCGAGCCATCGACCTTAATTTGTGGTGGGTCGAACACCTTTTGGTCCGGTTCCAACCTTGGGTCAGAACCGGGATTTGGTCTGCGAATTTTGAGATTTTTGGGTTCGGGAGTACGGTTACGTGTGGGGAAGTGTATTCACGCCCCACAACGCCCCTAAATGGGTACTACTTAAATCGATAAGTTTTTAAGGATTGGGTGTATTATTATTTGCGGCTTTATTAATGTATTTAATTTTATGATTTGATTAATTAGATAGTTATTAATATTTGATCATACGTCTATTGACGCAATTCTCAAAATTAAAGAAAGAGTTTTTGGTTAGCTGAACTCGAACCTATTGGTTGCCTACGTACCCGAGTAGTCGGGATCAAAGTCCACGTAGTTCGTTTAGACTTTGATAATTTAATTGTAGCTTTTACCACGTTCCACTGAACGTAATTCTCGTATTATAATTTTGTTAACTTTGATAGGCTTAATCATAATTTTTACCGCGTTCTACTGAAGGTAGTTCTCGTAATAGAATTTTATTGTTAAAATTTAGGTTGATTATTATTAGGATGTATTTTCGTGTATTAGGAAAAGAAATGAGACAAACTTAATCCGCATTTCACATTTTTGTATTAAGAACTTTAAAACAAAGAAAACTAAGCGGGATGGTTAAAGAGACGAATGATGGGTCAGTAGCCCAACTGGCTGGCTAACTAACTGGTTCGTCTTCACCCACGAGGACGCGGTTTCGAACCACGGTGATGGATATGTTTTTTTGTTTCTCGTTTTAGTGCAGCAAAAGGGGGAAGGGTATTTTTGTAATTACTCAAAAACACGGTGGCATGGCTGCGAAATAAGCTGAAAACCCTAGGGGCATTTTAGTCAATTGGAAAGGTATATAAACAGAACGAAACCCTAATCACACTAATTCGGCCGCCGGCCTCTATCCTCTCCTCTCTCTCTCTCGCGTTCTTCTGAAACGAGAATGGGAAAAACCGAAAACGTCAACACTTCGCCTCTCTCTCTCACTCTCGTCTCAGAAGAGACTCCAAAAACCCTAAACGATGCCAAACGGCGCCGCCCTCTCTCTCAATCCCTCTCGTTTTATGCTTTATCCTTGCAAATCGAAACCCTAATCCTAATCAATCCTAGCAGCCGCCTCCATGGAGATCGAACGGCGACCCCTCTCTCTCTCTCTATGCGCCGCCGCTCTCGACTCTGGCCGGGAAGTTAAGGGGAAATCGACCCGGGTAAGAAACACGACATGCATGCTTCCTAATTTCTATCTCTTGGATTATAATTGGGATTCCTAATTCCTAATTTGTTTTTGGGTTTCGGATTTGGATGAGGAGGAAAAGGGAGAAGAGGGAGTCACCGGCGGTGACTAGATCGATGGTAAGTGGCGGATTATGGTTTTGTATGTTTGATTTTCTGGGTTTTTTATTCCGAGTTTGGGTTCTAACCCTTTCTGCTTTTTCGCAGGTTACAAAAAGAGGCTAGATCTGGGTGCGGTTTCTCCCTACCCTTATTTTCGTTTCGGTTAACCTTTGGTATCTAATTAGGTTAGGAAATTTTGTGATTGATGCTCCTGAGTTGGGATTGGGGTCTGACTATCGTAGTTGATTTGGTCATAAATTTATGATTCTGAGATTTGAGATTTGGGGGAAAATGCTTGTGTTTACTCCATATGCATGGTATATTTTTATGTATATGCAGAAATAACGAGAGAATTGAAATCTGACACAAATTAAGAAGATAGTATATAGCTTTATGGAAATGGTAATAAAACTTGGAGTAGATGACAGTAATAAATAAATAGTAATAAGCGTAAATTAAAAGATGAGAGATTTATAGGCTAATATGACTAACAGGTAATAAAGTGAATGCTTGAAACAAATAAATAAAGGAACTGAAAAATAAACTATTATCAATGGAAGAGATGGTAAAGTAAATGAGACTTGGTAAGTCTGAATTGATAAGTTGTGATTTCTTTTTTGTTAAAATCAATTTGGTCATTTTGTAGTTTGATTGGAATTGATTGATTTTTTTCTCTTTTTGAAAGTATGATGTAGTAACGATGGTAATATAATAACTATAGTAATGGTGGAGAAAAAGAAGAAAAGAGTAGCAAAACCGCAAAAGAGGTTATATTATTAGCAATGGATGATGAACCTGGATTAGTAAACCGCAGACCTTGTTGGGCTTTTCTTCTACTTCTATTTTTACAGAGAATAGAGAAGGAAAAGAACGTGTGTTGTATTTCTCCTTCTAGTTCTCAGCACTTTCCCTCTCTGAACTACTAAGAAGAAGAAAAAGAGAACTCTGAACTGACTGAAAGAAAAGAGTGTTTTCCCACTATTTTCCCCTCCCCAAAAGCCGTCCTCGGTTCTTGAAAATTGAGCCTGCTTTTATAGAAAAAGGAGGCGGTGGTTCCAGGGTTCGGTCGGACCAATTTTGGTTCAACCGGTCCGTCGGGTTGGGTCGCTTCTGAGCTGACCGGCCTTCTCTTGACCATGTGGGCTAGTCTTGGAGTTGGACCTTGCATTTGGGCTTGACCAAGCATTGACTTTGGGCTGGATCTGGCCTTGTTGCATGGGCTTGACTTTGGACTTGTGGCCGAAATCTGGGCTTGAACTTGGTTCATGGCTGGCGGGCTATTCAAGAGATGGAAGAAAGATGTATTGATTGTAATTTTCATTTAGTAATTCTTATTTGTAATTTATATTCTTATTGTAATTGCATAATTTATTGATAATTTAAATAAAACTTTCTTCTTCTTCTTCTGTATTTTTTGTGATGTGCCAAAAGCATAAATTGGAAGCCAATCGGTCCTATTAAATCCACTCGAATCGAATTCGAATAAATTATACAATTATCGATATTAGACTCGCAATGGCCAATCTAATTATCTTACGACATTTCAAGTTTAAATTAGAATTTTAGTTGAGTAATTGACCCGGACAAAATGGGGTGTCTACAGTTGCCCCCTTGTATATCTCTTTATGTAAAGAGTTATACAAAGTTCCCGTATAGACACCACATTTTCTTAGTTCAGTCGAGGATTATATTTTGTTGGTGACGTATTTTTTCGGCGTTCGTCATCGCCAATTGTTATATTTTTCTCGATGATGACGTAAATGAAGCGCACGTCAGCGCTAATTGTTGGGTTTTTTCTTATGATGACGTAAACGAAGCGCACGTCAGCGCTAATTGTTGGGGTTTCCTGATGAGGACGTAAATGAAGCGCACGCCAGCGCTAATTGTTGAACTTATTTTGATGGTTAATTGTTTTATGCTTATTAGCATTGGTGTAGTATTTTTCAGGCGCTCGCCAGCACCAATGTACTTTTCGAACGCTCACCAGCGTCGGTGTCGTATTTTTCAGGCGCTCGCCAGCACCAGAGTACTTTTCGAACGCTCACCAGCGTCCGTGTCGTATTTTTCAGGCGCTCGCCAGCACCAATTTAGTATTTTTAGCAGTAAAATCAAGCTAATAATTTTGTAACGACATTGTACTCAAATTGTTTGTGATAGAAATCAATCGAAACAATGAGAAAAATGACAACGATGAAATCAAGCTAATCATTCTGTAAGGAAGTTGTACTCAAATTGTCTATGATAGAAATCAAATCGAACAATGAGAATAATAACTATGATAAAATCAAGCTTATCATTAATGAAAATGTGTATTTGTATTTCGCATGAAAAGTTTTAACATACATTTAGTAAATGTTTGAGAGGTTTTTGTGACGAATAACAATTCACTTTGATGTATGATGATGTCAAGTACTGAGTATAAAAAATGATGTTGGAAATGATTGTGTGATGAGTCAATGCTAATGAATGATAATGTCGTGTATATGCAAATAGAGGATATGATACATTTTCAGTTGTTTTGAAAATATTTTGTTTTCGTTGACTTGGGCTCCTTTAAATTGAACGCCCACAAGAATTGAATCATTGCCTTTTGTAGACTTGATCCTCAATTGTGCGAGCTATTAATTGGACCTCCTTCGGGCTTCTCGTTGTTCAAGGCAGGGTTGTGAAATTTGCATTGGTGTAGTGTATTGTGCTCCTTTTGTGGTGGAGGAATGATTAACTGGTTGGTTGAACGAAATCAAGGTTGCTTTCAGGATCTTTGAGATTTATAAACCAGCGAGTTGAAAAGTTGGGTTGTTTGGCTTGTGAGAATTTTATAATTCTTTTCTTTGAGGCTACACCATTCTTGCCCCCAAAGATATGTTCACTTTCTATTATTCGGAACAAAGAGTGACTTTATCAAACTCGACTTAAGATGATGCAAAAATGTTCGAAGAGTGTGGATGGAAAGGTATATGAGAACTTGATGTTCGAACTTTTGTTGACATAAGTGTGTGCGAATTGGATAAAATGATTTTGATGTGGTTATTGTCGTGTGGCTAAATTTTTCATTTTTATAATAAAAAGTGTGCAAGTCAAGCCATGAGAATATCCAGAAGCACTCACTCTACTCTCACTCTCAATGTCACGCTCGATTTCACTCACTCATTCCTAGGGGTGCTTTGAGTATATGATATTTCAGCTACCATTAAGATTCTGGTCACTATGAGAGGCCTTCTTTTATGTTGATGACCAAATATGTTTGAGGCAATGGTTTTCGCAAATGAGGAGATTCTTACGAAGTCTGATTTTGGTCATGTGAAGTTTTATGTAAAGGGATCTTGGCTTGCCCCGAAGTATGAGATTAAATGATGGATCAGAGTGATCCTAATGGCAATTATCGTGATTTTTGTCGAGGAAATCTTGCTTTCTAAAAAATAGTGGTGGCTTTTGGACATGTTGGGGAATGCGTGTTACATTGCCCCCTTATATGAGATTTTGTTTTGAGGAGGTGGGGTTAGATAGTGAACAAATGAGGTCTTTTTGAATGTGAACTTGGCTATGGGAAATCTTATAATTGGAATTCTTGTTTGGCTCATAGACTAAGAAGATTAAGCTTTCTTGAAGATCTTGCTTAAGGTTTTTTTGTTGATATTGGTCGACAAACAATTGACTTACCGTGAATGGTAGTGGTTTCGAATTTCAATGGATGGGCCTCTAACATGCAGTCCCACAACAATTTTTTTGCTTGCTTTTTTTTTGTCGTGGGACTTACTTAACTTGGTTATGCCACAGATATGTTTCTTTGTTTGGTTGTGTTTCAAAGCATGAGTATGTCAAGAGTTTTTGTCATGGTGATGTGAATGCTCTTTTTGTTGGGTAAGATGATCGAGTACGTCTTTCCCAAAGAACCACGTTTATAATGTCGTAGTCGTTGTACCCTTCGAATGCCTTTCTTGTTTGTCTTTTGTCTAGTTTACTCTGAATTTGCTAGCAAACGTTGGCTATGGTAGTGGCGAGATTCTACAAGTAGCCTGATGTCGTATTCTCGTTACACCCTTTTGACTATTGGCACTCATAATTTTTGGACACCAATGGGGTGTTTATAATCTCAACTATAGTGAAGTGCTCACACTCTCGACACCACTAGGGGTGCTTACAATTGCTCGACACCAGTGGGGTGCTCATATTCGCTCAATATGGTAATCTCATGGCTTAACTTTTAACATGCAATAAAATTTTGGTTTAAAAGAGAAAACAAGATTTTTCAATAGTTGGAAAAGAAAAAAAAAACATTGGATGCGAACTCCTAAATCGAAATTGATAGAAAGTCACAAAATGTTCCAAATAAATAGAAATGTGAACGATCCTTTTATCGTCACGATGAAGCAAAGTGTGGTACAACTCTCAGCATGGCAAAGTGGCATCAATCACGAATCAAGCTCCGGTATGTGGCTTGCATTATGGTTTCGATGATTGGGTAGTGGGTTGTAGTTGATGGTTGGACAACTTGGTTGATAAAATCGTCAATAAAATGCCCATTGATCTCCATTTCTTGAAGAATTGTGCGCTTTCTTTCGTTGCGCCAATTTCTTGTGGAATGACTCCCATAAAGAGCACAACCTTGGATCTAGTACTCAATGGTTGACTTTTTTACTTGCGAGTGAGCAATTTTAAGGAACCTTGCCAATTGATTTTGTTTCTATTTAATTAATGAAATGTGTATGTTATGCTTATGCAAACTGATTAAGATGCATGAAGGCTAAAATGATTTTACTAGATGCATATGCTTTTTATAAATGATTTTTTTTAATGTGAGGATGAAAATGTCATAAATTTTGGATTTTTTTTACTATGTACAAATCATATAATTATATTATGAGCAATTGATAAAGCACAAATCATTGCATAATACACAAAAATACATGTGAATCGACAAAAAAAACATAATTCTATTTATGCAAATCTAGAGTTCATGGAAGATTTAACGATGAGATTCAAGGTGGCTTGAGAATCTGTTTTGGAAAATTTAGGGTGGCTTCGAAATAGACAATATGATTGGTAAGGAGTTTCTAGGAATTGGCTCCCTAGTTGTACCCGTTTATAGCTCTTTCGAGCTAGCCGAATACCTCAAATCAACCTCGGATTTGAGTTCAACTTGGTTAGAAAGTTTCGCGTTATTCCTCTACTATTGTAGAAGTCACGTTACTTCTTTCATTTTCTTACGGGAGAGCTCGGGTATAGAGCTTTATGCATGAATGCAAAAATGTTAATACGCGAAATGTAAATGCTCAAATAATAAAATAAACACCTAAAAGAAGGTAAGATAAACTTATCGATTTAGTAAAGTAGCTTGACTCTCAAATGTCCCCAGCGGAGTCGCCACAGTCGCAACCGCACCTCCGAATTGGCGAGCCATCGACCTTAATTTGTGGTGGGTCGAACACCTTTTGGTCCGGTTCCAACCTTGGGTCAGAACCGGGATTTGGTCTGCGAATTTTGAGATTTTTGGGTTCGGGAGTACGGTTACGTGTGGGGAAGTGTATTCACGCCCCACAACGCCCCTAAATGGGTACTACTTAAATCGATAAGTTTTTAAGGATTGGGTGTATTATTATTTGCGGCTTTATTAATGTATTTAATTTTATGATTTGATTAATTAGATAGTTATTAATATTTGATCATACGTCTATTGACGCAATTCTCAAAATTAAAGAAAGAGTTTTTGGTTAGCTGAACTCGAACCTATTGGTTGCCTACGTACCCGAGTAGTCGGGATCAAAGTCCACGTAGTTCGTTTAGACTTTGATAATTTAATTGTAGCTTTTACCACGTTCCACTGAACGTAATTCTCGTATTATAATTTTGTTAACTTTGATAGGCTTAATCATAATTTTTACCGCGTTCTACTGAAGGTAGTTCTCGTAATAGAATTTTATTGTTAAAATTTAGGTTGATTATTATTAGGATGTATTTTCGTGTATTAGGAAAAGAAATGAGACAAACTTAATCCGCATTTCACATTTTTGTATTAAGAACTTTAAAACAAAGAAAACTAAGCGGGATGGTTAAAGAGACGAATGATGGGTCAGTAGCCCAACTGGCTGGCTAACTAACTGGTTCGTCTTCACCCACGAGGACGCGGTTTCGAACCACGGTGATGGATATGTTTTTTTGTTTCTCGTTTTAGTGCAGCAAAAGGGGGAAGGGTATTTTTGTAATTACTCAAAAACACGGTGGCATGGCTGCGAAATAAGCTGAAAACCCTAGGGGCATTTTAGTCAATTGGAAAGGTATATAAACAGAACGAAACCCTAATCACACTAATTCGGCCGCCGCCCTCTATCCTCTCCTCTCTCTCTCTCGCGTTCTTCTGAAACGAGAATGGGAAAAACCGAAAACGTCAACACTTCGCCTCTCTCTCTCACTCTCGTCTCAGAAGAGACTCCAAAAACCCTAAACGATGCCAAACGGCGCCGCCCTCTCTCTCAATCCCTCTCGTTTTATGCTTTATCCTTGCAAATCGAAACCCTAATCCTAATCAATCCTAGCAGCCGCCTCCATGGAGATCGAACGGCGACCCCTCTCTCTCTCTCTATGCGCCGCCGCTCTCGACTCTGGCCGGGAAGTTAAGGGGAAATCGACCCGGGTAAGAAACACGACATGCATGCTTCCTAATTTCTATCTCTTGGATTATAATTGGGATTCCTAATTCCTAATTTGTTTTTGGGTTTCGGATTTGGATGAGGAGGAAAAGGGAGAAGAGGGAGTCACCGGCGGTGACTAGATCGATGGTAAGTGGCGGATTATGGTTTTGTATGTTTGATTTTCTGGGTTTTTTATTCCGAGTTTGGGTTCTAACCCTTTCTGCTTTTTCGCAGGTTACAAAAAGAGGCTAGATCTGGGTGCGGTTTCTCCCTACCCTTATTTTCGTTTCGGTTAACCTTTGGTATCTAATTAGGTTAGGAAATTTTGTGATTGATGCTCCTGAGTTGGGATTGGGGTCTGACTATCGTAGTTGATTTGGTCATAAATTTATGATTCTGAGATTTGAGATTTGGGGGAAAATGCTTGTGTTTACTCCATATGCATGGTATATTTTTATGTATATGCAGAAATAACGAGAGAATTGAAATCTGACACAAATTAAGAAGATAGTATATAGCTTTATGGAAATGGTAATAAAACTTGGAGTAGATGACAGTAATAAATAAATAGTAATAAGCGTAAATTAAAAGATGAGAGATTTATAGGCTAATATGACTAACAGGTAATAAAGTGAATGCTTGAAACAAATAAATAAAGGAACTGAAAAATAAACTATTATCAATGGAAGAGATGGTAAAGTAAATGAGACTTGGTAAGTCTGAATTGATAAGTTGTGATTTCTTTTTTGTTAAAATCAATTTGGTCATTTTGTAGTTTGATTGGAATTGATTGATTTTTTTCTCTTTTTGAAAGTATGATGTAGTAACGATGGTAATATAATAACTATAGTAATGGTGGAGAAAAAGAAGAAAAGAGTAGCAAAACCGCAAAAGAGGTTATATTATTAGCAATGGATGATGAACCTGGATTAGTAAACCGCAGACCTTGTTGGGCTTTTCTTCTACTTCTATTTTTACAGAGAATAGAGAAGGAAAAGAACGTGTGTTGTATTTCTCCTTCTAGTTCTCAGCACTTTCCCTCTCTGAACTACTAAGAAGAAGAAAAAGAGAACTCTGAACTGACTGAAAGAAAAGAGTGTTTTCCCACTATTTTCCCCTCCCCAAAAGCCGTCCTCGGTTCTTGAAAATTGAGCCTGCTTTTATAGAAAAAGGAGGCGGTGGTTCCAGGGTTCGGTCGGACCAATTTTGGTTCAACCGGTCCGTCGGGTTGGGTCGCTTCTGAGCTGACCGGCCTTCTCTTGACCATGTGGGCTAGTCTTGGAGTTGGACCTTGCATTTGGGCTTGACCAAGCATTGACTTTGGGCTGGATCTGGCCTTGTTGCATGGGCTTGACTTTGGACTTGTGGCCGAAATCTGGGCTTGAACTTGGTTCATGGCTGGCGGGCTATTCAAGAGATGGAAGAAAGATGTATTGATTGTAATTTTCATTTAGTAATTCTTATTTGTAATTTATATTCTTATTGTAATTGCATAATTTATTGATAATTTAAATAAAACTTTCTTCTTCTTCTTCTGTATTTTTTGTGATGTGCCAAAAGCATAAATTGGAAGCCAATCGGTCCTATTAAATCCACTCGAATCGAATTCGAATAAATTATACAATTATCGATATTAGACTCGCAATGGCCAATCTAATTATCTTACGACATTTCAAGTTTAAATTAGAATTTTAGTTGAGTAATTGACCCGGACAAAATGGGGTGTCTACAGTACTGTCGCAACCGCACCTCCGAATTGGCGAGATCCGTCACGAATCGGTCGGAGTCGCCATCGACCTTAATTTGTGGTGGGTCGAACACCTTTTGGTCCGGTTCCAACCTTGGGTCAGAACCGGGATTTGGTCTGCGAATTTTGAGATTTTTGGGTTCGGGAGTACGGTTACGTGTGGGGAAGTGTATTCACGCCCCACAACGCCCCTAAATGGGTACTACTTAAATCGATAAGTTTTTAAGGATTGGGTGTATTATTATTTGCGGCTTTATTAATGTATTTAATTTTATGATTTGATTAATTAGATAGTTATTAATATTTGATCATACGTCTATTGACGCAATTCTCAAAATTAAAGAAAGAGTTTTTGGTTAGCTGAACTCGAACCTATTGGTTGCCTACGTACCCGAGTAGTCGGGATCAAAGTCCACGTAGTTCGTTTAGGCAACCAATAGGTTCGAGTTCAGCTAACCAAAAACTCTTTCTTTAATTTTGAGAATTGCGTCAATAGACGTATGATCAAATATTAATAACTATCTAATTAATCAAATCATAAAATTAAATACATTAATAAAGCCGCAAATAATAATACACCCAATCCTTAAAAACTTATCGATTTAAGTAGTACCCATTTAGGGGCGTTGTGGGGCGTGAATACACTTCCCCACACGTAACCGTACTCCCGAACCCAAAAATCTCAAAATTCGCAGACCAAATCCCGGTTCTGACCCAAGGTTGGAACGGACCAAAAGGTGTTCGACCCACCACAAATTAAGGTCGATGGCGACTCCGACCGATTCGCGACGGATCTCGCCAATTCGGAGGTGCGGTTGCGACAATTGTATAAGATAAATTTTTTTGAGTATCGTTGTTTTAATTTATAGACGCACCACATACTCACGCATTTGAGTATCGTGATATATCTTCGTGACATGATTTATGATCAGAGAATTGAAATATCATAAGTGAACGTGCTAAGCATTGAGAATTTTTAATTTACAGACGCACCGCATACTCACGCATGAATGCAAATGTAAAAAATGTAGAAGATCCAAAATAGTTTAAACATATAGATAATCCTCCATATTGATTCTATCAATGGCTATAGAATTTTTTTATTGGAAATATGGCGATATAGATTGAAGCAATATGATCATATTTTATATCTACAAAAAATCAATTCAAATAATCAAAGTGTATTAATATTTTACATATTATATATCAGATTGCTTGAATGAAAGGACATTATATCTTTGAAAATTTAAATTTATTATACACTTTATTTTATTCACCACAAAAATATGATAAACTCGCTCCACAGAAAATCGTTTTTAACATCATTAAAACTAAATAAAATTAAAAATATTAAAACAACTCACCCGTATTAATAACTTGTAGTTTTATTTATGATGTATCCCTTTCCCCGTTACATATGTATATTGACGAGGAGGTTTCATTTTATTTTTTCCTTTAACCAAGACAAGCCCAAAAACATGCAACAACGACTGAACTATAAGATTGACTCTAACTATACTCTGTAGTCTATGTACAGCCGCACTACCATGAAAGAGCATGAAAGAAACTTCAAAAGATAAAAGACACGACTCTAACGAAAGTACAGAGAAAAAGACAAGATACAGACAGAAGGGACGAACATGAAAAAGGGAAGAAAAAAAAAAATCCCCCTCCAAGATCGCCCCATTTAGCGAATGTGAAGCTTCCTTTGAACAAGCAAGTCAATCGAAGTGGAGCCTTTGTTAACGCAAACCCTGGCCAGCGAGCTATCAATTTACCCCAGTGCTCCACAAAAGTTGTTCTTCTCATATCTAGCACAACACTCTTCCGTCCCGTACTGAGCTCCATCTTTGCCAGGACAATTGTGCAACATCACTTCAATCGCCCTCGTTAGGCAATCACTGCATTTGGGTTCATCAGCACAAGAAGAATATGCGTAGGCGGCAAATTTTGGTGGTTGATAGTCGTTGTCATATACCGGCTTGCACTGTGTTGTGGATTTGAGAACCGGTAATACTGCATTCTGCGCGTCTAAGCTATCGAAGTCGGTCGGACTACAAAACTATTCGTTGGAGGCAGCGCACACTGGATCGAGAGCAGCTTCAGCAGTGATGACCATTGTTAGAATTAGCGACGAAATCAGCCCTGTGGTCATTCGAGCATCCAAGCGACCAACCTGCATGGCCATCTCTCTCTCTCTCTCTCTCTCTCTCTCTCTCTCTCTCTCTCTCTCTCTCTCTCTCTCTCTCTCGGGTAGCTAGCTAATTGTATGTGTTCTGAGTTAGCTTTTTATTGTTGTGAGATGAGATGGATAAATTTCGTTGATTGCAATATTATATCTTAGGAGTTTTAGGTTTTTGATCAGCCTACCTACAAACACCAAACAACGCCTCTTCTCTCGTTACAATTACAAATCCCGGCAAGATACCCTAAAACATATCTCACAGACTCAGTCGTTATCTTGCACATAAGTACTTCATTTTGTGCCGGAATTCCAGTTCATCCGAATAACAGCATTTTCAATGAATTGCTACATAAGTACTTCATTTTGTAGTATAACTAGAGGTGGCAATTTCAATCCAATCCACCAATCTAATCTAGGAAAATTTCCCACTGTACACATGTTTTTAAAAAAAATTCTCAAAATACACACGTTATGAAAAAAATTCCCAATCTACGCATGTTTGGGCCTTCACCGCGTCTGACCAAGGCGGTGATTGAATCACCGCGTTAAAGAAGAGCGGTGATTGCATCACCGCGTTAGACGAAAACGGTGATTGCATCACCGCTGTAGAGGAAGGCGGTGATTGCATCACCGCGTTAGAGAAAAACGGTGAAGGCCTGACCTGCGTCGAATCTTTAAAAAAAGTAACTTTGTGCTCGGTTATCCGATCGCGGCTTGCAAGATCTCGAAAAATTATGCGGAATCAAAAAAAATTTCACCACGATCGGATAACCGAGCATAAAGTTACGTTTTTTTTTAAGATTCGACGCAGGTCAGGCCTTCACCGCGACCGTTGAATGCGGTGAAGCTATCACCGTTTTTGTCTACAGCGGTGATGCAATCACCGTTTTTCTCTAACGCGGTGATGCAATCACCGCTCTTCTTTAACGCGGTGAAGCAATCACCGCCTTAGTCTGACGCGGTGAAGGCCCAAACATGCGTAGATTGTGAATTTTTTTCATAACATGTGCATTTTGAGAATTTTTTTTAAAAACATGTGTACAGTGGGATTTTTTCCTCTAATCCATCAATCCATTAAAAATATCCACCTAATCCAATTCATTTAAATCCAATCCATTTTATCCAAATCCAATTGGATTGGTGGATTCATGGATTGGATCCATGGATCATTGGCAAATTACGGTTTAGTACCTATAATTTTTATTTTTTACATTTTGGTACCTAAAATTTAATTTTTTATACGAAAAATATCATTGGAAAATTACGTTTTGGTACCTAAATTTTTTCATTATGACATTTTAGTACCTAAACTTTTTACATTTTACATATTGGTCCTTGGTTGAGGATGTCATTTGGATTCATGGATAATCCACCAATCCACTTGATCCAATCCATGAATCCACCAATCCACTTGATCCAATCCATGAATCCACCAATCCATTAGATCCAATCCATTTGATCTATGGATCCATCAATCCAATCCACCAATCCAATCCATTTGCCACCTCTAAGTATAACATAAGTACAACTCATTAACATCTAATAAGCAATAAACACTAACATAATAGAGCACTTCTACTATGCTATATAGTATTGGTGCTTTAATGTACAACTTAAAGTTGTACCATAACATTAAATGTATAAGTTTAGGTTGTACCATAAAGCAATTTGTACCATTATGTTATGGTACAACTTTACAACTTGAAGTTGTACCATCACATAAAAGTACAAGTTCAAGTTGTACCATAAAAGAATTTGTACAAAAAGTATAGGTACAATCTGAAGTTGTACCATAACGTAAATGTATTTTTAAGTTGTACCATAAAGGCAAAATCCTATAGCACCAATACTATATAGCATTGTAAAATTTCTCAACATAATATTGTTAAGAAAGGAGAAAGGAGCGAAAGAGTGAAGTGTGAATTGAGGGGGAAAATTAGTGTTTGGTTTGGGCGGCAACTAAATTACATTTCAACTCGTAATTTTTTAATTATCCTTCCAATCATTGAGTGGTTACAATATGATACTTTGTTTTTAATATATGAAAACATAATCTTGGAACGCAGAAAGAATGATGCATGACTTATGGGCGGTCATGAGAAGTGAGAACCACACATATTTTTGAATAATTAAGGGCTAATAGCACTTAAGACACTAATCTTTAACGACTATGTCATTTATATTATGTAACTTCAATAAATACATTCATATTTCAATCTATTAAGTGTCTGCGTTATTTGTGTTATAAAAATGTGTGTTGACCGTTAGAATTAATTGTTAACCTAACAATAGACAACGTTCGTCTGACCATAGATGAAGTGGCAATTAGGCGTCTTCTACTTACATACCACATATGATATCATTATTAAAAATATAAAAATTTACAACTAAATTACAAAAAAAAATTGGCCAAAAAATTGACCCAGAAATTGTCGTTTCCTTCTCGCGCGTGGAGCTTTTTCTCCTCCTTCCTTTTCCACCATTATTGAGGGAACTGCTACGGTGCTAATTGTACAATAGTTAGCACCGTCCTAACCAAGGGAAAAACTACTACTAGTTTGAATTAGTAGTGATTTAGCTTAGATGTTGTATTGATTTTATAATAATCCGTAGTGATTTTTGCTAGTTATCATGGGGCTAACCCCTATAAGGGTTAGCACCTAATCCCATCCTCATTATTGAGGATCCAAACCTCGAC